AGAGGTTCAAATCATGATCTTTTGGATAACTCACGTAAATTTCATAAGGATCAATGGTGGCTTCAAATCCATATTCTTCAAACTTCTGTTGAGTCCATTCAACAAGTCCATAATTGGTACCAGCCAAATGAGGTTCCGCTGTATATTTCTCGGACCAATTGCCTGCTAAATTGGTTTCAAGGGCATTAAGAACAATTACTTTTGGATCAAGTTCTTGGTTGACGGTGAAACTAACTTTGCTTATTTGATAAACAAGACCCAATGCTAAGAAAACAGAGAACCATCTTATCAATTGAGGTTTCTTGCTCCTCTGAAGGAATCTAGGGACCTTTTCAGTACCCATATTTGAAGTTTGATTGTACTTATTGGTAAACTAATTAAAGAGAGAAAAGGGGGGTTTAATGAATTTTGAGATTTCATGAAAAAAGAATCAGGGGTAATTTAAATGAATCTTCTAAAGTTGCTGTGACGTGGCTTTCCCGTGTATTTTTTTCTTTCCCACCCTTTACAGGTTGCAATGTTGCAATGTCGATTCGGAAACACGCTTTTTTGGTGCCGTATGATCGAACCACATTGTATGAAATATTATACAATAATTGATACTGTAACTTAAATGCATAACAAGCAGTTAACTGCATTGAATAACATTTGGGCGGCTGGTTTAAGATTGATTTATAACTTGAGAATATTAAAGTAAAAAGAAGAGATAAAAGAGAAAGTTATGCGAAAAGCAAAGACTTCATTGTTTCTCGTCATGAAGCAGGACTTCGGCATTGATACTTTTGAGTTATGGACTAGAATTTGCTAGTGATTATCGGAGTATTGCCTTATCTTATAAGGAGCATAGCTTGCTTTTGAGTCCTACCTAGTTTGTCTAATAATTTGAGGAGGCAATCTATTCCTCTACTAGAGAATGTAACTTGTCTTCATTAAATAACATTTCTATATTGGGTGCTTAGTTGCTAATTCAAGAGACGAATCCTATAGTAATGGTGTTCTAAGATCAACCTCATAGCTTTATTCCAAAATCAACTAAAATTCTGAATTTTGTTAAATTAATTGAAATCTGATTTTTTTTCTACAAATTGGCTGCGAAAATTTTTAAAACTAAAATATTCTCAAGCTGGAAAACACATTCTTGTACAACAAAATAAGTAGAATGAACACAACTTACAAGAATACTAGGAATTTATAGGTATTCATAACATACAAGAACAACTATCCGTGATATTAAAAACAAAACTGGTTATTAATTGAGATTCAAACTTCTCAACTATTTGCTTTGAGTTACAGGAAAATACAATAAATGTGTTTATAGCATTAGCTACTACCCTATCTATTCCGGTTCTGTAGATACAACAGGTGTGAGTGACTGACGTATATCGTAAGAGAGAATAAAGACTTGGTTTGTGAATTATTCAAATGACCGAGAACATCTGATATGAGATTTTCTAGTTCGACCATTCTATAGACAAAAATGTCTTGATAAAGCAAAATCCATCTTGGAGATCATCACCCAGATCATCCTTTCTCAACAACACAATTCTTTGCAATGATAATGATCCAGTTATCTGGAAAATAGGTCCTGGAGAAATGTCGGATTTGGTATTTTTGAGACATTATTCGTAAAAGTAATGATTTACGAACAAAATACGAGAATTTATGACAAATTCACGTGAAAATCATGTGAAAGTCATGCGAATGTCACGTGAAATGACCTGAGATAAAGACCCCGAAAAAAAAAATTGAAAAAAAACTCCTGGTAGCTTAGTTGGTTTAAAGCGCGAGACTGTAATTAGTACCTCAAATTTGTAATCTTGAGATCGGGTGTTCGACTCACCCCCGGGAGAATTTCTTTTTTTTGCACTCTAATCTCAAAGGAGACATTTTTTTTGCGCGATGAGATTACCCAAAGATTTCTGTGATAATTATTTGAACTATATCATCCACTTGATATTTTTATTCTTCAAACATTAATACTATTATATAACTTAAAGATGGCCGGAAAGAATGCTATAAACAAACCAAAGATCAAGATGCTGGCACATTCCCATGCCAAAGCATTAGGAGCAAAGAGAGCTGCTCGTGCTCGTAAGAATCCAGCTACCAGATCTTCTACATCCAGATATGCTGACAAGGCCACTACTGCACCAAGACCATCTGAATCAAATGCTTTGGCTTTATATACAGGCGAAACTCCAGCTCCAACTAATATTATGATTAAGAATACTTTATCTAAAAAGAGAGCCAAGAAGATTACCAGGAATCAAAAATATTTTGCCAATAATATCAAGAATAAGAGTGACGATGTTTCTATGGAAATTGAGAATGAAGTTGCAGAAGAAGTTGAATCAAAATTAGAACAAACCAAGAAAGCATTATGGAGTGTTATTGAAAATCACGCTAAGGGTGGATACCAAATACCTACAGATGCTGAAGGAACTACTTTGGGAATTCAAGCGTTTTAAGGATTTATTTTTTGAATGGGATGCATGTGTGTATATTAGGTTTATAAATAATAAGTTTTTACATTTAATAAATTTTCTATAAGATAAATGAGAAAGTTATCAAACTCCTAGAGAAGCCTTTCAAGCGGATGCTCTAGCTTCAATTTCCCTGGAGACGGTTTCTTTTAAAATTTCGACAACTTCCTTTGGATCTTGAGCAGCAAAGACAGAAGTACCAGCAACAATAACATTAGCACCGGCTTTTGCTGCAGGTTCGATGGTATCTTTACCTAAACCGCCATCTACTTGAACATCCAAGTTTGGATACTTTACTCTCAATTTTTCAACCTTTTCCATCATATCAGGCATGAATTTTTGACCACCAAATCCTGGTTCAACAGTCATAACTAATACCATATCCAAATCATCTGCATATGGATAAACTTCTTCAATTGGAGTTCCTGGTTTAACCGCCATTGCAGCTTTCAATCCATGTTGTTTAATCAAATTAATGACTTTAGCTGGATCTTTAGTAGCTTCAAAATGGAAAGTATACAGATCACCACCAGCTTTTGCAATATCAGCAATCCATTGTTCTGGTTCAGAGACCATCATATGACAATCGAATACAATTGGTTTTGCATCGTCACGTGGGAAAACTTTTCTTAAACTACTAATGACTGGAGATCCAAATGAAATGTTTGGAACAAAATGTCCATCCATAACATCAATATGCAACCATTCAACACCTCCAGTGTTGACAACTTTTTTACAATTGCAACCTAAATTGGCAAAATCAGCAGCTAAGATTGAAGGAGATATAATTGGTCTGACCATGATAAGTTTTGTTTTTTAGTTTTGTTTGATGATGATGATAAGGAACGGATAAAAGTTAAACCAGTTGAAATTTAATCAGTGCGAATTTAAAACACATCGTTTTTTCCAGTGATTATTAAGATTTGTATTGTTAGATCCAATTGTAAGGAATTACTTAGTAGTTGAGTGATGCTTAGGGCAAACAATTTTTTGTACTATTCTTATAGATTATTAGGTCATTTAAATAAAGGATTTCCTCCCATTAGATTTTTAAAAGAATCTAATCTTAACTTATTGTAAAATTCTGTATCTAATAATTTTTCAAGGCATTCTATATATTTCTAACGTGTTTTTTGTGTGGCAGAGTCGATATTTTTTTTGCCGATCAACAAATTGAATCGTACCGAATTTGTTCTTTTAATCGTTCAGTCCATAGCCACTTTTATCCATCCTTTTTAATTACCCCCTTGCATATATAAATCATAATGACAGATAGTCCAGCACCACCAGTGATTGAAGGAGCTTCTCTTTCAGAACAAATATTAGAATCGGCTAGAAGAAACAATACCGAGTTATTATTATCAATCAAATCTGAACTCAATAATGATCATGAAAAATTAGCAGAATTAATCAATAATACTCGAGAAGTAATAACAGATAATTCACCATTGCATTTAGCTTGTCATTTAGGTAACTGGGAATTTATAGACATTGTCTTGGATATAGAAGGTGTTGAAATTGATCCTCAAAATAGAGAAGGTGAAACACCTTTACATTTAGCAGTTAAATATACAAACAATGATGAACCTGAACATGGATACTTTGTGATTGATAATCTCTTGGATGCTGGATCTGATCCAAGAATTAAAGATAAACATAATCTTAAGCCTAAGGATTATGTTTCTAAAGAACACGAAAAATTACACGAGTTATTGGAAAGTTCGGAATATGCTATATCAATGGAACCAACAGAAGCGGAACAATTGGAACAATTCCAAGAGGAACAAAATAATGATGAAGAGGAATCAGGATCTGCTTCTGATTCAGATTAGAATATAAGACTTCTATAGATTTTATGTCCTTCTTCCAATATACAAATTAGAAACCATTTTATAAAATTTCAAAATTATCACTACCACTTGAAACCCAATTACTTAGGGTCTCCTTTCCAATGGTTTTAAGACTTTCTCGTTTCTTATTAGAGCTCTTTAATTCATTATAATCTTTGCACTCTAGAGACTTCAATTCCTTTAATTTTCCCACAAGACTGCGCTTACAGATGATACTTTCACCACCGGCTCTAGGCGGCTTATTCTTAACAAAAGATCCATTTTTAACGCCGTTATTTAGAACTTGAACCATCTTAGTGGGAAGAACACATAGTAGCGAAAGTGGAGCCGGTACCATATTCTGCCCGGCGTTGGGTTTATGATATTCGTATTCATCCGAATCGTATTCAATTAATTTTAAATGATGTGCCCCAGGCAATTTGAATCTAGAAATAAAGCATCTTTGAAAATCCTCAGAATGCATCCCTTTGACTACGATATAATCAAGATAAATCTCTTCCTTGAATAAACTTGATGTCACTGCATTTGTAATACCAATAAGCTGTCTTAAACAAAGTTTATCAGAACAAGATTTAGAGAGGGTAATTAAACTATCTGATCTTCCTGGTTTTGTACGAACTATGCCTAATTTATCAAAATTACTTCTTCCTCTATGTACATCTTGTTTTTGGATCTTCTTAGGAGGTTCCTTGGGTACATCTTCCCAAGGTTTATTATCTTCCAAAGTAGAAGATAAATACTGCATTGATCCATCTCCACATGGCGGCTCCGATATAAATAATGCAAGCTTGATACCAGGCTTAAGCTTGAAATAATCTCCCTCACTCTCAAGAAGTATACTAGATTTATCCGATGGGTTACTTCGAAGTTTAGTACATTCATCTAATAAATACCAATTAAATAACCTTAACGATAGTATTTCTGCGTGCATGTCATGAACCATTAGACCATGTGAGTATGTTCGTGTTTTGTCTGGTAGTGCTTTCACGCCTGTTGATAATGTGATTGGAATAATCTCCTCTTCAACTAAGGCAACAACTGAAGCTAATACTGTCCATTCCTTAATTCCATTGGATCGAGTAACTGGCTTCCCAGATTTTAGGTTTAGTCTGTTGAACTCTTCAATAACGCATTTTGCTATATTGTTTCCCAACTCATTGCCCATGATCTATAGGAGACAGAAGACTACAGTAAAAAAATTTCACTTCATACAAAAATCTCAAAAGTGCGATAACCATTGATTAATAAAATCTAAACCTATAAAAATACACAAACCCTCACACACACAAATAATCTTTAAAAGTCATTGGCTAAACTTCTTGTATCTAATGTCTCTTTTTTCTAACCATTGCCCCAATCAATCCAATACCAATAGCCAATGCACCACCTACTATACCTATCCCAATCAATCCATCAGTAGTTATCTTATCTTCAATATTACTTAACAATGATTTTGCTTGTAAATTATCAGGTTCAAATTCTAATAAAGCTTCAACATAACGTTTTGCATTCGTATAATCACCCACTTTAAAAGAACCCAAACTTAAATAATACAATACTTCTCTTCTCATACTTTCTTCAGACTTATAAAGTTCTACTAAGATTGCAATCCCATCCTTCTGTTGTCTTAAGTGGTTGGATTTGATTAGCCCCCATGCATAGTTGAATTTGGTTTGGGCTGATGGATTTGGTTCTTCTGATTGTAATTGATTTCTAAGAATTATTAATTGTTCTGGTGATAACGGTTGTTTCAATTCTTCTAATGCTGGATATGTAGACTTTTCAAACATTGCTTTAGTATTGTAGTGTTAATAAGTGTTACTGTTTTTGATGAAAAGGAAAGTAAAGTGGCAATTGATGATTTTTTTGAGTCTTAAGAAATCTGGAGATCTTCTTTTCTTGGGTTGCTAATGCAACACTTGGTAGCCAACCATACACTCCTTAATTAGTTACCCATATATTTCCAAGCTTAGAATTTCTTGCTTTCACTTTCCACTCTTACATACTCTCCATAGAATTGAACAACGATGGGAAGCACCTATTAAGCTTTCTAAGAATGAAAAGGCTCTGTTCCTCTCTCTATGACTCAATTTATGTCGCATATCTGTTTTGGCGACATATGTCGCAAATTGGGTGATCTCTCAAGAGATCCCAAAAATCAAACCATGAAATGAAAAACAACACTCCCTTCTTCTTCTTCTTCATCTTGTTCAATTGTACAAATTTGATAGTATTTACAAAATGTCTGACTTATTGATTGGACTTATAGTCAACCAAACTAGTCCAGAAAATAATATTAGAAAATCAGCAGAAATTGAATTTAACCAAATCGTTCAACAAGACCCATCACAAGCAGCACGCGTCATTCTTGAACTGGCATTCAATGAAGAATATCCTCTTGATATTAGACAAGCATGTTTATTACATTTAAAGCGATTAGTCCCAAAGTATTGGTCGTTAGGATTTGAATCATTTATTGGCCCACCAATTGATCAAGAATTAAAACAAATAATTCGTACCAAATTACTTGAATTAGCAACCACATCAGCTCAATCAAAATTGAGAAGTGGTAGTGCTTATGCTATTGTTCAGATTGCTTCAGCTGATTATCCCGACGAATGGCCAGAGTTGTTAAACCAGTTATATCAGGCAACCACCAGTTTTGATAATGAGTATGCATTGATTGGTGGATTAAATGTTTTAACTGATTTATTTGATGATTTGATTACTGAAGAACAATTTTGGGAAGGGGGGATTGCAAATGAAATTACCAATCATATTAATAATATATTATCCCGTGACTTGAGTGCGGATGTCAAAGCGCAGGCAATTAAGTTATATTCAAGCGTTGTTGCCATTTTGAGAAGTCCAGAAGCATTTAATAGTCCAGAACGAAAACAATTTGTTATCAATCATGTTGGAAATTTCCTCCAAATCTTTATAAAGTTATTGGAAACTTCTTATCAAAAGTCTACAACTGAGTCGTTTGTTCTGTTGACTGAATTGAACTTAAGAACATTAGTGTATACTATTATAAGCACTTTGGTTGGTGATTTCCATAAAAAGATTCCTCAAGATGTTAAAGCAAGAATATTGAAATTAGCATTAGATGATTTCCATTATATTTCTAACGTATTCAAAGAATTAATGGTTGAAGAAAATAAAAACATTCAAGTATCTGAAACTTCATATCAATCCCCAGCTTCCATAATAATGAATAATGTTATTGGCGAATTAATCCAAACTATTTCATGTACCCAACTTGACATTGCTATAAGAGATGTAGTCCCATCCCAACAGTTCATAACAGATTTAATCCAGACTACTTTATTGACAAAGCAAACCATTGAAGAATATGAAGCAGATATAAATACTTATGTAAGTGATATAACTGGATTATCTACCGTTTCAAGAGCCAGAGATTATGTTTATGAGCTTCTTGGGGAATTAAATGATAGTGATTCCTCAGAGGTATTTGCATATATTACCAATGATCTTCATTCTGATAAAGATTGGAGAGTCTTGGAAGCAAAATTATTCATTTTGGAAAGTATGTTTGCAAATGATGATGTTGAACTACAATCTAATATTTCAACTTTGGGATTATTGAATACATTTACAAAATTTATTACATATGACCAACCATTAATCACCTCAAGATGTTTTATTTTGCTTTCGAAATTCTTTGAAAAATTCAGTGACATGAAACAGTATGCATCCAAAGCATTTCTGGAAATGATATCATTTTCATCTCAAGTTATTAATAGAAATGAAGAAGCAATGGAATTTATCAAGATTTCTACGTTAGTAAGTTGTACATATTATAAACATGTTGTTGACTTTTCCACAGACTTAGAAAATCCAAAAGAAATACAAATATCAATTTTTAGATTAGCAGCTTCATTAATTGAAGATTGTGAAGAAGATGGATTACCAGCATTACTTGAAGCAATCACAGATGCAATCACAATCGATCCAGCAAATGCTACCGGAGTTCAAGTTGCCGAAGGTACTAATGTTGTTGATATTATATTGAAGATTTCCTTTAAAGATCCAGCCAATGTTCAATTGATAGTAGATGCATCGGATTGTTTAACTTCATTATTGGCGAATATTTCCATTCAAGATTATTTGATTGGTTGTGAAAAATCCTTACCATTTATATTTGATATTATGAAACGTGAAATAAGTCAAGGACAAGTTGAATATTCTCCTGAATTATACTTAGCCATGGAATTATTAAATATCATTATTGAATCTGTTCCTCCAACGGAAGATGGATTACCTTCACAAATATTCTACTATGCATTCCCCGTTTTAAAGAATGTATTATTATCATCATTCGATAATCAAATTCTACAAAGTGGAGGTGAGGTTTTCAATCATATTATTCAAAAAGCATCAAAATTATTCCTTGAATATCAAGATCCAGAAACAAGGGAATCAGGGATTGATTGTATGATGTCTATTGTGTATAAATTCTTATCACCGGAATTGTCTGATAGTGCTGCCAATAATTGTGGATCCATTGTATTGTCATTAATTGATAAATATCAATCATATCTTTCTTCAGAATTCTTAACCCAAATATTAGAAGCTACAGTAAAGAGATTAGTTGTCGCCAAGGAATCCATAACGATTGAAAATTTAATTATGGTATTTTGTAAATTGGTCTTAAATTCCCCAGAAGAAATGATTAATTTCTTAAGTAATAACATCAATCTTGAAACTCCACAGGGTACCAAAAATGGATTGGAAATTATTTTACCAATTTGGTTTGAATCATATGAAGTAACTAGAGGATATGAACACATCAAACAAAATTCAATTGCATTGGGTAAGATTTTTACATTGGGAGATTCAAGAGTTGAGAATCTTATTGTTAATGGAGAAATAATCCCATATGATGGAGATTTAATCATTACTAGATCAATGGCAAAATCAATGCCTGATAAATATACTCAAATTCCTGCCTCATTAAAAATCTTGAAATTATTATGTGGAGAATTAGAATTTCAATGTCAACAACCAAATGCTGAAGATTATTTACCTGAAAATATTGCCAATGAAGATGGGGATGATGAAGGTTGGGAAGATATGGAAGATATTGGAGTTCCTAATTTTGAAAAATTGAAATCTTATGTCGAATCTGATGGAGAAGATGATGGTGGAGAACATGAAGATCAAAAAGGGGATGAAGGATTAAAGAATTTATTAGTTCAATTCTTCAAAGAATGTACTGGTAAAGATTTGGGTCATTTTAGAAAGTATTATGAGCATTTATCTGATCATGAAAAAAAGATAATTACCGAGTGTTTAGTATTTTAAAACCCTTGTATATATATGTAGTTTCTTTAAATGAAATAAATGCTGAAACCTAGATTGTAGAAGGATCTCGGGGCAAGACCAGAACTTTGAATTTTGGATGTAGATCTGTACAATCTATTGAGAGTGCCAGTACAATATTAGATAGCTGATAAGTTGAAGTTTGGATGTAATTTACGAGGTTAATATTTTTTAGTATGATGATTTCTTTTTCTCACCCGAAAAAAAAATATTAAAAAATTTGTGATGAGTCTTTTGAAAGCAAGAAAACTTGAATCATCGACTATAATCTGTTCAACATTTTAGAAAGCATGCGATAAATGAAACATATTACTAAACTACTAACAATATTGAAACATCAACAGCAATACAGGAATTATACACAAATGTCGTCATTTACTACTAGAATATTAAACGTTAGACCAGAATCTATCGCATTCAATTCAGATAATAATCTACCCATAATATCTGATCAAGAAACCAAAGATAATTTAGATATTGCAGCTAATGAACTAACAACAACTAATAATGCAATCGGATTCCCCACAGAGACAGTTTATGGATTAGCTGGATCGGCCCTTAGTGATGAATCAGTGAGATCTATTTATAGAGCCAAGAATAGACCAGCAGACAATCCATTAATTGTTCATATATCATCCATTGATCAATTGAAAAGAAAACTATTACCATCAGATTATGAAATACCAGAAATTTATAAACCATTAATTGAAAAATTCTGGCCAGGACCTTTGACTATATTATTACCAATCCATCCAAATTCACCAATATCTTCATTAGTCACTGCAAATCAAGATACATTTGCTGTAAGAATGCCTAGTCATCCCGTAGCGAGAGCATTGATTGCCATTAGTGATACCCCAATTGCAGCTCCTTCTGCAAATGCATCAACTAGACCTAGTCCTACGTTGGCCCAACATGTATATAATGATTTACAAGGGAGGATCCCTTTAATTTTGGATGGGGGTGCGTGTGATGTTGGAGTTGAAAGTAGTGTCGTGGATGGATTGGTTGATCCTCCAATGTTATTGCGACCAGGTGGGGTTTCAGTTGAAGAAATTAAACAATTTGGAGGTGAGAAATGGAAAAATATCGTATTGGCCAAAAAGACAGCTGGGAAATTAGAAGCTGTTAGAACTCCAGGGATGAAGTATAGACATTATTCACCAAATGCAAAAGTAGTATTATTTACTAATTGTAAAGATGGAATTAATGAAATTGATCAATATTTAAAGAAGAATGATATTGGTCCACAAAATAAGAAAATAGCATTATTGAAATCGAGACATTTTGCTAGTCAACCACAAATAGAGATTGAGAGAGATTTGGGTAGTTCAGGAAGTGATATATCACGAAATTTGTTTAGATTGTTAAGAGAAGTGGATGAGTTGAATGTTGATTTGATTTTAGTTGAAGGGATAGATGAATCAGATGAAGGATTGGCAGTGATGAACAGATTGAGTAAAGCAGCATTAGAAATTGTTGATGGGAATGTCACCAACGGTGTAATTGCCTGATAATTTACAACAAAAGATGGTGGAAAAATTGCCAACCTCTAGAATAGAATGAAATTATAGATAGGACTTTTAATATAAATTGTATTTATAGAAATATAACACGTAAATATGATTACGAATTCAATTTGAGTGGTTGTGAGTCTCTTAGTCGTCTTCTTATGAGCCCACCTAACAGCTTCCAATATTTACAGTTGGAGCAAGGCGAATTTGCCATTTTCTGACTTTAGAAGCATATGGAACGACTTGGTTTCTCTTGGCAAATTAGAACACATAAACAAGTGGGAATTGGCATGACCGTAAAGTGGGGAACAGAGCTCCTCGCTGTCTCCTTAGAGGAAGAAGAAGCAAGCAATTTCAAAGCCATCTACCCTGGCTGAAGTTGGTTGCAAAAAAAGAAACTCGCAGAGAACTCGCCTACAATACTGGAGGAAATAAACAAGCACTTAAAGAACCAAAAGGTTAGCGAAATTTACTCTCAGGCGGAACAACTATAGGTTGAAGTAATCCACTCCCCCTGTAGGTTGTAAAATAATCAGATATAAACAGTAAAGAGGTAACAAGGAAGAAGCATTGTGCAGAGTTTCATAAAAATTAGTGCCGTTGACAAACTCGGCTTTAAGGTCAGGGGAATCGAATGAGCGGCACATTGAAGCATATGCCACAAAACTAAACAACTGTCGCGTGATCCAATTAAAACCTAAAGTTTGAACAATTGGGTTTATCTACGACAGTTAGCTTTGTGACGTTACATTCTAATGACGAATAATCAACGGGTGATTTATACCATTAGACCCCTAAAGAGTTACCTCACGTGGATGCTAAGTATAAGAAACCAATAGTAAAAAAATTATTGACTCAGCCTCCTTCTTAATTTTGAGACACAAGAGGAAGAAGTTATCTTTGTTTAGCTGACAAGAAGACATTATAATATGTATGATCTATTCCCTATGTACAACAATCTCTTACTACAATTGGAGCATCAGATGATAGAAATCGATAGAATTAGGGCTAGACGAATCTTATAGAATATGATAATTAGCTAAAAAGAAAAACGATAAGACATGATGATAACTCCTTCTCCTTCTAGTAGCTGATTTATCTGATTGTCAGTTTGTACCTTCAGAACTAAGCGCTTTTAAAAAGATAATAAGACAATGAAGAGGAGATTGATTTTTTGGTTTTAATTTTCTCGTAAAACACGTCAAACAAAAGTTCTTCAACTTTTAATTTTTTTTTGGCTTTCGCTTCTTCTTTTTCTAGATCACCTTTTATCCCCCCCCTCCTCCTGCTGCTAATCTCCCTTTAGAAAGATAAGCAAATTTATCACAAATCAAACAACTACAACCACCTCCTACCCTCCTACTAGTCCCACTTCATATTCAAGAAGAACAAGAGAGAGAGAGAGACAAATCAAACTTATTTAGACTCCAAAGAAGATAGATTGTTTAAATTTCCATTGTATTTTTCATTCCTGTGTTGTAAAAAAAGAAAAAGAAGTCTCATTACACGTTGTTCACACCTTTTTTTTTTTCTTTCTAACAAATTTCAAACTATCAATTTTCTTCATATAACCTCAACTTCAACCCACCTTCCTTTCATCAATAGATAGACAGAGAGAGATTGTGTGTGTGTTCTTGCGTGTGTATCATAAGAGAAGCAAGAGAGATAGATATAGAATACATCATTTGCACAAATATTATACAAAAGCAAAAAGACAGTAGATTATTTCATTCATTTTTTTAATCAAGAATTTTCACTTCAAAATCGTTTGTTCACTTCACCCAGAAATACAGCATCAGCATTATATAAAAGATGACTGATAATCCGTACGAACTAAGACCAATTCAAGCACCATCCAGAACAAGCACACCATCGATTAAGTTTTCACAGAAATCAATCGAAGACACAGCATCTGAATTACAAACCAACCTTATCCATGGGTTATGTAACAGTCAAGACATCTTGAATAGAAGATCCATACATGGTGTCAATGAATTAGCAGGTGAAGAAGCAGAAAGTTTGCTAATGAAATTTATATCTTCCTTTTATTCAGATCCATTGATTTTATTATTGATAGGTTCTGCTATAGTAAGTTTTTGGATGGGTAATAAAGATGATGCCATTTCAATCACATTAGCAATTACAATTGTTGTAACAGTCGGGTTTGTTCAAGAATATAGATCTGAAAAATCTTTAGAAGCATTAAATAAATTAGTACCAGCAGAGGCTAAATTAACTAGAAATGGAAATACATCAACAGTATTAGCATCTACTTTAGTTCCTGGAGATTTAGTTCATTTTTCACAAGGTGATAGAATACCCGCCGATGTTAGATTAACCGAAGCAGTATATTTGACTATTGATGAAAGTAATTTAACAGGAGAAAATAAACCAGTTAAAAAGAATGTTCAATCACTTGTATTAAATGGATCAGATGCCCCCACTGTGACTGAAAGAAGTTCAATTGCTCATATGGGTACATTAGTCAGAGATGGACATGGTAGTGGGATTGTTATCGCAACTGGACCAAGTACCGTGTTTGGTAGTGTATTTGCTATGATGTCAGAAATTGAAAAACCAAAGACTCCATTACAACAAGCTATGGATAAATTAGGTAAAGATTTATCCATTTTCAGTTTTATTGTTATTGGTATCATTTGTTTAATTGGGATTTTCCAAGGAAGAGCTTGGTTAGATATGTTCCAAATTTCAGTTTCATTAGCCGTTGCTGCCATTCCAGAAGGTTTACCTATTATTGTCACTGTAACTTTAGCTCTTGGGGTTTTGAGAATGGCCCGTCAAAAAGCTATTGTTAGAAGATTACCAAGTGTCGAAACTTTAGGTTCCGTTAATGTCATTTGTTCTGATAAAACCGGAACTTTAACTCAAAATCATATGACCGTCACTAAAATATGGGCAACTGATTTTAAAGGAAGTTTCAATAGTCCGTTTTTATTTGTGGAAAGACTTGATGATAATACTTTACATCACCAATTGACCGGAAATATCCGTAAGACTTTAGATTGTGCCAATATCTGTAATAATGCCAGATATTCTACTGAAAATGAAAGATATGTTGGAAATCCAAGTGATATTGCTCTTGTTGAATGTTTACCCCATTTCGGATTAGAAGATACCAGAGGTACCAAGGAAAGACTTTATGAATTACCATTCTCATCCAATAGAAAATATATGGCTGTTTGTGTTCATAGTGGTGATTCTGAAAAAGCAGAAACTATAGCAAAAGGTGCAACTGAAAAGATTTTAAAACTTTCCAATAGATATTATGATGAGCATGAAAATATTAGACCTTTGACCAAAGAAATTGAAGATATTATTCATGAAAAATCACGTACGTTAGCTAGTGATGGTCTTAGAGTATTGGGATTCGCTAAATCCAGTAAGAAATTTATCAATGAAAAAGATGAACATAATGAACCTTCAGATTTAATTTTCTGTGGTTTGATCGGTATGAAAGATCCACCAAGACCAAATGTTGGAAAATCAATTGCTATGTTAATGAAAGGTGGAGTTCATGTTATTATGATTACTGGTGATTCCCCATCTACCGCAATGAATATTGCCAGACAAATCGGGATGCCAATTATTGGAGACCATTCTGTCATGACTGGTGATCAGATTGATACTTTAAGTGAAGCTGCTTTGGCTGATGCCATTCATGATGTTTCTGTTTTCGCCAGAACCACTCCAGAACATAAAGTTGCCATCGTTAAAGCTCTTCAAAGAAGAGGTGATATTGTTGCAATGACTGGGGATGGTGTTAATGACGCGCCAGCATTAAAGCTTGCTGATATCGGTATTGCTATGGGTAAGAATGGTACTGATGTTGCCAAAGAAGCAGCTGATATGGTTTTGACTGATGATGATTTCTCCACTATTTTAAGTGCAATTGAAGAAGGAAAAGGTATTTTTAATAATATTCAAAATTTCATTACTTTTCAATTATCAACTTCTATTGCGGCATTGACTTTAATTGCATTGTCTACATTCTTTGGATTACCTAATCCATTAAATGCTATGCAAATTTTATGGATTAATATATTGATGGATGGACCACCAGCTCAATCTTTAGGTGTTGAGCCTGTTGATCATGAAGTTATGAATAAACCACCAAGAAAACGTAACGATAAGATCTTAACCAAACAACTCATTCATCGTGTCTTACAATCAGCAGCCATGATTATTATTGGGACATTATATATTTTCATCAAAGAAATGACGGATAATGAAATTACCGCCAGAGATACCACCATGACATTCACCTGTTTTGTATTCTTTGACATGTTTAATGCATTATCATGTCGTCATTATTCAAAATCAATATTTGAAATGGGAATCAAGAATCAAATGTTTAATTTTGCCGTTGCTGGTTCAATAATTGGACAATTATGTGCAATTTATGTTCCATTTTTCCAAAGCATTTTCCAAACTGAAGCATTGTATTTTATTGATCTTGTACATTTATTAATTTTAACCAGTTCGGTCTTTGCTTGTGATGAAATTAGAAAGTATTTACTTAGAAGAAGAACAATGTATAATAGCACCTATAATTATGGAGTGTGAGATTGATTGATTTGGTTGATGACAACGATGATGATGATGACAAAAATATTTTAAGGTTTTCTTATATAGATTTATATAATAAAACGAAGTTAATAGATAGAATAAATAAGAAATTGGACATTTATAAATACCAGTGTAAGCTTGTTATCATGCAAGATGCAGAATTTCTTGTGACCATTATGTCACGCCCGACCACAAAGACTAACAGTTTTCCCAACAATATCCAATATCCTATGTCCTACTTAGAAATTCTCTGACACAAGTTACATCTTCCCTGCGACAATAAAGCAGACTTGTTGAGAAGGTCATTGGCTAACGATTTAATGGTCAATGGGCTTTCGGTTGACATTCATTCTGTCCCCAATTTGAAAATCAAGCATATGGAAGGGTGCAAAACTGTTAATACTGTAGTTTTAAGTAGGCGCGAGGACGCGGCAGAAACAGCCAGTCAAGCTCAGCTGATTCATAAGATTAGCTTTTGATGAGTTCCAAGAGCGTTCAGAGTTTGCGCGAAATGCTCAGATGGAAAGTTCTTGATTCTATGCCTCTGGTTTCTATTCTAAATCAGGGACTATCATCTTCTTTTACAAAACTCCTCATTACTTGGTGCATGCTCCCCCCCCCCCCCCCCCCACACGCTGGCGTGTCCACTTCCACCCCCCTATATGGATGAAAGTTATGCATACTGTGGACTTTTAGGTCCGTCGGTCCCCCGCTCTCCGTGGGTTGGCTGGAGAAGCCGGTTTAGGGGCTTAAGGTAATCTTAGTTCTACCGGGGTATGCTCTAGATTGTTTCTTCTAGTCTTCCCTTCCTCCCTCCCCTCCAACATGTCAAAAACCTTAAACTTAAAATTGTTATCTAAAAAATATTTCAACAGTCAATCAATTGTCGATGGGATCTATCGGGAATCCGAGTCAAATATTGATTCTCAGGAGTTACCCTAGTTGATCTTTTAGTGTCTCAGTATATGACTCAGTTGGATAATCCCGATTGCTTAGTAATCGACGAACAACTGAACAAAAGAAAACCGGAAAAGATCCGCGGAATTTCTTTTCCTAACAATGGCGTGACTGTTAGGTTAGATTTTCGTAATTATAAAACTTCACATTATCCCATTCACACGACTTCATCATTTATGTTGTTTGTCCATCATTATCAACTATAAATAGACAACACAAGTCTTATTAAGTAGAGTAACTAAGTATCAAGACTTTAAGGGGAGAGGAGCACAATCAAATATGGTATTCAAATTCAATATAGACAATGTTCTTAATCAATATATTCCACCAAATAGATTAGATAGATTACCAAAACCAATAGGTAGATTTCTTGGTGCTCATTCTCCAAAACCAGCTCCAGATTATTTGATCTGGTTAGAAATCCTAGTAAGTTCATTCTGTGGGATACTAGTACTAGAAGCAGTATTCATGAGTGAACATACCGCTTTTAGTTCCCTTGATCCGCCCGTTATCATTGCCAGTTATGGTGCTGCCGCGGTGCTCGTATTTCTGGTGCTGTATTCTCCATTAGCACAACCAAGAAATGTGATATGTGGACAATTTGTCAGTTCTTTGATTGGGATCAGTATCCAGAAACTCTTTTGGTTAACTCAAACTGGAAGAGATCATTATTATTTATCAGCAGCCTTACTGGTTGCTGTTGCAAATACAGTACAAACGATTCTTAATGTTGCCCATCCACCTAGTGGTGCGCTGGCGTTACTCCCACTGATTGATGATAGTGTTAGAAACCTTGGTTGGCATTATTTATATATCCAACTAGTATCTTGTATTTTGATTTTAGGGGTTGCATTAATATTTGGGAATATATTTAGAAGTTATCCAATTTATTGGTGGACTCCAGGTCATGTAGGTAAGAAGAAACCGGCACCACTGCCTACTAAACCTGAAGCTGATGACGAGGGGGAGGAGAGTAGTAGTGATATGGGTCGTGTTGTGACTAATAATATCTCCATATTTGATGATAAAGCTGACGTGAATACGATTAGAGGGTTGAAAAGAATTACAATCACCGTTGATGATATTATGGTGCCTGAAGAAATGGATTTGGATGAAACGGATATAAACTGGATAGAGGAATTACAAGTGAAGTTGAGAAGAATAGAGCAATATAGCGGTCATGTGTAAGAGTAGCATATTCTAGCTTTTTATTTTATTTTGGTGTATATACAGTATTTATAGAATTGCTAAAATAGATTACATTTTTAACTGAACTACCTTTTTAAGATCTCTTCAGCAGAGACTGGCCCTTTGAAATCTGGTTCTTCTAATTTATCAAATAAAGTTTTGGCAACCTGTTCCGTTGACATAACTGGCCTTACCAATTCTGCTGCAAATTTCTTCCCTAATACAGTTTCTTTGGTGGCAATTCCAAGTTTTAAAGCTCGTAAAAATACATCTCTAGTAGTTAATGCACCTTCATGAGTTTCATCATACATTATCCCCGGTCTCATAAATATCCCCCTAAGTCCTTCTTTACAACTCAATTCAAATTCAGCTTCCCTTTTGGTTGACAAATAACCTGATGGTACTAATGGTGGACACAGATCTGCCGAAATATATACAAAGTTTCTTGGAGGGTCTGGTTTCTCTTGAACAAACTTGTCGGCCAATAATACCGCGGCATCTCTTTGAATGGCTTCATAAGTACTATTTCCATCCTTTTTCATTGGATTAGCTCCATTGATTGAATTTGCTAAATGTTGAATATCATTTAAGAAATTAAAATTGGTATTCATAGTTTTCTTATAAGATTGATTCTCAAATAAGATCCCAATTGAATATACAATTGTATTAAAATCTTTTAATTTATTTACATAAGAATCCAGATTAAAAATATCGGCCCTTTCCCATTCAACTTTTTTAATCCAAGGTTGATGAATTATATTTTGAGGGGGATCTCCAGTTCTTGAAAATGATGTTACATTATATCCTCTAAGTACTCCTATTTCACAAATCTTATGACCGACGAATCCGTTTCCTCCAAATACTGCAATTGATTTCAGCATTGTCTTAATCTAAATTGGTAGTGATTTATGACGTGTAACTGGAAAAAAGGGAGTCACTTTAGTACGGGATCTGAGATGATTCCATTTTTTTCGTTTGGGGTTCAGTTTCAGGGGTGAAAGAGCGGAGTGAGAATTTACAAAGTGGAATGATTGCGAAAAATTTTAATTTAAAGTTTCTCTTCCATCATGCAATAATGTTCATCTGATGTATAGATGAATCAGTTTTAGTTCCAATGAATATAGTCATTTGATTGATTCACGTCTTATGACGATATTTTTCAGCCAAAGATTAAACAGAAACCTGGGCCCCTTTTATAAGAAGTGCATCAATCATAAAGAGGCCTTTGGTTCCACTATAATATAGCTTCAATCTATAAGTACCACACGGGTCTGGAATCAGAAAATCCCTGAAAGATTGAATATATGATATTTCCAGATGTTCTTACTACAAGCATGAAGAGCTACAACAGATTGGAATACCGGTGTCATCCATTCTAGAACAAAACGAAAGTTTCTATATCTAGATTGCGTTGGCCTTTAGTCTTCGTTATCTTCTACACATCATAGCTTCCATGCAAAACGAGCTTGGGGAAAAGATATGATTTCTTCAATGGGGAGCCATGATCTGTCTCCCTGGTGGCTGGAACGAAAACGTCCGGCTAAGTCATTGTTTCATATAAATTCTTCCACCAGGTTACTGTAACTCTCATCCACTCATCCAAAATAAACGCATAGGTCCCACAACAGATCACCTCTCTTATCAGGATTATAAATCAGTAGTTTTGTTGCAATGGAAGCCACGTTTACCTTGCATATATCCGCTATTCCTATGCCTGAGACTTGTGGCTAGTTACATGTATCATATTTTTTACAGGTAGAAATTTAGTTGCAGTTTTTATGTATAATTTGCCACAACCCTCTTGGTTTTGTTACGCTGCAGCTTGCATTAACACCGAGCTTTTGAGAATGTCGTTTGAATTGAGAAGTGAGACTGGATAGACACAGAGGGATTAATTTATTATTGAGATGTTCAGTTCTAATCGAAGTTGATATCTCATGGAAAGAGTTGATCCACGTTTATCTACAACATTTATCTACAGGTCAAATTAATCAGTCAAAATATTAATGGAAACTTTATTTAATAAACTAATACTAATATACAAAAGGACATTTATTGTCCAAACTTCTTCTTAAACATAACGAATTCTTCATCTTCAACTTCTTCTAAAGAAGGATGCATATGTAATTTAGCCAATGATGCATCCTCTTTAGCAGTTCTGGATAAGGTGGTATCACCTCTAGAAACAATAGAATCCGCATCAGATGTTTCCTTAGTTACAACTGGAACAGATTTAATATTATCTAAGGTCTTATTTCTTTTCAATTGTTCAGGTTTTGGTGCAACTTTTGGTTTTGGGTTTTGTTTCATGGGAGTTACTTTAATTGTATCTTCATCTTTCTTTAGGTTTTTTTGTTGTTGTTTTATTTCTTCGTTTGGTCTAGAATCTCTACGTGGATATACTGGACCTAAATTAAATCCAAAGAAATGCTTAAGGAAATCTTGTTGTTGTTTAATAAAATCGTCATATTCTTGTTGTCTTTCCCTTTCCAGTTGGACAAATCTTTCTTGACGTTTCTTTGCTTCAATTTCAGCTTTCTTTTTAGCTTCTAATTCAGCTTGTCTTTGAGCTTCTAATTCAGCCTTTTTCTTGGCGGCTAATTCAGCTTGTTTTTTGGCTTCTGCTTCAAATCTTCTTTTAGCTTCTAACTCGGCTTGTCTTCTGGCTTCCAATGCAGCTTGTCTTCTGGCTTCTAATTCTGCTTGTCTCTTGGCTTCTTCGACTTCTTCGGCTTGCCTCTTAGCTTCTTCAACTTGTCTCTTAGCTTCTAACTCTGCTTCTCTTCTAGCTTGCTCAGCCTCTTTTCTATCTTCTTCAGCTTCTGTTACAGCTTCCAACTCAGCCCTCCTATGGGCTTCCTCAGCTTGTTCGTTAACTTCAGAAGCCAATTGGCTACCATTAACCTCAGGGCTATGCACACCTTCATCTTCAACATAAGCATCCTCTTCCTCAAAATCAGATTCATCAGCATGATATCTATCATGACTAGCCTCACCTTGTTGAACTGGAAGACGATCATGACCATTAAACAAACAATTCAAAATGTCTTCTAAATTCAGATGAACATAATGAATTCTTTTTGGGATATTTAAACATAAGATATTTCTTTGTCTATACCATTGCCAATTAATATTTTCAATATCAATATAATTAATATTAAATTGAAAAGTTTGTTTAAAATTATCTTGTTCAGATTGAATTATGATATTAACTAATGGAGGAGTTGATGATTTTACAACTTTAACTTCATAATTATTATAATTACCATATGGCTTCTGAATTTGGATTTGGAATTCATCTTCTGTTTCTAATTTCTTAATAATTCTTGGTTTTGAATTGACTCTTGGTTGTTGATAATATTGTTGTTGATGTAATAAATTGAATAATGAATCTAAGTCATATTGACTAGATGGAGCACCAGTATTATAATATTGATTAAATGGAAACATTTTATTATTAGCTTAGTTTGTATTTATGAGATTGCTGTTAATTGGTTATTGTGAATATAGAATTGTAAGTAAAAAGAAAGAAAGGGAAAGTAAAAACTTAAGGAGAAGTGAAATATTTATAGACTTTTTTAAGGAGTGAGAGTCATACTTAGTAGGAGTAGATGACCCTGAGTTATAAAATGTGGAGAGATTATTTTTTATTTTTTCGAATGTTCCAGAAGAAAATATCACTTTGTGTAACAATATATTATTTTTTTATCTTGTTAAGAGAACCTTCTCGAAAGAGATTCTTGCACGTACAAAGTAGTCACCATCGAACTATGTTAACCAAAATTCTAATCTACCAACTGTCACAAACACAACGCCCCCCTCAATATCCATTATTGGAAACCTTGTATTATTAAATATAGGTACCAGTTTTCCTGCCAAGCATATTATCCCCGATACAGATCCCATTGCGATTTCAATTTCTCTAGCCAGCTTTGACCAGCAAGTTAGTTCAATTATTACTTTCATCTCTGATCAGCCAGTAATATTCTACCTTGTACACTATTGGAGAGTGGTTTTCTAGCAAAACAAATACAATTTGCGAGAGTAAATCCTGGGTCCTAATTCGAAATACACAGTTGAAAACTAGCTAAGTTAAAGCAAAAAAAGTTGCACTGAAATTATTTCCAACCGTCGGATAAATATGGTATCTTCACTTTCTAATCTCGTCTCGATGTATCTAGAGCTCAGACAATTGTAAAATCGCTCTTTCGGTTAATATATGTATCAAAACCATTCTTTTTCTTTATGTAACCCATATGTTATACTAGCCACTTCCAGAAGTTTCAAATACACCCAGACTCTACTCAGAATCAAGCAGGTTGTATATTCCTCTGACGTCGTTATTCTCCCCTGCTTGTATGCCTTACCTGTCAACCCCATTTGGTTATTTTATTTAGACAAGACATGTAGATAACAACGTGTGTGAAAATCCATCAGCACTGTGGCAGTAATCTGTTATTTAGAGAAACGAACCAAGTCAAATATGTATGATAAAGAGTATTTCGTGAGCTGCAATATTCCTGGCGGTGGAAATATAAATCTGTAAAAAAATATTTTTAAATAAATTAGATCTTGCATAAAAAATAATCTTTTGCAACAATTTTTATTTGACATTCACTCAAGTAGTACTAAATTGTTATTGTAGTTCAGAGACAAAGTAATAAAATGGAGAGATGGCATGGTGGGTTGGTTTGTTTTAAGATTTGTAAAATTTATTTCGGGGAGTACCGTCTTCATTCTTCAATAATTTGGAGAGGGATTTCGACCCCATCTCAAGAATGGGCGAATGGGCCTGTGCGGAAATAGAAGTTAGACGAGCGATACCAAAAAGGACTCAGTATTCATGAACAAAGTAACCAGGGAATATATACTAGTACACAGAATGGCAGCAAGATTTTCGGACAGAAAGATCCAAAAAGTTGACATCTTCTAGTATAAATGGAGTCATATAGTGGTTGAAAATATTGAAGTTAACACTTGCCATAGCACGTTGTTGTTATTTCCAAAGGTTCAAAATGATCCTGGATCTGTGTTCATACTATGAACTATCAAACATCTAATCTTCGTGCAGCTCAAACATTTTAAGAGTCCAAGTAACGGCACTCTAGAAGAGTTTCTTTCTTTATTAATCTTAGAATTGTCTTTTAATATTGAGAGATAAGTTGGAAAGAACCCTTTGTTTAATCGTGTTCCAAGCGCTAAATCTTAGACGCACGCGCATTTTGGCTATCAGAAGACTTAACAGATAAACAATTAATCCCTTTATCAAACGCTACTACTAATAATAGATTGAAACTTTTGTTTACTTGTTGAAGCAATCAAATTGACATTGGAGAGAAAGTAAAAAGCAGTATTCATAGAAGGGAGCCATAGGTTGATGATTAAAGAAGATATTGATGCCTTTCCAATGAATCAGACTTCCAATTTCTATGTTATTTTGTTTGGACCTACTTGCTAGAACTTAAGCTCACATTCACTAGTTATACTGAAGTAAAGATTGCGTATTATCTTCAGACACAATCCGTCATGCAAATCTTTCCATTCTGTTGTTTTTCTTAAATCTAGAAATGTTTTGTGATAGATGTCTGATCTCAATAGATTCTTACCGATGCTCTACAATTTCTTACAAGAACGGGTTTATAAGGGTATATAACCGAGGTTGAATTGACTGTGAGAATAAAAAAAGATGCTTAATTCTTGCCAAGGCGGTTATGCTTTGGTTACAATACAGATGGAGCAATATAATGTTGAGGCGACCAATTTATTGTTTTAGACATCTCATGAATAATGGAAGAAGAACAATTTACAAGCGAACAACCGATTTTCTGATTGTTACTTTAAGTGGCATAAAACAATTAACAACCCGAAAGGGGGTCGGAAGGAGATGAGTTTGATTCTGTGTTCTGAAAATCTGGTACAAACACATTTTTCTTAGATTAATTTTTGATCTAGAACTAAAAAGGATAACTTTGTGTAACAATTTGTCTTTTTCAGGTTGTAATAACCGATTCTTGTCCAAGGAACGGTTAAAATAAGACCCTTTCAAGAGTTATAGTCTGAATCTCTGCAACATATTTCGAATCAATAAAACAACGTGATTCCAGTATAGTCGTATTTTGCAGTATTAAATTCAGGTGATGATGATTAATGGATGGAGGGTCTCAAATTCTTATATACAGTACGTTTATTTACATACCAAAAACACATCCAAACTTACATACAAAAAGATTTTTCTAAGACACTGCCTCGTTAATGAGCATTTCCATTTTGGGATAACTTTATTTAAGCTGCAAAAACGTGATTCGCAGCCTTCGCATAAATTAATTAATATATTTACTTATTTATTGCCGATTTGTAAGATCACCTCATAGATATTATCATTTATACATTTTGTAATACCTATGACATCAGTATTACAACTTAAAAATTATTATCATTAATTAAGAAAAAATTGACGTTTCTAAAAATAAATTTGAATCTTTAGATTTTATTAAAAATACGTAACTTAGGACAATATGCAGTACATCATTTTTTTTTTAAATAAAAAATTTTAACAAAATAAAAAAAATAAACAATGAAAATTAAACAACCACATTTTATTTTACGGTTAGTCAATAAAAAATCATTCAACTCACATTTAATAAAAACTAAACTGATCTTTTTTTTTATTAAGTTCTTCTTTTTTACACCTTACAAGAATATATAACTATTTAGTCATCCATATATATATTAATATATATATATTATACAAGTTATTTACTAGTCATCAACATCCAACAGTAACCTCTCCTTACATTACACACCCCATTCCACTCCTTTTTAATTTTCATATATTATTAAAAACATAGATTTAATCAACAACAACAAACTTATATAAAGTCAACACACACACACACAGCCAACATGGATAAACAAACTACTAGGAGAGCTCCAGTTACAACCAATATAAGGGTTGTACTATTCACAATATTAATAACATCTATAACCATTATAATGTTAATCAAATTAGCTCCATTCTCAGGATGTCATCACAATCATCATAACCATCATGGTCATCATCACAACAAAGATAAGCTTCATACACCACATCTTCCTGTAGTTAATGCTACTGGTAGTGGTAGTACTACAGTTTCGAATAGTCAAAGAATCATTGTTATTGATGATAATGATGATTTAGAAGATGCTATTGCCGGATTATCTTCTATTGGTTCACTTTCTTATAAATCCATTTTAACTACTCATATTATCAAACGTGCCGATGGTGATAATACTTCAACTCCAGCCACCCCATCAGTAACAAGTGAATCAACCCCCATCTCATCTACTGAATCTTCAACCCAACCAACCACATCTGAACAAACTACCACATCTAGTGAAACCACAACCACTTCCCATTCAGAAACCACCACATCTTCAACAACTTCTTCAGAACATACTACTACCACTTCTTCGGAACGCACTACAACAACCCTGTCAACAACTTCTTCTGAAGCTGAAGAAACTACTGAATCTGAAACTTCTGAACCCGAAGAAACCTCAACAACTTCAACTACTTCATCAACTACATCTTCTCAAACAACTACTTCAGTTTCAAGAGTAGTTACTACCATGAGTTCAGTTGATAATGGAAGAACTGTTATTATTACTCAAACTTCCACTATTACAAACCCAACTCCTACTTCATCTAGTAATGAAGATAATAATAATAATAGTAGTGGATTATCACAAACTAATAGAATTGTTGTTGGGGTTGTTGTTGGTGTTGGTGGTTCTATTTTGATTGGTATTATCGGAGTTTTATTTTATTTAAGAAAGAGAAATAGTCGTGATTATGAAAATGGTGGTTGGACTTTCTGGAGAAAGAATGAAAAAGTTGGTAGTGATGAATTCTTTAATGGTGAATTAGGTGTTAGAGATAGAAATATTAATCAAGGGTCAAACTTTTAGATTAATCAGACTGTTATGGTTTTATTCATTCTTGTTTTAGTATCATTGTCGTTACGATACTTCGCAACAAGTTATAATAATAATAATAATAAAATAAGATACTTTTTACTTGGTTGCCTTTTAATATTGTGAATTAGTGGTTTTTGTTTGCTTTTTACATTTTTATATTTTTTTGATTTTGATTGACAAGTTTTATTTCAACCACACCTTTCAATAGCAGGTTGTTACATACATTATTATTATTTTTATTAATTAATGATGAGGTTTATATTGTATCACCAGTTTTTTTAATAAGTGTGTGTGATAATCAAATCCTTTTCTTTTAGTTTTTAGTTAGAGTTCTTTTTCTTTTTATTAAATATATTTATGTTTAATTTTAATTTTAATTAATTTAAATAATAGCTTCTTCTCTTCTTCCAATGGGCTTCTGAGAGAGGAAGAGATAATTGAAATAGCATTAGTGTCTACAATAGATTTTTTTTAGATTCTAAGGTCAATTCTTAAAGGCCAAAACTGAATCAAATGAATTGCTTTCTTTTAACAGTATGAGAAGAAATGTACCAGGATTGAAGCATCGTCCCTAGAGAAATACACGATAGACGATCTTATTAGATCGTGTTAAGCTATAGGTTGGTACAATGAATCTGTATGTAGATTTGGTTGCAAAAGTAAAGATCTGAAGAGAAGATCTAGAATCGCCAAATAGATCCAACACCAAAAAAAAACGCGTCTTTTTTCATCTCTTGTTATTTATTCATTCATTTCTTATTCACCAAAGACAGGCCCAGCAAAGAACTAATAATGTCATCATATCAGCTATATCAACAAATATCTAGAGATGAAACGCATACATATAAGTTACTTCAACTACCACCAGAATTGCTTAATCAATTAGATAGAGCTGCTAATAACCAAGATGATGATGAATTACTTATAAAATCAGATATTAATTCACTTGTATTATGTACCAAAAATCAAACATGGAAATTACGACAAATGAATCATTCAAATACAGTTCTATTATTAAGCAATTTAAATATGGTTAAGAATAAGACAAGTTTAATCCAATCTGACGATTCATTAATTGGATTTCAAGATTGTAATTATGAATATGAATTAACTAAAACTCAAGGAATAGTTGATTTTACAACCATTCCAAAATATGATGGTACTTATAATAATATTACTGACAGCACCAATAATAAATCTATTCGTCAATTATTAGATGATTCATTATGTTCAGAAATTGAATTTTGGAAATTATGGTATGAACAATCTGGTTGTGAAATTGATGATATTGCTTACATAATGTCAAAACCATTCATAACGGAAATCTTATATGATTTAATCACCTATTTAATATCCAAAGAGATAAATTATAATCAATCAATTGAATTACAGCAATTAGATTCATTATTAAGTCCAAAAATCAATCCATCAATGATTATATCAATCCTACATAGATTTGCAACCATTGAAGATGGTGACATTGAACATGCATATAAATTAAATCATATCAAAATTTCTCAATGGTTTGGGATGATTGAATTATCCAAACGGGCTTCTCATCAATTATTAACAATTCCTGAATTTTTAATTGGTTGGAAGGGGTCATTACCACCATTTTATAATATCAGTTTAGATATTGAATATTTAAAAGGTTGGTATGCTATGCCTCAAGATGGTCATATTTTATTTGTTGATCGAGATGAATTATCTCAGAATATAGGTATTCGATTTAAACAATTATTTGAAGTTGATTCAAATTGGGATTATGATTTGTTTACGGCGTTTATTAAAGATATTGTACCAAAAGATAAAAAATTAGATGCAATAATTATTAAATTTGGTAAAAAGAAGAAAATTGGAAAAGATAAATTTATTGTATGTCCAAGATGATTCCTTCTTTCAAGATGACTCGATCATTTACTGGTAAGTCTCTGGGTCGAAAATGATGACTCGCTAGTCATTTCCGATATTGTTTCCCGTGTATTCTATATTTGGCAACAGAGATTTCGCAATTTGCAACATTTTTCATTTTTCTCTCGGGAAGCAAAAAAGAAAAAAAATCATTAAAAACTTTTCGAATTTTCTTTGGAACCTGACCATACAACTTATAGATATAGACACATAGATATGGATAATTCTACATTCATAATATCATTGATAGTAAGTAACACTATACCCAATCCCTCCTGTTAATAAATTTTTCTAACTTATTTCTTTCTTAGAGTGGTGGATGCGCAGGTACATCAACCGATCTTGCATTTTTCCCAATTGATACAATCAAAACCCGTCTTCAAGCAAAAGGAGGATTTTTCGCTAATGGAGGATATCATGGAATATATCGCGGATTAGGTTCATGTGTAGTCGCACTGGCCCCATCAGCATCCCTTTTTTTCATAACTTATGATTCAATGAAAATCTACACCCAAGATTATATTTCATCACCATCTCAAAGACATATGATTTCTGCGTCTTGTGGAGAAATTGCCGCATGTTTAGTCAGAGTGCCCGCAGAAGTTATTAAACAACGTACTCAGGCGGGACATTTGGGTCATGGGGGGATTTCATCAAGTTGGGCCAATTTCTTATATCTAATCAAGAATTCTAGTCAAGAAGGAGTGGTTAGGGGGTTATATCGAGGTTGGAATACTACTATTATGAGAGAGATCCCTTTCACTGTGATTCAATTCCCATTATATGAATGGTTGAAAGTTAAATGGATAACAACTACTCATTTGGATAAAGATCGATATTCGGTTATTAAAGGAGCCATGTGCGGTTCTGTTGCTGGATCTATTGCGGCAGCTGCGACTACTCCTTTGGATGTGATTAAGACTAGAATTATGTTACATAAAGAACGAGTAAGTGTTGGTCATTTAGTGAAAACTATGATTGAAGAAGAAGGTTATAGACCATTTTTGAATGGGATTGGACCTAGAACTTGTTGGATAGGTGCTGGTGGGGCAATCTTTTTGGGTTGTTATGAATTGGTTCATTCCAGTTTGTCTGCATATGTAAATAAACACAAAGTGTTAGAATAGCTTTATAGAATTATTAATAGATGAAAATGATAAGAAATCGGTATTCGGATTTGTAAAACTCGGACGTACTGCATATAAATATAGATCCCTCTTTCTTTTTGAAATTGCTTATAAATTTTTTTTGCCCTGTCAACAATTCTTTCGCCTTTCGCCAATTCATGCATGTAAATCTCTTCCCTCTCATTTTTTTTTTTTGCCCGGTGATTATAAATTATAAGAATCTCCTCCTCCATAAAATCAAATTTTATATTTCTTACAACAGGAACAGAGAAAGTAACCTTAAGGAATATTTAAAAACCAATTAATATGATGAGATCATTAGCATTAAGAACGTCAAGACGTTCTTTAAATCCAACCAATCATTCTAGCTTCGCTATTCGTACATTAGCAACTTCTTCTTCCCTTGATAAATTAGCCACAGCTTCTAAAAAAGCCGCTTCAACCACCACCATAACAGAAACTTCTAATCCAATCACAGGTGAACTTCATGTCTCCATTCATACTCCAGGTTCTACTGTTACTAAACCACCAAAGGGTTCTTCAATCTCTTTGAAGTCAGCCACAAGAGATCCTTCCCAATATGGTACTCGTCCGATTTATCTTGATGTTCAAGCTACAACTCCAACTGATCCAAGAGTCTTGGATAAAATGTTAGAATTCTATACTGGTTTATATGGTAATCCCCATTCATCAACTCATTCATATGGTTGGGAAACTGATAAAGAAGTTGAAAAGGCTCGTAAATATATTGCTGATGTGATTAATGCTGATCCAAAAGAAATCATTTTCACTAGTGGTGCTACTGAAACTAATAATATGGCAATTAAAGGGGTACCTAGATTCTATAAAAAAACCAAAAAACATATCATTACTACTCAAACTGAACATAAATGTGTTTTAGATTCGGCAAGACATATGCAAGATGAGGGATTTGAAGTTACTTATTTACCAGTTAATTCAGAAGGTTTAATTAGTTTAGATGATTTAAAAAATGCCATTAGAAAAGATACTGCTATTGTATCTATAATGGCAGTTAATAATGAAATTGGAGTTATTCAACCTTTGAAAGAAATTGGGGAAATTTGTCGTAAAAATAAAATCTTTTTCCATACTGATGCTGCTCAAGCTTATGGGAAAATTCCAATTGATGTAAATGAAATGAATATTGATTTATTATCCATCTCATCTCATAAGATCTATGGTCCAAAGGGTATTGGGGCTTGTTATGTCAGAAGAAGACCAAGAGTCAGATTAGACCCAATCATTACTGGTGGTGGACAAGAAAGAGGTTTAAGATCAGGTACTTTGGCCCCTCCATTAGTTGCTGGTTTCGGAGAAGCAGCAAGATTAATGAAGGAAGAAATGGAATACGATCAAAAACATATTTATAGACTTTCGGATAAATTGAAATCAGGATTACTTTCAATTCCATCAACTCAATTCAATGGTTCAATGGATCCAAAATCTCAATATCCTGGTTGTGTTAATGTTTCATTCGCTTATATTGAAGGAGAATCATTATTAATGGCACTTAAAGATATCGCGTTATCTTCCGGGTCGGCATGTACTTCTGCTTCATTGGAACCTTCATATGTTTTACATGCATTAGGTGCTGATGACGCATTGGCTCATTCTTCTATCAGATTCGGAATTGGAAGATTCACTACTGAAGCAGAAGTTGATTATGTTATTAATGCTATTAATGAACGTGTTGATTTCTTAAGAAAGATGTCTCCATTATGGGAAATGGTTCAAGAAGGTATTGATTTGAACTCGATTGAATGGAGTGGCCATTAGGGGGTCTGTTCTCTCTTTGTCTTTGGGCGTGTTTTACCTGTGTATTTGTACATATATATTTATCATAATCCGTATTATTATTATTATTATTATTCGTATTGTTAATGTTCTTCTATAATTGAGTCACAAAAAATTGGCCGATACCGGTACCTGTTGCAGGACACAAAATAAAAAAATCCGTTCGCTGTGTGTTCCCACTCCACTGACTGAAAAATTTCAAGGAACACCGAAATTTAATCTTTCCTTCATCATCTCTCTTCTTCAAAACTCAATTCCTTCCAATCCAAAACTAACATGTCTGAAACAATCACAAAAACAATTACCGTCTTACCAGGTGACCACGTCGGTACCGAAATCTGTAATGAAGCCATCAAAGTCCTTCAAACAATTGAAAAACACACCCCATACCAAAAGATCCACTTTGATTTCAAACATCATTTAATCGGTGGGGCAGCAATTGATGCCACCGGTGTTCCATTACCTGATGATTCCCTCGCCGCCGCCAAAGAATCCGATGCTGTCTTGTTGGGAGCAGTTGGAGGTCCAAAATGGGGTACTGGTGCCATTAGACCCGAACAAGGATTATTAAAAATTAGAAAAGAATTGAATTTATATGCTAATTTAAGACCATGTAATTTCGCCTCGGATGCTTTATTGGAATTATCTCCATTAAGACCCGAAGTTGTCAAGGGTACTAATATGACTATTGTTCGTGAATTAGTTGGAGGGATTTATTTTGGTGAAAGACAAGAACAAGAAGAAAGTGAAGATAAACAAACCGCTTGGGACACTGAAAAATACTCCGTGGCTGAAGTTTCAAGAATTACGAGAATGGCGGCATTTATGGCACTTCAACATAATCCTCCATTACCTATTTGGTCTCTTGATAAAGCTAATGTATTGGCTTCTTCAAGATTATGGAGAAAAACAGTTGATAAAGTGATTTCGGAAGAATTCCCTCAATTATCAGTTCAACATCAATTAATTGATTCTGCTGCTATGATTTTAATCCAAAATCCAACTAAATTAAATGGTATCGTTATAACTTCAAATATGTTTGGTGATATTATTTCTGATGAAGCTTCTGTTATTCCTGGTTCTCTTGGTTTATTACCTTCTGCTTCTTTGGCTTCTTTACCAGATACAAATTCTGCATTTGGATTATATGAACCATGTCATGGTTCTGCTCCTGATTTACCTGCTAATAAAGTCAATCCAATTGCTACTATTTTATCAGTAGCTATGATGTTGAGATTATCTTTGGATTGCCTTAAGGAAGCTGAAGCCTTGGAAGAAGCGGTTAAACAAGTTTTGGATTCAGGTATCAGAACGGCAGATTTACGTGGATCTAACTCAACTACTGAAGTTGGTGATGCTGTTGCTGAAACTGTTGCTAAACTTTTACAAGCTGCTGCTTAAAATATAAAATATCTTATGTAAATTAAACTTTTTAATTATTTATAAACGGTCTATGTAATATTTTAATATTAGACTAATAATTCAAAATCTCCAAAATTAATCTCGCGTTGTAAAATTGCTGATAATTGAGCAATTGATTCATCTCTCATATCTGCATTGATCGGCTTAGTTTTCACCTCAACCTGATTTTCTGTAATAGTAGCATCACTAGATCTACCACTACTATAACTATTATTATTAAGCTTCAATGCCCTTAACATATCCTCGCGGGAATATTCATCTGGAGAATAAAACTCTTCTTGACTATCCGTACTAGTATTATATGTCACCACACTATTATTCCTATGGAAAGGTTGGAAAGAAATTGGTTCTTCTGGTATTTGGTAAGTTGTACGGTGATTGGAAAATTCTTCATCCATCAATTGACCTAATTCGTTAGCGTATTCTGATGGAGTTACTGATTGAACTGACAATTCACGTGGTATTCTCGAATTTTGTCTACCAGAAGCGATAACTGGAGGAGTATATGACAGGGTCCTTCTAGAGACATTCTTGGAACCATTGTTTGAAAAAATCAGGGAATATGATGGATTTTGCTTGTTGTAAACGTCTTTCTTGGAAGCCGCAATTCTCTGTTTCAATTTATCGATATCCAGATCAGCAAAGAAATCTTCTTCTGTATCTTCTTGAACTGGGTCAAGAGTTCTCTCAGACAGGGTGGTTTGATTCGCTTCTTCGGATTTATTAACCAATTTAATATCATCAGACAAGGTAGAATTATCCCTACTCAAACTAACAACAACCCAATTTGATTTCCCATCCTCATAAAATTCATCAAGTGGTATTTGATCCCTATCCAATTTAGCAAAGACATTATGACTGGAAAGAAGACCAGCTCTTTGACTCTCGACACTGGGAATTCTCTTCATGGTTGGATTTTCACCTTTAGTCAAAGCAGATCCATCCGATAAAGTAGCAGCTTCCTTAGACTTCACTTCCACAAGCTCAACACCACCACAAACTGGGGTAACTGCCATAGCTTCAGCAGATTCAACATTTGATTGAATATCAATGTGGCGGAATGACATGTCCACTGTATTAGGGGAAGGAGTTTGTTCGGCGTCGAGTTTACTAAAACGTCTTACTGGTTCAGCTGTAATTGAAAGCGGAGGTGTATGTCTAACTGTGCTCAGTCTAGACATGGTCTTGCTCTCTTGAATCTGAGAACTCAAGGAGTCTGCACGAGGCTTCAACTTAGGTTTTGGATTTAGGGTGTTGGTGAATTCAGTTTTGGTTCCTTTAGGTATGAATGTGTTTGGAATGGTTCTTTCTTTAGGAATTGTAGTTTGCCCGTAGTTGTTCTCTTTATGGATAGGAGTTGGTACCTGTTTTATTTCCTGGACAACTGGTGGTTTGTCTTCTTCTGCATGTTTCTTATGGAAAGGTTTCAAAAGCTTCAGCAGAAAAGATTTTCGTTTATTCTTCTTTTTGTTATCCGGCTTCCCGGTTTCTCGTTTTAGTGTATCTGTATGAGTATTAACATCTGGTCTCATTGAATGCTTCAATTCCACTTTGGAAGTAAGTTTATTCATATATACTTCAGGCACGGAAAATAAATCTGAAAGCAGTTTAACTGGACCCCTTAATCTTGCTTGATCCTTAGCACGTTCTAACAATTTCTTTTCATCTCGGTTCACGAATTCATTAGCAACATATAACAAATCATGACTGTTTCCACCGATCAAAGAACGGGTTATTCTGTTATAGGTCTTGAAAATACTTTGAGTAGTGAAAACAAGGGTTGTTTTTAAATATTGTGAAAAGTCATCACAATTGATGACTTCATTGATTCGCTTTTGGTGGTTAGGACCATATCCTGTGATATGTAATCTTTGATCAAATGTGAAAGAAGCCTGTAAGATCAAGAATAGATTCGGATTTTGTTGGAAATAAACATCAGGACATTCCATTGGCATATTTAAACACAACATAAATGGTGACTTGGAAACTTCTTTCTCATAAACACTTATATCATGAGCTGTGTGGAATATAGTCAATTCATCACTTCTTGATTTGAAAAAATGGAATGGAGAACTTTTATGAAGGATCTTTGCCTTATTTAACAGCTTAATTATATTGTGAGAATGATGTTGAATATTGTTTTCATTGAGAATCAAATAGTTTCTGGTGAATTTTGTGCTGTGGTTATTTAAAGACTTAAACCCATTAAGCGAAGTATTTATAACTTGAATACAATCAGCATCATTCAAACCGATATATGAAGTAATTACCACATCATTAATCTCGGACCAACAGGTAACTTCCATAGTTGGAATGGACTTTAAGCTTGGTAAGGGCTTTTCATTAATTAACGAATGCATCAAGACATCGCTGACACTAAGACGCTTCACATCATTTTTATCATCCTTGTGTAAATAATAGTTTGGATCAGTGATGGTAATAATTAACAAATGATCAGAAAAGATAATCATAACATCAATATTGAACAATGAATCTGCACTAGGTTTACAATTTTGTAACTCATATATTCCAACCACTTTTCTAGCTAACCACCCATATTGTAATTCTGCCGGCCAATTTGTGGCTAATTCAGTTAAGATCTTACCTGTTGGCGTAAACACTCTTTGTTTGATATCAATTGCGTGATCTTCTTCGGTTGCCCCTCCAAAGGCATCTATAACCTCGATACTAGACTGGAAATATGGCATTATGATTTCATTTTCAGACAGAATTGATTCTTCTCCTACACCAAGACCAACACGTTCAGATTCAATTGTTGCAACTAATCTTGTGAGAATTAATTTCAATTTTGGTAATTCTAATAAGGACCCCGTGATCACTGAATTCATGGTTCTAACGTTATACCTACCTTTATTAATCTTTTGATTTTCAAATATAGTTAGTCTATTCTTTTCATAAAACTTGTTTAACTTTTTGCCAAAGTTCTTTAGGTTAGCTTCATGACGTATAAATGCCTTATAGAAATATGGAATTATGATCCCAAGTGCTTTAATTACTTCCACATAACTAACCTTGTTTGCTTTCGCTAACGAATTATGTAAAATACAGTTTATTCTTGTAATTTCGTCAATTGTAGGTGGGAAAAATTGGTTTATTCTTGTTAATCCATGTTCAGAATCAAGCACTGCTATTCTTAACGGAATTATGAAATCTTGTAATATGTTTACTAAGGCGATAGTATAATTGGCCTGGACTTGGATTAATTCATCTATAATTGATTGTATAATTAAGGTGTCACTTGGAATCGTTGTTTCCTGAGAAGTAGCAGGGGGAGTATAGGAAACAATCAATGATTCTGGAGAATATTCTAACAATGGATCAAATACCTGATCTAATTGTTCACCTAATAAATTGACCAACTTATTATTCTGGGTAATTGTCTCTGTAGTAGCTGTAGATGATGTGTTGTCATAAAGAACGTCCATTATGGTCGAAGTCATTTGGTGATCTTGAAGTAATCCAATATTTAATAATTCTTGACCTATTTCTTCTGGAGTCTTGTGTTTCATTAGTGACATGGTGTTAGCTAAAGTACCAGCATTAATTTCATCCCATCTAGGTAATTGAGGGATTTCACCAGCATGATTTAATAACTTACTGGAATTTTTCAAATTGCTTATAGCAAGAGCTCGTTTAACATTGGATTTTTTGTATTTAGGTAATAAATTTTCACAACTTGGCCAAAATCGTGAACTAAAATCAAGAATCATATTCTCATAGATAGACAATCCAAATTTTGTCAATGAAGCAGTACATATTTTCTCAGTTTCAGTGTTTCGATATACAATTGTTATAATTTGTTCAAATAAGATGTCATCATAGGCAGTGAAGAAGGTAGCACCGGGAAATATGGATAGCCATTGATCAACACTCTTCGTACATACGGCTTTGTTTTTGCTTTTACTTTTGTCCTTCCCTGGTTGATAATTGTCAAAAGTACCATTCAATTGATTGATTGTAATGTCCTGAACATCATTGGAGTTCTTTTGTTTATTTAATTGTTTGAAATATTCTTTATCATGCTCTCGTGACGCGTATCTTGAATAGACACTCATAGCTGTGCCTGGCATCACTTATTGATGTAATTGACTGGTTTTGACGTAAGGATAAAAAAGAGCAATAAGAAAGAAAGAAGCTGGGAGAAGAGAAGGAAAGTTGGTTGTAAAATTCAAAACAAACAAAAAAATTGCAATGATTTTTCAAATGTAAACAAAGGCACGTGATGTAATTTCCTATTTGGGAACTGATCTATACACGTGATTCTATTTCCTATTTAGGATGCTACTAAGATAATTATAGCACAAACAAGATTAATTATAATTGGACTCTAGGTAACAATTAACTACTTTTGAACAAGATATACAGACATAATTACACCCCAAGCACATTTGAGATACCTGTTTGCAAATGCTCCCTAACGACAAAATAAAAAAAAAACTCAAAAGGTAACTAACTTCGGATCTCTAGGTAATCCATCTTTATCGATATTATGTCTAGATAATTCTTGTTGTGTATATTCTAACCTTGCTTCATCAAATGTTAATCCTTTATTTCTCATAATTGATTTAATCTCTTCCTTAGCAAATGCCAGAAGTCCTTGTCTAGAATCTCCAGATGTAATATTATAACTTAAATTAAACGTATTGCTACTCAACCCATCTTCTATATCTTCGTCAAATGATGAAGGAATATGATCGTAGTATCCCATCTGTAGTCTTCTTCTTGTTCTATATCTATCATGTATTGCTATCAACTTGTGTCTAAAATGAAATAATAATAGTAGAATCCCTGCTACAATAATAAATAATACTAATTGATTATTACTGACCCATGTAAATCGTGATACTGATGACATTGTATGCACATCTTCTGCCGGCTGTTGTTGTTGTATCAATTCTTCTGCCATTGCTATGGTGGATGTAATATCTATATATATACGTCTGTATTATACAGCCTAAGTATACGATGATGGTTAAAACACGTTTATTCTGAATCATGCGTTTTTTTCGGCTGTTTGGTTGGGGTCAGATTCAAATTTACAGCCTCGTTAATTTTACTCAGAAATCTTATTTTTGCATCCATTAAAATGGGCAAAACTAATTACCCGATTAAAGCTTAATATGCCTGTGCTATATATTACTACAAAAAGATACATAAAAGGAACAAATACAAACGATACTTGAATATAAACAGAGAGAGTTAATATAAAAATAATCACTAAACAAAATGAAAAATAATAGAATGACGAAAAGGGATTATGGCAATTTAGCATAGGTGATTTCAATGTTTCTACCACCATATAAATAATTGTCCAAATTTTGAATAGCATTATCAGCCAACTCAGCTAATTCAAACTGCACTACAGCATTTCCACTGGCTCTTCCAGTGGCAGGATCATATTGAATTTCAGCACGAGTGGTTCTACCAACAGTCTCAAACAATTCATATAAATCATCATTTTGAGTAGCAAATGGTAAATTTGAAACATAAATAGTATCGGATCTTTCTCCATGTCCAGTAACACCTTCAGTAAATTCACTATTCCTCAATGCAGGTCTATTGGAAGAATATGACGTATTGGCAGAAGATACTGGTGCAGACGATACTCTGTCTTGGCGGTGGTCTTCGTGACTACTGTTTCCTCTATAGGAATCACGTTCACGTTCAGGTCTAACTTGGGTACGCCCTGGACGAGTGTCAAGTTTTCTTCCTTCAATTTCATATCCTTGAAACATTTCAATGGCTTTATTAGCTTCTTCCGGAGTATTAAACACAACAGTACCAAACCCTCTTGATTTCCCCCAACTATCAAGTCTAACATCAGCTCTAACAACTTCTCCTGCATCTCTCATTATATCCTTCAATGCTTGCCAATTTATTGAAAATGGTAAATTACCAACAAAAATTTCAGTACCTGGTTTGGTTGGTTGATCTCTAGAAGATGGTTGTGGTGGTCCTCTTCTGTCATTGTAACTATCTCTACTTCCTGTTCTTGGTGTTCCTCTACTATATTCTTCTCTTCTTGGTGGGAACAGTTCTTTCTTTTCTGGTGGTGGATAATCTTGTCTCACGAATATTTCACGTCCACGATATTCAAATCTATCAAATTTATCAATAGCATCACGAACATCATCTTTAGTAGTGAATTCAACTGTAGCCATACCTCTTGATCTACCTCTATTGGTAACGATATCAGCTCTGGCTATTTTAAATTCTTTGCCAAAGATAGCTTCGACATCTTTAGAAGTACAATCAAATGGAATATTTCCAATGAAAATAGAATTATCATAATTTCTTTCAGTTTTGGAACGATAAGTATCGTCAGATGAACCATGTGAAGAACTATAATCTCTACCTCTATTACTAGAGGAGAAATCTCTAGAACTGCCGCGACCGCCTCTATAACCACCGCCACCACCTCTTCTATCACCTCCGTAGTCTCGTCTACTATCACCACCTCTTCTATCGCTTCCATATCCACCTCTATCACGGGATGAATATCCGTAATCACGTCGAGACCTACTGGATTCACTACTAGATGCTGTGGCAGCGCCAGAGTCTGAACCAGATCTTTCTCTAACTGGCGATCTATCTCTTACTGGCGAACGTGAACGATCCTAAACCAATGTTAGCAAAAAAAAATTCCGAAGAAGAAGCAAGAAAAAAAAATTATAGAAGCAACAAACACATTTTTAATCCGAACCAAGCAAACCCAACACCCGGTTTCTTCTTTGCCTCCAGGTCTTAGCGTCGTTCTAGTTTTGGCAAAAATAAAGCACACATCTAGCTAGCAACATCTACTGACCCAAAAGCAAAAAAAAACTTACAGGAGGAATTAAATTAGCGACGTAGGGCAAAAAGCCAACCCCACCAAAATTTCAATTCACTCACACATACATTGAAAATACCGCCACTCTCTTTGTCCTAACCATACCTTTTTTATTCGCAAAATCATCCAAACTACCAGTCCTTTGCAAAGGAAGATCAGGAATAGCAAAGCAAAGCAACTCCAAAAAAAAATGATATTTGTTACCAATAATTTTTTTTCAAATTAAAATTTTTTTTAACATACTCTTGAATAATCATCAATATCCATACCTTCCATTGTTGTCTATTTCTTTATTCTTTTTTTAATATACCGTTTTTAAAAATACAAACTAGTGATATAAATGGAAATATGAACCTTCTAATAACTAACCCGGGATTTCTAAAATGAATTAAGTTTTGATTTGGGGTTCTTTTATATAAAATACAAGTGATGAACAAAGACGGCGAAGAGTTTGTCTCTGAAAAAGATGTCGAAAGTTTTTTTTTGTTGTCAGAAATTTTTCATTAGTAATTTTGAGTAAAGATACACGACCTAATCAGTATGTACAAAATAACAAAATGGTGTATGTTATTCTCCAGCATTTACTACGACAGCTACGTATTATATTAAAGAGCCTATATATATTCAGATTACTTCTCAGGAAATGGTAAAACCAATCTTCTTTCAACTTCCGTTTCTTTATTTACTTCTTCTTCACCATCAAATTTTAATCGTACAATTTTTCCATCTTTCTTATTCCCAACAACTACAGCAGGATAGAAGGTAGTAGTCTCAGGATATCTAGCTAATACTTTCGTTCCATATACATAATTCACCAATCCACCTTCTTCCACCTCATCATCGTCCTCATCCTCGTCATCCTCATCCTCATCATCATCTCGTTCATTATTACGTTCTGGAGGAATCAATAAAATCTCTTTATACCCTGCCCTGAATGTTTGACCCGGGTTATTATTTTCATCCGGCTCAGGATCTCTAATCTCAAATTTCATCTCACTTATAACTTTTACAACTTCACATTGAATCCATTCTTCAGAATGACGGTTTTTTAATTTATACGCCACTTCTGACCCCACAATCACCGGTCCTGAAGGGTTATATTTCGATGTCCAGAATGAACGACCTACTTTTCTCGTATTCTTGGATCTGCCTCCGCCTCCTCCTTCTCTGGCTGAGCTTGTCTTAGAAGGAGTTCCGGTTCTAGTGGCACGTTTATTGGATACTTGTTCGGATTTTTTAGAAGCGGCGGCAGCTGCAACTGCAGCTGCTTGTTGTGCAGCGGCACGTTTTTGTAATTGTTCAATTATGGCCATTAGGTTTTGTTGTGAGGTGTCGATTAATCGTTTAGCAGTTCCTATATTTGATTTATGATCTATGATATCTTGTTGTAATTTTATGAGTTCATCTGGTGGTAATGTTGAAAAATTGGTGGCATCATGAGTGTTGTTGAATGAAAGTGATTCATTGGAGTTACAGATATCTTGAAGTGATGCTATTACTATGTCCCAGTTACCTTCTATTTCTTGTGTCATAATGATTGTTTCTAGGGTTGATCCAACTGTTTATTCCGGTTGTGTTGTTGTGTCGGTATAGATCGGAAAAACCTGATTTTTTTTTTTGGTTCCTTGCTCCCTCTCAGACAGTACCTTTTTTATTCGTATAGAGGAAACCTACAAGGTCCGGACAACTGGCAAGTTTAAACCGACAGACCAAAAACTATCGTATGCATGTCTGTACTATCTTACAAGTCGTGTCTGGTCTAATAGAGATTGTGAACATCAACCAACAGAGACAATACCATAAGCAACGGCATTCAATCCATGGCTTATCATTTGATTATGTCGTGCTATCGATTATTAGCTACACAAGTTCAATTATTACTAGTTTATATTATCTATTTGATTCTTTGATCAAGAGTCAATATGAATATCGATTTCCTATATTTCCAAAGATTCCAATCTCGATTCTGTTAATAATTATCGAATTAGGAATCTTGATTATGTTTGTAACGATTGTACTTCAACTCATCATGTATTATCACACCAAATCCAAAAATCAATATATAAGTCCTCTAACCAAACTTATCATTGTCTTGATGGTTGTTGGATATGGGTATATCATCAGACAATACATTTATAATCTAGATATGATCTACAAATTAGATATTATTGATTATGTATGGACCATGGGGAAATTGGCCGATATTTTCCGGTTTGTTCCGTTGATAACGATGAATTGGTTCAATGATTCCATAGTGGGTTTACACCCTAATTGGATAACATTTTCGCTGTTTTCTAATATACTTTGTATATGCGCTCGAATAAGAGTTGGGTTTGAATTCAATTGGTGGGATATCCCCGTGAATTTCTCCTGTTGGGTAATACTTTTGATCCAGTTTATGTTGCTATTGGTTTTGAAATGGCAAAGGAATGCCTATATGCTGAATGATATTGTGAAATAATAGTAAGTAATTAATGAAAAACTAGATATAGACAAATAGAAAATTGTACGTTATTTTTCGAAGAGCTAAACCTGACTATAAAAACACATGCTAGTAAAAATTTTATAACAATAGTAATAATGCAATAATGACTTTAGTTAATGTTTTAGACGTTTATAATTTCCCACCAAGTAACTTGACAGCTAAATGTACCCCATAACTGATCTTTCTATCTTCGTCAATCAAATACTTTGGAGGTTTTTCAGAACTGTTTTGAGGAGCAAGTTCGTCTCCTTCTTGTGATTGGTTACCGGCAACTTTTTCCTTCACGATAACATCACTATCCACTGGGATAGAGATAGGTTTTGGTTGGAAATCTTTCAAAGATAATTCTGAAGCATGTTCCATCAAATGATCAATTTCATGTTTCATTTTCAGTTTTAAATTTGCATCTTTAGTAATGATAATTGCATTACTTTCCAAATCTAAAGAATAAGCTCTTTTGGTATAATTTGAAGATCCGATGACGGTAATACTTGGTTCATTTTCTTCTGGAACAGTAACCCATAATCCTTTAGCATGATATGACCAACCTCCTGGAGTATTAACTATTCCATTTTGCCATTCATAAACTGTAATTAAAGATGATTTACCCAAATCTTTAACTTTTTCCAAGAATCGTTTTGCAAATAATAAATAAGCTTCTGGAAGATAATATGATACACCAGGAGATTTATAAAATGAATTAGCCTTTGGAGAAGCAGTAATGACCGAACCTTGAGCTTTACCATTAAGTAAACGTTCTTGAATTTCTGGTAACATATTGAAATATCCTGCAGTAAACCACCATTTAATCTTGGGTGAATCCAAATAAGCTAATATTCTTAAAATTGCTGGTTTTTCAGTAGAACAATCTTGTAAATGAGGAAATAACGGGGTGAATTGAGATACTGGATATACAATTGTATCATAATCTTCATGATCCAGGAATTCTTTAAATGCCCCAAGACTATGTTGTTTTAAGATTGGTTCTAAAAGATAGGAAGAATCACTAATGAAACGTTCTCGATTCATATGAGGTTCACAAGATTTATTTGAAGTTGGCCAAGACATTCTAAATCCTTGTTTTAATTGTTTTGTATTAACAATTTGATATGATAATGAAGAAATTGCCATATGAATTCTATAATAATAATCAGTTATTGATTTGTTTTTGAAAAGATAATATCTATCTTGTCTATCAGTAAAATAATCTTGTGATAAATTAGCTCCTGATAATATAATTTCATCATCAAATCCATATAATTTCATATGTTGTAAACCCCAACCTTCATTAATACGTTTTGGAGTAACTGATTTAGTTAATCCCGATAAATGAGGTGTATGATACATTCTAACATCTATTCTATGTTTACCAAACTTTTCAACCAATGGAACTAAAAGATTAGCTGAACATGGTTGGTGAGGTGCTTCTCTTGTACCTCTTAAAGCATCAGTTAATATATAAACTTTTAAATCTTCATTTGTAGTTAAAGCGTCATCAATACATTGAATTAATTCATGTTGAGATTTCCCAATGTACAAGGAAGATAAATAAACTCTATTCTTTGCAGTAGATATCTTTTGTTTAAGAGTATTATAGAATTCATTAGGTTCAGTTAAGATATCTATTTCACCCAGTTTTAATAGAAATCTTGGAGCAATTGAATCTAATTGTTCAAAAATGGTTTTTAATCTTGGATGGAAAGTATTTGCTAAATCATTTGAAATGGTTGGATTATTGGTTGAATAATTTCTAATCGATGAATGTTGATTATTTTGATTATTATTATTATTATTAAATAAATAATTATAAATTGAAGATATCATATGTGGATTCTTATATGGTAGTCTATTAATATGTGTTGTACTGGTACTATGAGTAAATGTAGTAGAAAGAGAGGTCGTGTAATAAGTTCTATAATTTATAAATCTTCTTCGTAAAAGATTCATTGGGTATAAAAACCAACAAGAGAGATGACGAAAAGTAAATATATGTATGTAACTCTAACTAAAAATGGTCAAGAAATTTTTCTCTCTCTCAGTTTTTTTTGCTTATCAATTTTTTTTCATTCTCTTTTTAACAAATTTCTTTTTGCCCAACTTTGACAGTTTTTGGTTTTTTACGACATTTGTTGGTTTTTAAACGATGATGCACCAATTAATTAATTAATGACAGTAACGGTTTCTCACACATGGAAATTAATGCGACATTCTAATTGGTCAAAGTATCAATTCATTAATTGAATTACACAATATTACTCAAACACATTCATATTAAGCCCCCCCCCCCTATCCCCCGTGTTGTATCGTTGTTTTCAATCATACCCTTTTGAGGAAGATGAAGGTTTTGTTTTTGGAGAAAGGAACTTTCCCAGGGTATAAAATCTAAGTGGGGTTTGGGCCCGGGCTTTTTTATGCATTGAAAATCTTAACCAGAATTGGAAGTAATTGACAAAAAATCTCGTATTGCCATGAACATGCGTTCTGTTCTGCAACATTACACCTGGAAGTTTTAATTTGGGAGAATTGGAGATTTGTTCAACGGATGACACATTTCCCAAAACAGAAATATTGTGCATTATCCCCTCGATCTTTTTTTTTTTGCAATCGTTAATTTGTTTTCAACAACTTGGTTGACATATCTTGGACAGAGTAGGACCATTCCCTTATAGAAATCAAAAGAAGTTGCAATTGAGCAAAAAATTAGCCCCCGGACAAACAGAAAATACTCGTAAAAGCTTAAATGCTCGCGTAGTTCTACATCTCTATTTACATGTCTCTATTGTCTAGTCTAAGTTTGTATATACAAGTAGGTGGAACTTATCTGGTCTTACCACCTACGGCTTTGATAACTAAAACATCCCCATCCTCAACCATATAATCTTTACCGTGTCTATATTGCTTACCTGCTGACTTTAATTTGGCTTCATCAAATTTATCCAACTTAGATAAATCATCCCATTTATAGGCTAAGGCATTGATGAAATTCTTTTGTAAATCCGTATGAATCAATCCTGCTGCTTCAGGAGCAGTACTTCCTTCTCTAAGAGTCCATTGTCTAGCTTCAATGTCTCCACATGTATAAAATGAAATCAAATGAAGCACTTTTCTCATTTCTGATACTACTTCACTAATGGCAGAATCTTTTCCAATCAATTTTACGTATTCTTCTAATTCATCACCTTCCAATTCAGTCAAGGTAGTTTCATGTTTGGCGCTTACAAGAAGAACTTCATCAGATTTACTATTTTCAGTTATCCATTCTTGAACAGCACTCAAGAATTGATTTGTTCCAGAAGCATAATCTTCCTCATTCACATTCAATAAATAAACAGTTGGCTTAGCGGTTAATAAATTCAAAGTATTAATAAATGCAATCTCCTCATCTGAAAACTCATTAATATCCATATTACTAACTTTTTGTCCATTCCATAAATGTTCACTCAATCTATTCAAAACATCATACATCATATTCATTGATATCTTATTAACCCCTGGACGTCTTTCAAGCTTCTTACAATTTTCAATCTCCTTATCCACAATTTCAACATCTTTAAGAATCAATTCATCACTAACAATCAGTAAATCACGAACAGGATCTACTGAATTTTCAATATGGGTAATCTCATCATCCAAAAACCCTCTCACAACTTGATAAATCCCATCTACTTGTCTAATATCATTCAAGAATTGATTTCCTAACCCCTCACCTTCCGATGCCCTTCTAGTCAATCCAGCAATATCCCAAATTGTTAAACTTGAACTTACCTGTTTTGAAGACCCGAAAATCTTTTGATAATGATCCAATTTGTCAGATGTAACTTTTGCTAAAGCTTGAGATGGTTCAATAGTGGCAAATGGATAATTGGCAGGGTTTCCAAGTTTGGATTTCGTAAGTGCTTGAAAGAAGGTTGATTTTCCCACATTGGCAAGTCCAACTAATCCTGCTGATAGATTGTTTGATGGTCGGCCGAGATATTTTGGTATGAATGTTGATGAGGCCTTTTTTGGTTTTGCTAATTTGATGGCAGTCGTGGTGAACTGTCTTATAGATAGTTTCATCGTTATGAAAAGGGGGACAGGGTGGGATTTCTTGAATACTTGTTGTTGAGAGGAATGATGGTGCCATCTTCATCTGAAAATTTGGCAACACATTTTTTTTTTCTTAGGGAGGGCAGGCTGCAAAGAATGAATGAGGAACTATTTGGTAGAATGAATACCAATGAAGAAACAGACGAAGAAATATGGAGAACTATTTTGAAGCGATATCTTTTATTAAATGGTGGGGTTAACTCTATATAATCTCTGTCTAGTATATCTGTATATATATACCTATAAATAAATAAATAAAATTACAAAGCGTACTTTGATTTCAGTCTTAAATATTTCCCATATTTATAAAACAAGAATGGAACTGGGATCATGGCAATTCCCACACATCCAATCATAGTGGAAGCGTATTTGATTTGCATATTGACAAACATCTGTTCGGAAAACAAGGGGAAAGCAGCTCCAAAAGCAGATCTAAGGAATGTATTACCAGCTAATGCTGATGCAGCCAAGAATAAATAACAATCTATAATATAATTCATACATGGTAAGAAAATCAACATTAATCCATTACCAACAAATGCAGCACCAATCGTAGGGACGATCCAATGAATCTTGTCAGGATAATCACCTGTCCAACCCAACCAAAAGATACCAATCACAAAGGTAATTGATCCAATCATCATTGGTGGTAATCTTTCTTCAGCAACTGGACGTCCACCATTTTTCTCCATCGCAATATTATATCTATTTTCGAAATAAATGATAATTAAACCACCGGTAAAGACACCAATCAACATTGAGATATATGGTAATTCAGCTACACCTGTCATAAAATGGTAATTTCCTTGGAAAATCAATGGAATAGCAGTAAGGAACATATAAAGCATACCATAAATGAAAGCGTTATATAAACTGACTAAGAAGATAATTGGTTCTGTAAATAACATCTTCAAAGGTCTTGCAATATTCTTTTCCACGATTTCTTTAAGGGATAAAGAAAGTTCTTCATGTGGTGCATAAATCCCCCAATTTCCAGTACGTCTACGTAATGTTTCTGCTTTACGTACCAAAATTATAGGATGATGAGTTTCTTCCAAGATAAATGTATTTATGAGCAATGCAACTACTCCAATGAGACCACAGAAGTATGAAGTCCAACGCCATCCCAAACCAGGGTTCTTTACTGTAAACCCACCAATAATAGGGGCTAACATCGGACCACCAAATAAAATCATAGCAAAAATAGACACGGCGGTACCTCTAATTTTAGCTGAGAATAAATCAGTCATGACGGCAGGTGCAACAACCAAAGGAGCAGCACCGACAAATCCCGCGAAAAATCGACAAATCATAATAGTTTGGAGATCTTTAGCAGTAGCAACTGCAAATGAAAAACAAACATATCCAAAACATGATATCACCATAATAATCTTTCTTCCAAATAATTCAGAAAGAGGTCCATAAATAACAGGACCACTAGCAAAACCAAAAACAAATAATGAAGTTCCTAATGAGGCTACACTAATTCCAATATGATATATTTCCATTAATTCCGTGGTGGCTTCTGCAAACATGGCTGACCCCATAGAAACGGAAAGTGCTGCCATTCCAACCCCGCAACAGAATAACATTTTCTTAAATGTCGAATAGTTATGAGGATGAGTTGGATCATCAGGTCCATCAAACATGACAACATAGGGTGTTCTGTCCCCTAATAATGGTGGATATGGTCTATCACCACCCATGAGAGGTAATGGTTCATCAGTTGTTCTTGCTTCGGAAAGAAGTTCCTCGGCTCCGGTGAGTCGTCTTGATAAACTCCTCGAAAGGGCGGTATTTGTTTCATATTCGGAAAGCTCGTCTCCAAAAGCCATATTTGAATGGTGGCTGTTATGAAGGTCATTCAGACTGTTGTCGTCATCGGTGTCATCTTGACCTTGGAATGCTTTAGGTTCTTCGGCTAGGCTTCCCTCGATAGTGGGGTTACTGTTATGACGAAGATTATTATGGTCCATATGTTCAGTAGATGAGGACGTATTTATATCTGTCATTGTCAGATTAACTTTTGATGAAGAGTCTTCTAGAGTTGACATTCTTTATGATTTAACAAAGAAAAGAAAGAAGAAGAAGAAGAAAAGATACAAGAAAAAAAGAAGAATAAGAAGAGAAACAGTTATTTAAACGGAAAGAAAAAAATTTTTAGAACAGGCAACGAATTATTTTTTTTACATCCGAAGGAATAATAATTAAAAATAATAATTGATAAAAAAATAATAGCCAGTTGAAATTGCGGCGATATACACACCGGGTTTGTTTTCTTAATTTGGAGATCGGCAATCAAAAGTAAATTCCGCCAATAGAAATGATGTATGGTGATGATCATCAGAGATATTGGATGTTATCAATATAAATAGTCCTAATTTAGTAACCGAATTTCTTTCGGTTCGCAATTTCTTTTAATGTTCATGCGAGCGGCACCAAAATGGAACGATTTCGATAAAGCAACTTATCTCAGATCCGGTAGAAGAAAGTCACATATTTTTTTTCATTGAGGTAAACGTGTTCATGATATATATATTATACGCTGATCATTCTCGTCTTTTTGTATATAGCAATTCACCCAAGATAGAAATTTCTCAAGCTGTCAAATCAATTAGACTTATAGCTCCCCCACTCCGGAACGGATATATTTCCAACAAAGTGAAAAAATCCAGCCGAAAAATAATGTTGATAAATCCGATAATTATTTTTTTGCTGTACTTTTAGTGCGGTTTTATTAGTCATCCTTACAAAATTTGTCTCGATTGAGAAATCACGGACATAACTAAAAGAGACAAACCCGATATTTTCTTCCCGGGTAAATCTATTTTCACAAAGAAGATGATATTGTTTCAGTAACAATTGGAAGTTTCGCAAAGATTTTATTGTCGGAAAACAAAAACAGTTCATTCACAGCAAGTTAAATTCAAAAGCCACCCCCCCTTTCCTTCAATTGTAACTAAAGAAAGTGTGGTCAGTTTTCTGACTTCGATTGGATGCAACTATCAATATTTCCGATACGGCCGCAAGATGTGATTATTCTATGACACATTCAACTTATCTATATTAGTAAGCATCTCCTTGACAATTTGGTTTGTCTCAAATAGATATGGGTCATCAAGATCTTAGGTTCTTCCGTTCTACGGCCGAGAATAAAGTTCTCTTATATATACATGCATGTCTCACAGAGCTCCTTTCTAATGAGTCCTGACTCTAATTTTCAAAATGAGATCGTTTTATTCTCCCCACTTCTACCCCAAAAGTTCTTACTCATCAGTTGATGAATAGTGTTTGCTAAAAGACTATTGCAGCCACATTGCAGCCAAAGTAAACAATGTATGTAAGATTGGATGTTTCTGGACGCGCAGGAACGGAGTAAAAACCGTTCGTGCGAAATTGACAGGCTTGGGTGCGAAAAGTTCCTGCAACAATCCATAAACCTATATAGGTCATAAGATTCCAATCTAAATATATGGTATATAAATATTATGTTGAATCAAGAGACCTAAACTGCTATTCAAAGCTCGTGAATGCACCAATAGATTCAGCACCAATTGGGGTCAAGTACCTTCTCTTATCGAATATTTCTAACGATGGATGATGATTTCTGATGAGTGATTGAGATTGTTCCGGATCCCAAGGATGTTGAATTAAACCCTGAAATATGTACAAGAGACATTCTAAGATATATAGAGGAAGTTTTGTAGCAACGTTGATCTATTTGCGATTGAGGACTAAGTTTTGAAATTTTGGCAATATAATTTGCTAATTTTACGAAAACAAAATTAGACCAAAACTATTGCATCAATGTACTTATTAATATCTAGAAGGTTCAGATAATGGATATTTCACAGTCCCTTTTTGATACTCAATGTTAAACTGCCATATACACAGATTTAAATACCTTAGATATACAAGCAAATTTAGCGCTACCAAATAAAGAACGTGATTGTCATGTGAAAGTCACGCTTCGAAAGATTTCCCTTTTATTTAGAAAGATTTATAAATTCTTAATGATATAGTGGGAATATTTCCAGAAGAGACACTTATACTTTATAATCGCTTGATTGTAGCAAAGTATAAACAAAAGTGACGTGTGAGATAAAAAGTTTTTGAAGCGATTAAACTGAACTCTTACTGTGAAAGTGAACACCCCTTTCGATGTTAAGTTACCAAGAATGGGTTGACAATGTATCGAAAAGTAATATTCAGTATTATTAGAAACCAATTAAGAACACCCCTCTAAACCTATACAGTAGTAGCTAACAACCAGAATAGATGAAAATGCTTAAACAAATATTTCACATCCTTCCCCAAGATCCCCGACCTCAGACCTCAAAATATCACCTGATATTAAACAACTTGGCTTTCCCCCCTTTCCGTCGGAGAAAAACATATCCTAAAAACGAGTTATTGCAATATATCATTCACTTCTTACTCGTACTTGGCATTGTCGTAACTGGTTCATTAAATCGAGGGTCCAAGAAAAGCAACCAAGTGTAATATTCCGCATGGTTTTAACGAGAAAATAAAGATATGCAGTGCATAGCATAATCCCTGATAAGCTCACATCAGATGGCGTCTTGCGGCTGTTGCGGTAATTAATATCCTCGACAGGTCTAAATCCGACAAGATTAATAATACTCGTGTAATACGAATTTGATTTTCAGGACCATCGCAATCTCCGCGGGGAAGTGATTAGACTTATTCGTTTACTCGGCATGAGACTGTGATATTGTCTCATGGCATGTAATGTATGCGACTTCCAAGGATTCGGAGAAGGCCAGGCTCCAACTCTGGAACATCGTTGCACATAGGAGGCGGCCCTGGTTCTTTAAGTTTTCTGGCCCAGGAAAGCAAGATCCATTTCGTGCTTTATTCATTCAAATTTATATTCTCAAGGGCCGAAGTATTGTCTACAGCTAATTCAACATCTTTAATGTCATCTCATCTTAGGAGCAATGTATTACATCTTACGACCTGAATCATGGTTAGTAAGTCCGAGGTCACTAAACTTCAGGACAAAAGGAAATTACCGGATTATGGGCAATAATTAATCAATCAGACCCTGGAATTATCATTCTAAGTTGAATGGCAATACCAAGAAAAACAATCGGTAGCTCAGTTCTTCTCATCCTTTGCTTGCTTCTGGCCACTGTCACCATTCAGTACCCAGTTGTCAAAATATAATCAACAACTAAGAGCTTTCAATGGGGATAAGATCAATCAAATGATAGTCTCTCATTGAGTTTTCCAACAATGAAACCCAACAACACAAAGTTAAAAATCTTGCAACACCAGAAAAAAAATGTTGGGGTGAGAAAATGGAATGATTTGAAAAACTCAAATGATGATTCCTTTATCTCATCATTAAGGACAACCCCCGTTAGCTAATAAGCTTCGTAAGAAAATGTCCTCGAAATCATTACTTGATCTCCCATTGGGAATTAGATTAAAAATTATCCATTACCTTCCCCAACAAGCCATCATTAATCTTGCATTGACAAATTTTGAATTTTACCACCCATGTATGAAACAACTCTATCGTGAGATAGCCATCCAACCAGATCCGCCATTACGGAATGATAATAGATCCAGAGAGAGTGACTTTCAAGATACTTCCAAGACAGTGATTTATGGATTTCAGCACAAACGGGGAAAGATTGTGAAAGCAGAAATTCAAGAAAAGATGATTGTTGCCAGATTGAAGGTTCTAGTGCAGAGTTTGAAGGTGAATCAGGAATTAATCGGATATATAGAAGAGATATACGTGCTTGGAGATCAATGTTCAAAGCATGAGGATATTGCTGGGGTGTTGAATGAATTGATTGGGGTATTGGAGAAATTGAAACGTTTTTATGTTGGTGATTACAGACTAAGAAAACAATTGGATATGTCTTGTTTGAAGCTCGAATCTGTTGTTGTTGACGAAGAAGATTTGCAATACGATGAGCATGTGGAAGAATTATTGATTGGCCACAATGAAACATTGACTAATTTGAACAAGTTTGCGCCTCATTTGAAATCATTGATTTTGCCTGATGATAGAATTGAATATTGGAGCTGGATGAATCATAATTTACTAAGACATAAAATCCATATGCCCAAACTTGAAAGGATTAAGATTGTATTTAGTATAGAAGAATGGGAATTAAACTTACAGTTGATCGAATTGATCAGCTGGGAAAATATAACCCAATTAGAGTTGATAATAGGATACAAAGAGAACGAAACAGATTACGTGATTGATTTCTATAATTTAATTCCCGAATGTCCTAAGTTAATCAAGCTTTCAATTATCCAAGGTGATATATTTCCAACTCATTCCGTAAATGAAGTCTTCGATTTGAACACCTTTAACTTTTTGACAAATGTCTTATCTACATCACCCAAATTGTCCTATTTGTCTATTAAACATAATACATTACAATTAGGAGACTTCCCTGATGGAGTTGAAGGAAATTATTTCAGAAGATGGGAAATATACATGGTAATCTTACCCAAAATAATCAACTCACATAAACTCATTGTAATATTACCAAACTTGTTGCAATCATTTGCAGGGTATGAGCAGTACATGAACCACATCTTATGGAATGGATGCAAGTGTTCTTATTGTGAAAAATGTCTTGGAAAACTAGACAAGTACTTATTGTATCACAAATACTTCAATTCGAAACTTGGAAAATACAGAGACTTAAATGCTTCTCATTTATTCACCACAATAGCTTACCAATTAAACCAACGGATGGTACTGGATGAATTATTGACACAATTGAACCATTTAGCCTTTCCATTGAAAAATAAACTTTGGGACTTCCATTGGAATACTAGTGGGAGACGTTTTAGATGTTATGATATCCAAACTATAGATCAAGAGGAGTATGATGACGACACATATGTTCCCCAATCTGAGATTGAATGCAAATTCGATAATTCATTGTATTCATACGTGCCTTCAAGTATGGCACATTATGTAGATGGATTAGTTCAGAAACTAATAAACTTGAACAGAGGAAATGCTGAGGCTGATCAAGATGAAGAATTAGTGGACGGTGGTGATGTGGCATTTAGATTAAATATTCATAAATTAATTATCAATGGATTCAGTTACACTCTTGATAAAGAAATTAATGGTACCCACTTTTACGAGAATGTTTACGATCGGTTGATTACTTAACCTTCTTTGGCAAGAGTTTTTTTTGTTATCAAAGGATACACAAAAGTAAGGGTTGTTGATTATACTTTAGACGGTTTATTAATTGTTCTTACACAAACGGAAATGTGCCATCATTCCAGACCCTGAACCATTTTTGTGGTTCATTGTCTTAAGACAAACAAGAGATATTTTTTTATATTAATCTAACTGTAAATATATTTTATTTTAAAAGATGCAAAAAACACCTCTCAAATCAATATAATCCTGAAATATTTTTTATTTTACTTCGTAAGATTTTCAAAGATATTATTTTTCATAAGGAGATGTGATGATGATGATGATGACATAGACGTGGCTCCAAATCATCAGACAACTCTTGAAAGCCGTTCAAATGAAATCGAAAGTGAACCGAAATGATGGTGATTCACCCGAACGCAATTGTTAACCAATGGTCTAGTACAACTATTTGAAATTCAATCTACCATCATTCAAAACCAAATGAAACGATTTCAATGAAATTTCGTTCCAACTCTGGTCTAATGTCCTGGGTGAAGTTGATATGGATCGGCGATAAGAACAGTGAAATTTTCCTGAAACGTTTATCTAGAATAGACAAATTTACGAGTATTGCAGATCAAATCACATTGCCGTATACCAACAATTCAATGAAGGACAGAAGTCGCATGTTAATTTCCACCTTGCATATCCAACATACGAGGAAGTCATCATCCTTACAATTTATTCTGAAAGAAGATGTACAGATGAACCAAAAGGTGGTTCAATACTGATGAGGTCATTTGAAATTTTCATGCCAAGCCATTTTTTCATGTAAACATTAAATTATTTTGATCTTCCCCGGAAAAATATTTAAGGGAACAAAAAATTAATTCGGCTGTTCTTGCAGTTTTATTGTTCTATTCATGCAATTTCGGTGAATGGACTTTGATTTCCGAAATGGGCTTTCTTCGGAAATAATAGATTGGTTCACATGCGGTTTTATTAGAAATTGCCAGCTTGTTCAGAATATCAATTGTTTTACCTGGCTGACAATGATGGTTATTCTGGTCATTCCCTTGAGACACAACTAATCTTACAATCGTTGATTATTATTTTTTCCTCTTTTCAATGATTCAACCCTGATTCACTATTTTTGGGGGAAATCTTCTTCCTCTAAAAATAAACGCATACGTGCCACCGTGGATGCAAAGTAACCAGATTACATCAAGTTGTTCCGGTTCGGATGTGTAATCTTTTTCCGTATTGAAATTCTTTTTTAAATGTATCAGATAAAAAAATATTGCAACACGATTGTGGATGATGATGATACATAGAATGTAACACATGATGTGACCATCCGTTGCTGGTTTATTAAAGACAGGATCGTCCACCTTCTAAAATACACGATAAGGAAGTTCGGAAGATGGTAACCAACAAGTTAGTTGCACCAATTGCAATGCTTTCCCCACAGTTACGATTTCCAATTGCTTTGGTGATTTTAAAACATTCCAGACGCTGAATTTATGATTGTTACAAATCCCTTGTTTAATTGTTTGAAGACGACATTGCTCTTGCAGAATTCGTATTACGTTTTGGTATTATTTTTTCTGTTTTTATCAAACCTGCATAATTATTTTCTAAATTTGAACCCTTTTTTAATTTTTTAATTTTATTAAAAAATTTCTTGAAATTACAAAATATTATTTGAGTATTAAACAATGGCGTCTAGAGAATCCTTTGTTTTGTCAACAATTCTTTAATGTACTGGAAGCTCGCATACACAATATAGGAGTTTGTGCATAAGTGACAGACAGTTTGCCTCGGAAGATTGTTCGAAAGTTTAAACAACATCAGCAAGCAGTAACAGGTTATGGAAAAATGAGGGGATCATGTAAACATTATATAGAATTATTCAATGTAGATTATTGGTTCTATATTTCATTTCAGAAGGGATGTTCCCCGTAAAATGACTTACAATGGCAATTCCAGAACCAAAGCATGGAATGGACCCCCCAAATCTGAAACTCGAATATTTTTTTTGTTGATGAACAACGGATGATGACCGTTGAGATATTTTTTAAGGTACTTTAACCGCCCTACATTATGACATAGGCGTAAATGCAGGGAGGCAATCTAATTTTTCTGTGAATGGCTGATTTCCGCATCCAATAATTTTTTATCAGATTATGCATAAGGATGACTGCAAAACATATGAGATGGCGGCAACGGGTAGACAAACTGCTGCTAGCGCTTTGAGATACGTTGGACATCTACAGGAATGTCTAAGAAAATTTCAAGCGACGTGTAGTTGACGGAGACCCTTTCCGGATTTATTCTCTCAACGTAAGTGCAAACAAGTATAATATGGACATACACTGAGCCCTACAGGCAATCCAAAACTATCCGTTTCCTGTGTACAAGCTAGGACGCACGGTGCCTACTTGATAGCGTCGTAATATTTCATGACGGTTTGTCAACAATTTGGATATTTTTTAGGCATGGCTGACTAGATCTAGACTTAACCTTTATTACTGTTCGTAATATTTTATTACTGGATCTTCCCCAGCTGATTCCGTGAGGCATTTGCATATTTGTGTTTACGTCACGCTGAGTATCATATCAGGGCGTCACAGTAACGTTCATGGTTCAAATACCATATACAAGAGAAAGCACGATTACGCTTGCCGTTCCTGCAACCAAAAATATCGGCATTAAATCGTACAACATTACCGTCATATCGGTTTCTAGACGGCTGCTAATTTATCTCATCTCATAATCATGGGGATAGTAGGTTTTCCACTTCTAAAAATGAACTGCGGCTAAAAACCGAACATCGCACCTGTCTATAGGGTCACAGAAACAGCTGCAAATAAGAAGACAACCCAAATGAAATTGTTCTGGTGGGATAGGTCATGAAGCTCGGTTGAAGTTCTTCATGTGAGAACTGGCATTGTGGATACGTAAAGCAAATTTCTATACAAACTAAGAAAACATGCTTAAAGAGCCAATGTACCAGAGAACATGTGCGTCACATAGTTACCATGGCTTCAAGCACAAGAAACAGACCACGCAGAAGTCTATCAGACTATAAAGGCATATTTGAATTGAACTTGGCCCCACTAAAGTGCACGAGTTCAAAGGTCAAGATACCCAATTTCAGTTACAATCGAAGAGAATTGGTTACAAAAATTGCAGCCAACTCAGATGTATTTGTGGCAATCCAACACCGTTAGTAAAGCTCGCAGAGATTATTTGCGGATACAAAGGCCACCACCTGAGAAAGGTTCATTAGAATGTCATCTCTCTGCCTTTCTCTATTTACCTATTGTACTTCGATTTAAGAAAGAGGGGAACTTTCTCCAATCGCTAGGGATTAAGATATTCGTGGCAAAGCTTATCCCTTCACCTGAAGAAACTATAACTTAAAATCCCACTCTAAAGGGAGAAAATAATCCAAGATTCCATTTACCTTGAATAAACTCATTATAATAATCGCGCGGCCACGTTAACATCATACCAGACACAGCTCTTGGAAAGCTCTCTTACCAGGTGCCAAGTATCCACAACTTTACATTTTTGAAAAGTGCCAAGCAGCATCTGCAACCATATGTAAGCAAACCGAAAAAGATCAGAGGGCTACAACACAATGTCTGTGCGTGGGGTTGTTCTTCCATGAAGAGTGCAATGTCAGATAAAGTTTTGTGTATCGCACATGCTCAGCGCATGATCTTACTCCAATAGTGTCAATTTTAACCCTTGATTGACGAAAGCGGACAAGTCAAAATTCGGGGTAGTAAATTTGTGTACGTCTTAATCAGATTGAAGACTGTTTGGTGCATGTACTTCAATTGGCTCCTTCGGCTAATGCAAGAAGTATCACAGGTGGCAGTCATATAGCAAGCATAGAATGTGGTAGAGTTAAGAATACCATGGGATAAAAAATTGTGGTCCCTCAAGGGATAACCGTACAATAAACAATTGAATAAGCTGGGCAACGAAATATTTTACCAAGCTTTAAATCAGGCAGGTTTTACGATAATCAGGTTACATTTAGGATGATGATGAATAAATTTGGGATTCTTGGCAGCTGGTTTTTAAGCTTTTTACACATACATAATTTGAAGCATTAATTCTTGGTATGATAAAAATACAAACTTTATTGATGAAGCATCACGAGCAAGAAAGTAAAATATTACATCAATTCAAAGAAAATCCCTCCCCTATCCCCCTTAAGTGAAGCACGCCACGAGAGACAAATGAACTTCTTTAATTATTTCATGTAAGTTTATGCAACTTTTGTGGAGTTTTCTTGTAGAATTTTATCTCTAGATTATGTGTTAACCATTTACGATTGTTTGATGCTTTAATTCAAGAAAGGTAATCAACTCTTAAATATCCAGGATTGCAGGAAAATGAGATACCCGATGGCACAGGGCACTTTACCAATGTGAGCAATGATAACCTTATAGTTAACCTACTGAAACCTGACAATTTTACGGAACGGAAAAGTTCAAAACTGATACAAGATATCAGCCCCGAGAAATGCCCAGAAATTAACTCATTCAGTAATCCCAAAAGGAAAGAAGGTTTAATCTTCCTTGAATGTAACAAGGGTCACCTGATACGTTACCTATAGATATTAGATTAAGGTCTTATCAATGGGTTAAATTATTTTTTGAATATACAAGCGAAAGACAGGGTGACATTTATGATTCTGTATTATGTTACATTTTGGTAGGCGGGTATTAGCAATCCCTATTGAGGGGACCCAACTAGGCAACCAATTAGTCAATCTCAGAATCTATCAAAGGTGGAAATAACCAAATTCTTGTTAAGATGTAGGGTGTATTGGGGGGGGGGGAATTCTCAGCCTAGCAGATTTTCTTGTTCTAAACAACCCTTGCGAAGAAAGCTGAGAAAACTCAAGTGAAGCATTCAAGTGTCTTGCTAACGAATCCTGAAAATTGGAAGGGAGAGGTTTCTTAATTGCCAAGGATATCTGAATATTCGTGTCACCAAAACCTTAATTTTATCATTCGGGATAATTGTGGAAAGGGAAACTTGGCCCTGGCAGAGTCATTCATTTTGCCACAACAAAAACGTATTGCCATCTTTGATGTGTAATTTTTGAAAGTTTGTAGAGTCACTAATTATCACCCATTCCACAATTCGGGAAATGATACTCCTATAGTAGAGTGACACAGCCTTTAGCCCAATCATATTTCAGTGGGTTAGCCATTAATTTTAAGTTCAGTAATTCACTTTCTTCCTGAAACAAAGTTTTTGCTACATGACCCGTTATGAACACTATCCTCTATTTCTCCTCAACGACCGTTTGTCTCTCTACTGAAATGGAACAATAACCTTTTGGAAGGAGCATGCAAATTTGCAACTCGCTTCTTCTTTTCAAAGCTTAAATTATTCTTTGAACGTGAATCTCTCTTCATCTAACCCTACAGGTTGAGTTTGCATTCTGTAGAGCAACATGCTCTTGTGGAACGAAGAGAGATACCAAAGTCTCATCAGCTTTAAGTTATTTCTTCCCAAATTTACAATAGAATAAGAACGAAGTAAAAAATTATATTGAAATACAAAATACACAGACAAAATCCTAACTATAAAACTCCCAACATTTCTCTAATGGTAAACACGATATGTTATTACTCCGAAATGGAAAACCTAAAACCAAAAAACGACACAATCAACAAAGAACTAAAACATCTTATCTTTACATAATATATAAATTATTTCGCAGTGAGCCACGGTCATAATACATCATCATCATTATTAATTTTCTAATTGCATCATGTAGTTGCAACTCATACAAAAGCCTTGGGACTAAGTTTTCCTTTGATACCGGTAGTCATCTTAGATCTCTTATTTTTCCCATTTGTATGTGTCTTATAATGTTGCATACAATTATCTTGTCTTGCAAACCTTGCAGTACATGTTGGCCAAGGACATACATGTTTTCTTTCTCCAGTATGTATTCTATTATGTCTAGCTAAATGACCAGAGGTCGTGAACGACCTTGAGCACACTTTACACACATGCTTCCTCTTTGGATCTTTCATTGTAGAACTGGTAGAACTTGAACTTGATGTACTTCCAAGGGAGTTGGATCGTATTTTAGGTTCTAGTATTTGATCAATTGATTGTGGAGAGTGAGTGAGTTGAACTTGTGGTGCACCGGGCAACACTTGGTAGTGGTATCCTGCGGGTGCTGGAGCTACTACTTGATGACCATGGTGGTGTGGTCCTTGATAGTAGCCATAGTGTGGAGATTGATAAGAATAGGCGGGCGACACTAAAGGTTGTGCTGCTGGTATTGGGATTAACCCCAATGGCGAAGTTTGCATAACTGCTTTATCAGGAGTTGGTTGTCTGACATAGTGTACGCTATTATTATTCAGTTGTAGTAGTCTACCACTACTATTGCTAGAAACAACATAGTAATTGTATGTAGGTGAGGTAGAAACAGGAGATGGTGCCTGTGATACCGCCTGCTGTTGCTGCCGTTGCTTAAACTCGTGGGGTAGTGGTATGGATGTAAGCAATTCATTGAATGATGGTAATACCGGACTCTTCATTTTATCTAATCTACTCGAAAAATTTGGGGGTGTCTGCTGAACTGGTGGGGCAGTAGTAGGACAATTCAGACTGAAAAGCATCATTTATCTGTATGGGCGATTTGTAATTTGATTTAAAAAAGTGGTCTTCAATGAAGAATTAAAAGAATCGTATAATGAAAGTAAAGAAGATATTGGGAAGAATCTACAACAGAGCAGGATGTTACATGATATTTAAATAATCTTATTTTTAAGGTTTACAGGAAATGGAAGGAGAGTTTTTTTTGTTCATCATTTATTTTTTAAAGAATATTTTTTAAAAAGAATATTATTAAAACAAATGATACAACACTAAAAAATATCCTTGTAAAAAATATAGTTCTAGTTTTAGAAAATATTATGAATTATTTTTTTAAGATGCAAGTTTTTTGGATATTCTGGCTTTTCTTTTTTTTTTATTTTAGAAAATAATCATTTAGGCAAGTGCACATAGACGCATAAATTATTATTTATAGTTAAGATCCCTTTGTTTTAAAGGTTTGGTTTTATCTCGGTTTTATTTGTCTGTATGTTACATTCAAGTGTGTTTGTACAGAGGCAGAGTGTTTGGGAAAACAACCAAATATCAATAAGAGTCGAGGAAGTAGAGGAGCCCAGAAGAATAATTGGTCATGCGGATTTACAGAGCGTCTGATGTCACATAACAATTTATTTTCAGAGAATGTCTCAAAGAAAATTGATACATAGAAAAATAAAAAGGGAAAAACGGGAAAAAATAATCTCCTTTGTCACATATATTTTTGGTTACAATTCAACAAACTAAACACCTGTTTTAAATCGGGATAAAATAAAATGCTTAACCCCCCAAGTTTTGGGATCAAGAAAATAAATACACATTGGTTTGTAGAAGGGAGACAACTGACCACCACAATAACTACACTTTTCATAGCAAGAGCAGTGCAGCTATTTCAATTAAATTAGTTGAGATCGATGTTAGATTTCCTACTGTTTTTGATGACTAAAAATGTTAGCCCGATATTAGCAGAACCTTTTTGCAGTGTTCTATTACAAGCATTCCTCAAAGCCGATTTCCTTCTTCAATGTCAAGACTCTCTCCAGCCATATTGTGTGATATTATGCGAAACGCAATATTCACTCATCCCCTGTAACCTAACAACGATAGAACCTTCTTGTTCTTATGGTTAAGAATTCCACCAGAAAACTTTCACAAAACCCAAGTAAACGTCGCCAAGAGAGAAACCGCTAAATCATGGCTTTTTTTTCTTTTGTGATAAGGGTTAGTCATTATGTCTACGGTTATAAGCCTGGGCATCCCTTGGAGATGTTGCATTGAGTTTGTATTTGTAGGACCAGACATGTGCGTCTAAAGTTTATGTAGCCATACTGGGCCCAGAGGAGGAGTGCCGAGGATATGTAGCTCGATTTTCAAGATAACGGTGCATTCGCAAGCAGATACATCATTCAACTCTTCCTCCTTGGAACAGAACCAAACAATGAGTAACTATATGTACAACCTTGAACCTCAAAGAAATGGAGTCTTTGGATTGGTTCATTCTTTCCCGAAATTTATGACACGATAATTGTTCTTACGAAATATATGAGCCCTGAATATGTAGTTGGTCAGTTGATTCTTCGTTGCTCTTCACAGGACGAACGCGCTACCCCTTGTGGTTTTGAGTAAAAGCAGAGCCACGTACCATTTGGAATGTAGAATCTACAATGCCAAAGTAAGTTGTACGTAATCCTTTCAACAGAGAGCACGATTTATTGATCAATAAATGATCCATCTCTGTACAAGTCACCCTATTAATTTTTGCGCATGTATTTTTCCGCTAGCCAATATTTTTTTCTATTGTTTACGATGTGCGGAAGAGTGCCTCAATGTATGGAAACTTTTCGTAATTGTATACAATTTCAGTAGGGTCTGTTTACGCAGTACATTATTTGACCAGTTGCTTCACAGCACTTCAGAGAAAGAAATTTTACCTCTTCATGCATTAAAATTTCAAAGAATTTATGCGTGTGTTTGTTTGTTGAGACTGTATACCGGCTATGTTGTTATGTGGTTCCTGTTTACTGATTTCAGCGCTGGAACCCTGAAATTCAGCGGGGAAGATTTTAGTAAATCGCACAGAGAATTTCTCCAAATATGAACCCGTGGTTTATGATAACCTATGGGGTAGAATATACCTTAAGGACAAATATAATTCGATTGCGGAATTACAGAATGGACATTTTCAACGGATCTTTAATTATAATCACACACGATACGACCAGTCGACAATACAACTAGACTATGTAGCGGTAATAGAACTTTTGAAAGGTATCTGCACAGGGATGCGCCTGCTATAAATACATCCCCGAACGGAATCAATTTTTACTATCTGTCCCGAAATCGTTTAAAAAAGTGTCTTAACGCAGGTTGCATCGGAAAAAGCAGGATGGTCAGATTTTGAAACCTGACCATGTAAGATTTCGGTGGCCCGCACCCGCCCCCACTTTCCTTCAAACAAGAGATCTAATTGCTCCAGAAATTGTTTCACAACCATGTTGTCGTACAATAAAACAATGCGAAAGCGGCAAAATTTCATTTAGAACACCCATTTGTGCTGGGCTCGTGGCAGGGAAACATCGATGAATTGTTTGTCACTCATTATTTGAAAGCCATGATATAAGGTTTGTGCTATATTGCCATCGGACCAATTAAGCAAAACGAATGAATTGAGAATCAAAATCTTGGAAGCGTATATAGGTAAAGTTTAAAACGATCACAAACATGAATATTGCATGAGAATTTGAAGTTATTAGAAAATATATAGTCAGCCAGGAAATAATGTCTATCGGACAACGCTCATGGTATCAATAAAAACTCTACATGTCGCAACGAGGTAGAGTTGTAAATTAACCAGGGGATGTCTTGTAATCTATACTTAAATCTTATGTGTCCGATCGAGATGCGCTTACAGGGCGAGCAAGATAGGATCTACTTTTTTGCGTGGGATTGCCAGATCCTGAGATTTCATCCTTGTGCTGCAACGCTATCGGCTACGTCATTTTCTCATCTGATACCTTCACCTCTTCTACTGTAGCATGGTCTAAATCATAACCAAGGACAATTTTCACCAAATCCGGAAAGGAGTAGAATCTCGGGCAAAATTTTTTCATATTCTACTCATCAATTCCACATATCATCAGGTCTTCTAGATTGAAATAATTTCATCTATTCAATACCATAGAACCTTATTTAGAGGATCCCACAACGTTCTTATTTATGTGTTTTTATGGATTTCGACGAGAGTTTAAGGTTTGATATGCGTGAGTTGTAGATGGGGTTTCTTGTTTCCCCTCTATTCGAATTCACCGATGTTTGTCTAATTAGACATCGTAACCGTATGCACTATGGTCTGGAAATTTTTGAAGATATGATTATTTGGGATATGGACCGAAATTATCGAAATATGAGTTTATGGTTGTTGCCGTTGGTTAGTCAAGGACATGGGCCTTGTGTAGATAAATCATCAAAACTTTAGGCGGCTTCACCGCGGACCTGTCGGGCAACCAAAATGCAATGGACATGAAACAGGGCCTTGCCCCAAAATCCCTCAATTACTCAATTGCTCGGCAAGGGTCGACAACAAATGATCGCCGTGTCATTTTCGACATATTTGATTTCTGTTACTTCAATAGGTTCAAAATCTGCACATGTTACCATTCACAAATACAAGTCTTTCAGGACCAAGTGATATAACAAATTGGGATCTTTCATTTTGGGAAACTATGTGATATGCAGGAATAGCAAATCGGGAGTCGGGTGTTTCTAATTACCAACTCAATTATAAAGCCGACGCGTAAGAAATTCCCTCAGAAGACGTGTATTTCTCCATAACCCTTCTCAGGGACTTATAACACACAATAAATTGATCAGGTTGGGAGTCCTTCCATCAAAATATCAGGTGAGTCTATGTAAATTTCACAACCTAGGGATTCTCCACTTGCTTTTTGCAAATTGTCATTGGGCTTTGGGACCATACGACCAAAAATCAGGTCAGGTATACCTAGTGTTAAAAACCAAGGGTTACACACCCTGACCAGTTAAGAACGTTGAACACGGTTTTCTTCATCAGCTCTCCGAAAGAATAAACGCCATTCACGTATCCCATGTGAAATGCCTGCCTGTTTTAAGGGATTTTTATAACTCCGTCCCATTTCCAGAGGTGTTTCTGTCTAGGATTTATGCTTGGGTTTGATTCACTGGGTGTGTTAGAAACCCATAAGACCGCGGTGATCTTTCACCGAACCCGAGATAAGGCGTCTTGCAAAATGGCCCAGGTAGACGGTCCCTTAGTCAAGGATGAGTAACGAGCAGGATTTTAGAGTATTCGTGCCTTAGGGTCGTACGTTCTCAAAGAATTATTCCTACGTTGAGTAGTGGTTAGTAATCTTGGTACCTCGTATCATGCCATTTCTATTTATAACTTTATGGTATGTCAAAACGGTCGTACGATCAGGGGAACAGAAAAAATTGAACCAACCTTGGGAGCCATCGCCACTTATCTATCTTCCTAGCGGGATATCCCTAGGGTAGAATGTTCACTACCAAATAAACCCTTCTACGCTACCACATGCTCAGTAAACCTTAGTCACGTGAGATTATCAAATTTCGGTTTTCTCCCCAACAATAATCGATCCCAATCTATTGATAAAATTTTCATTCTCCAACAATTAGGGAGCACCTTTCTGACACAGAAGCATTATAATCAGCAAATGTTGAGTAGAATCAGTAAGAGATATATATCTATATCAGTAAACAACCCAGTTTCGATTCCATTTGTTCCATTAGTGAGTGAAACAGGGTTTCCTGGTGCAATTGGGAATACTCCGTTGTTGAAATTACCCAGAATTTCCCAATCATTAGGTCGTAATATCTACGCCAAGGCGGAATTCATGAACCCTGGTGGGTCAATTAAAGACAGAGCTGCGTTATATGTTATACAAGATGCCGAAAAGAAGGGATTGATTAGACCAGGAGGTACAGTTGTCGAAGGTACTGCCGGAAATACTGGGATTGGATTGGCACATGTTTGCCGTGCCCGAGGATATAAATGTGTGATATATATGCCAAACACTCAATCCAAGAACAAGATTGAGACTTTGAGATTATTGGGAGCAGAAGTATATCCTGTTCCAGCAGTTGCTTTCACTGATGCACAAAATTATAATCATCAAGCAAAGAGACATGCGGAATCTTTGGATAATGCTGTATGGACTAATCAATTCGATAATGTAGCTAATAGACAAGCCCATATTGAAACCACTGGACCAGAAATTTGGGCTCAATTAGATGGAAAAGTTGATGCTTTCACTTGTTCTACTGGTACTGGTGGGACCTTTGCTGGTGTTACTAGATATTTAAAGACCATGTCTAACGGGAAAGTCAAGGCTGTTTTAGCTGATCCACCAGGATCAGTATTGTATTCATATATCAAATCAGGAGGTAAAGAAATGATTAGAGGTGGTTCTTCCTTTACTGAAGGTATTGGACAAGGTAGAGTTACTGATAATTTGCAACCAGATTTGGAATTGATTGATGATGCACTCAAGATCCCAGATGAAGATTCCATTACTATGGTTTATAGATTATTAGATGAAGAAGGATTATATCTTGGTGGTACTGGTGCATTGAATGTTGTTGCTGCTTGTGAAGTTGCCAAAACATTACCTGAAAATAGTAACGTTGTTACTGTGTTGGCCGATTCTGCGCATAAATATGCCGATAGAATCTTTTCTAAAGCATGGTTACAATCTAAAGGTTTATACGAAGCAATTCCAGACCATTTAAAGAAGTACGCTGTATTAGATTAGCCCACTTTTATCTTAAATAATTAGTCATAGTATGTTAGTCATAGTTAGACGGTATAGTAAATATAAAAGGTCGTGTAATTGTACTGAAAAAATTCTTCAAATTTTTTTTTTTTTCTGATGGAAGAAATTTGTTTTACCACAAAGTAAAAGAGAAAGTGAAAGAAGAACGAAGATCATCCATCACAACACACACACGACCATCCCCCCTACATACATACAGTACTTTATAAAAGTTTAGAGACATCCAGTACTTAACAACAACCACTCCATCAGTCAGTCTCTACAGATTGCCATTTCCATCCTTTCATTTTTTTAATAGAAAACAAGAAAAGTTAAACAGTTCAAGTTTTTTTTTTGCATTCATTTTTTTGACAGCCAGAGATATTCTCCATATTGGTTGTAAAAAAATTTCATTTTCAAAACATCCATATTTTAGTTAGGGAATTTGTTGCTAATAGATTCCTATTGTTGTTACTGTTATTGTTGCCGTTGTTACCAAGACAAAGATCAAAACATAAATGGAACAACAAATTCATCAAGCAGTTGAAATTGCACTTAGTGGTAACGCTGATGTCAATCTTAAGAATCAAGCATATGACTTCATTAATCAAATCAAATCAACCGAAGCGGGATATAAATCATGCTTAGAAATATTAATAAAATCAACATCCCAACCAGTCAACGAAGGATTGAAGTTCTTTGTTTATCAAGTCATTGATGAAAATATTGATAAATTAAATCAAGAACAATTATTTTCATTAAATTCACAAATCTTTAAAGTATTAGAACAATATATTGCCAATAATATTAAAGATGCTACTCATTCAAGAAACAAATTTGCTCAAATTTTTGCAAAAACCTTTTGTCATGTATATATTAATATCTATCCCAAATTTATAAAAGATTTGTTTTCCATGATTTCCACTAATAACCAATTAGCTCTTGATTATTATTCAAGAATTATCCTTTCTATACATCTGGAAATTGGTGATAAATTCATTTCAAGATCTCGAGAAGGTCAAGAAAGAAATAACTTGTTAAAAGATGCAATTAGATTAAATGATATGGAATCTTTAGTTATTAATTGGTTTAAAATATTGTCCAATCAAAACAATTCCACCGAAATTTTAGAAAACACTCTTAAAATTGTGGGTGCATATATTAGTTGGATGGAGATTGGATTATTTGTATCTGCAGAATATATTAATATCATATTGACATATTTAAATCGAACAGATGAAAGAAATGTTACTTGTGAAACTATAATGGAAATAATTTCTAAAAAAATGCCACCAATTAATAAGTTAGAATTAATTACTTTATTTAATTTCACTACTGTGATTACTTCAATTGGATTATCCGATGATATTGATTTTATGGAACATATAGCGAAATTATTAAATGCAGTTGGAACTGAATTACTTATTGTCATTGAAAATCAACCTGATTTAGTTAATCAAGTGAAAGCAGAATTATTTAGATTATGGCCATTAGTTTTCACATTTTTAAGTCATGAATACGATGACGTATCACAACAAGTATTCCCATTCATTCAACATTATTTATTGACATGTAAAAAGAACCCAATTTTGAATGATATTGAATTAATGTCAACTTTGTTAAATAAAGTAATATTAAAGATGAAATATGATGACGATGATTCTGGCTTGGATGATGATGAACATGAACAATTTATGGAAATTAGATCAAAATTGAAAACTTTCCAAGATACTATTGCAGTATTGAACCCTGATTTATATGTTACTGCCATCCCTATTGTTATTAATGAATCAATTTTTAATGGTGGAGGTAAAGATAATGATTGGAGAAAATTGGAATTGGGATTATATGAATTGAGTAACTTTTCAGAAAGTTTAAGAAACAATTTAATTAATGTTCCTAAGGATTCAATTGGTGAAAGTAAACCATATGCCATTTTCCAAGAATATTTAATTAAATTAATTAATTCTGATTTTATTACCAAAGTTAACCATCCAAAGATTCAATTGGTATTTTTTGAAATTATTGTTAAACATTATAATTTCTTGAATCAACAAGCTAATAGAATGGATTTAATTATTCGAATTTTAGAAATTTTCACGAGTCCTTTAGGGTTATTTAATGAAATTGAAAAAGTCAGACTTAGAAGTTGGTATTTATTCTTTAGATTTATGAAATTAACCAAACCAAGAATAACTAATGAATCATTAGTAGAAGAAATGATTGTTAAATTACAACCATTATTAGTTATAAAAGCAGAATTACCTACTCGTGATGAAGATGATGATGTGGTTGAAAATGGTAATTTCAATAATCAACAATATTTATTCGAAACAATTGGATTATTAATCTCATTGTTGTCTGATCAATCATCAGCTCCAGTAAAGCTGAAATTATTGGATATAATTTTCCAACCATTATTCAATGACTTGGAAAATTGTATTCTGATTCCAGAACAACAACGAGAAAACCAACCTGTCATTGCATTACAAGCCCATCATTCCTTAATGGCAATTGGAACCGTAGTACGTGGATATGATTATGAATTCAATATGAAATATCCTCCTCAAATTATCGAAAAAGTAAACCAAGCAGCAAGGGTGGTTTTAATTACGTTGGAAAATTTCCCAAAACATGAAATCATTAGAGACGCAGCTAGATTTTCATTTGCGAGATTCATTCCAATTTTGAAAAATACAATTAGTGTTCACTTGGCTGAATTGATTACTTTAATTTGGTCAGCACCTAATTTGCAATTGAGTGAATTGAGTGATTTCCTTGGATTTTTAGGACAAATTACTCATAATTATAAAAGTGATGAAAATATTTATCAATTATTAAATAATTTCCTTTCTTCATTATTTCATAAAATATTTGAAGTATTAGATACAAAAACTAGAGAAGAAGAATTAATGCCTGAAATTATTAGAGATAAGAATTTATTGAAAAAAGCCATTTTAAATTTCCTAAGTTCAATGGTTCTTAATAATTGTGCTAGTTTATTGGTCACCGAAACTAATAAAGCGGAATTCCCTGAGATTATTGGGAAATTATTTGAATATTCTTATGATTTATCCGAAACTTCAGTTTCCAAACTTGCCATCAATCAATTAATCAACATTGTGAATGTATTTGGCAATGGTGGAAAGATCACCGACCCTAAAGATAAATATAGTGCTGCATTACCACCAGTTGAAGGAATTGATGAATTCTTGATGAATAAAGTTGTTCATTTATCATTTGAATTACCATTTCAAAAACAAGAATTTGATGTAAATGATGCTCAATTTAGATTAATTGCACAAGAAATTGCCATTTTATTGAAATCTTATCAATTGAAAAAGGGTGATGTTTTTGTTAATTATTTATCAACATATTTGATGGATATGGGATTATCACAAGATTTAATGAATGACTTTTGTATTCAATTGAATAAAAATGATACCAAGGATTTTAAGAAATATTTCATTACGTTTGTTACAAGATTAAAAGGTGGGAAATAATAAGTCACTAAGTTCCTTTCATTAGTTTAATAGAGTTTATTTATATATAAAGAATGGGGACGGCTATCATATTTATGAATTCAGACCTATTGTGAAAAGCAAGTATACCCTCGATCAAATACACACGCATAAAAGTCATTTCTAATATATTAATATTATTTTAACGGTATTTTAAAGATCTAATGAGACCATGGATTATTGTAGAATATCTTGTAGATTGATATTATAGGACGTATTTTTGATAATTATACACGACTAACAAATATTTATTTTTTTGTTGCAAAATCTTCGCGCATTGAATTTTTCAGTCGACTTCAATTTTTTTTTCTTTGTATTGAGATGAGTGCTCATCTCTCTCTTTCTCTTAGACTTCCAATAAGATACTCCAACCAACAACAAACTATGCCGAAGAATAAAAAGGGAGACGAAGTAGAAATCCCACCGAAGGATGAAGAAGAGCTTCTCTTGGAGAAACTTGTTTTTGGAGATTCAGCCGGCTTTGAACTGAATTTGAAAAAACTTGATAATTTATATGATTATAGTGATGAAGAAGAAGATGTTGATGGAGATGTTGAATCTGATTTCAAAGATGAGAGTAATGATGAAGAAGGGTTAGAACATATTCAAGATGATAATTTATTTTTTATAGATGAAGGAGCAGAAGGAGATCGCGATGAGGATGCCATGGAGATAGATAGTCAGGATGAGGATGAAGAAGAAGAGGAAGAATCAGAGAGTGACGATGAGGAAAATGCATGGGAAGATAGTGATGATGAGAGACTCAACATCTCTTTGAATTCTTCTGATAAATTAAAGAAATTGAGAAGAACTCCTCAAGATAGTTCCATTTCTGGGAAATCATACATAATAAGATTAAGATCCCAATTTGAAAAGATCTACCCAAGACCAAGCTGGATCGATGACATAGACCAATCTGAATCTGACGAGAACTCTTCTGATAACGATATAATCCTAGATGACGATGATGAAGAAGAAGGAAGATCAAATGGAAACACTAATGCTTTACTAGATATCCTTTCATCAACTCAATCATTCATCATAACCAAACAATTAAAATTAATCTCCCCCAACCGAATCTCAATCACAAGACTCAAGGACGCCAACTATCAAAAACTAGGCAAATCATCAATCCAATCACTTAGCTTCCATCCTACGCATCCATTATTATTAACCGGTGGATTTGACAAAACTCTAAGAGTATATTATATCGATGGAAAAATTAACAATTTCATAACTTCGATTCATTTAAAGAATTGTCCTATATCAACTTGTCAATTCTCTCCATCACTCGACACAAATCAGAATTTGGTGTTTGCGGCCGGTAGAAGAAGATATATGAATAAAATCGATTTGAATTCTGGTGAAGTTGAGAAAATAAGTCGATTATATGGACAAGAACAATTTCAAAAATCATTTGAATATTTTAAGATTAGTCCTAAAGGTACATATATCGGTATGACGGGAAATAGCGGTTGGTGTAATTTACTTAATGGAACTACTGGTCAATGGATTAGGGGGTTTAAGATTGAAGGAACGATTGTTGATTTTGAATTCGCCAGAGATGAATCATTTATTGTGATTGTGAATTCAGCTGGTGAAGTATGGGAATATGAATTAAAACAAGAGGCAGCCCAACAATCACAACCAAAGGGTAATAAAAAACCAAAAACGTATAATAAATTACTTAGAAAATGGCAAGATGATGGTGGGATAGGTATAACCAAAATCAAACTAGGCGGACCTAAAAACAGATGGATAGCAATCGGTACCAATAACGGTATAGTCAACATCTATGATCGTTCCAAATTCACCACCGTGGAAACTTCCCGTCCTCATCCAATAAAAACAATCGAAAACTTAATCACTTCAATATCGACCTTAGAATTCAGTCCAGATGGACAATTGTTATGTGTCGCCTCCAGAGCAAAGAGAGACGCATTAAGATTGGTTCATTTACCTAGTGGATCAGTATATAGTAATTGGCCAACTAGTGGTACTCCATTGGGAAAAGTTACCACCGTGGCATTTTCTCCTAATAATGAGATGTTGGCTATTGGGAATGAAGGTGGGAAAGTCACTCTTTGGAGATTGAATCATTATTAATAGAATAACAATCCTCTTGTATAGGAAGTAATATAAATCTTACAATTTTTTGCATCCATATTAACCAATAATTTCTCTCACGTGATTTTTCTGGTTGCGCCGCATCAACTGATTTTTTTTTTCTTTCAAACGCCATAAAAATTTCATTCTCGTAATAAAACCCCTTCAGTATTTGCTTACCAAGCACACCCCCATACCTAATAATAAAAACAACATTCAAAAATGGCTCTCGGTCCGTATGTATCTTCCGAATTTCTATCATTAAACATTTGTTTAACTATTGAATAACATAAAATCTTAATGAATTCTTGAGGATGCTTAATGGAATCCATTTTCAACATAAGTTCAATCCCCTTGATTGAATCATTATATCTCGATTGAATAATATAAATGTTGTTCATCCAACCCGTCCCACCCCAAACAATATACTAACCCAATCCGATTGTAGAAAAGGTCATGATCGTTATCGTAATCCCTACACCCAACAAATGACTCCAGCATTATATCGAGTCCGTGCACCATTCTTTTGGCGTAATGTAGCTGGATTGATTGTTTTTTCAGCCATACCTGCTGCCGTGTATGGATTTACTTATTATAAAATGACGGCGGATGAATTTGATGATATTCCAATCCCACCTATTTCAGATGAAGAATTGAAGAAATTGAAAGTGGAATATGAAGCAAGTAAAGCTGCTGCAGCTGCTGAAAATAAGTAGAGAATGGTGGTATATGATGAATCTTGTATATAGTGTTTAGAAATATATGATTGGAGTTTTTTAAAGCGTGTGCGTTCCATCTTTAGTTGGAAATAAGAGAAGTAGTGTTTTGTCTACATTGATGATTGATTAAAATCACAAAATAAATCTCTATAATAAATTAAACCCTATACATTTCTCTATACATATCCTCTTTTCTTTGTCTATCTATACACCGACAATCCTCTGACCGGATATGGTGCATTATTACTCTCATCATCATCCTTATTATTATCCTCTCCAAAATGTCTTAGAGGATATGGTGTCACATCTTTACTTTCCTCACTATCACCCTCCTCTTCTTCGTCCTCCTCTTCCTTCTTCTTCTTCTCATCACTCTCATTCCCACTTCCCACACTCTTATTATCATCCTCATTCACAGTATTCACACTCACCCCATCATCCTTTTCATCATCACTCTCGAGTTCGGAATACATATACAAATCCGCCAAACTATCATTCTCCCCACCCGCTTCCGTGATATTACCGACTTTCGGAGATTCAGTTGTCATTAAATTATGATATGACGTAAACTCAAACCCATCATTATCCTCATCCTCATCATCATCCTCCTTCTCATCCATACTGGACCTTGGGAGGGTATTATATGGACTACTCGTCTGGGGCTGGATTGGGAACAACACACTCTCGTCATCATCATCGGTATCGGTATCATTTAGATTCATGACTGCTTCAGAAGGTGGGGTGGAATTAGTAGGAGAGAAATTCGATTCAAGTGTCGGAACTGTATCGAATCCGCGTTGTTGAAGTGGAGGTGTGAATGGATCCTCCACTGATGGTGGTGGTGGTGCTTTTCTTGATATTGGGACAAGTGGAGCAACTGGGATTGAATCTTGAGTTGGTTGGAAGGAATGTACGCTGCCGAATGGATCCTTTACGAAATCGTCTTGCGGAGGAGCATAGTATGTATTATTATTATTATTATTATTGGTATAATTATCCCGTGGCGGGAGTGGTGGATTGGATTGGAATGTTCTATTGTTGTTGAAGTGATCTGGCATATTATTATTGCGAAGATATAGTGGATTTTGTTCTCCTCCTGATAATGGGGAATATACTTCTTGTGGCTGGGTATTGTTGAGGGCATATTCACTTCCATGATCTGGTTCATGTTGTCCAGGTAGGGATTGGCCACGAGTTGGTGGATATGAAGTGTTGTTTGTATAACCAGTTCCTTGAGAGAAACCGGACATAGAAGTTTCTGATCTTTTTGGTAGTTGCGGTTGTTGACGTTGATTATTTGAATAAAAGTTTTTCATTGGGATAGATTCCACTGATTCTTGTCTATATTTGAATTCAGTATTCTTTAATCTTGTATATTCTTCTTCCGGTAATGGAGGTAATTGAGAAATTCTTTCCTTTGATAAAATACCTTGATCCAATAATTCTTGCTTTGGTTTATGATGTTGTCCAACTGCTTTAGCTACTGATCTATTAATGATCGAAGAACAATATGATTTCAATGTTGGATAATTAGTACTTCTTAATGAACATTTCACGGGGATATAACATAACATTCCAAATACGAATTTAATAAAGAAGATTGCAAAAATCAACACGGAAAGACACATGAATCCCAAAATAACTGCAAGATATAAATTTGTTTTTGCAATTGTGACAATATTCTGTAGGATTGCATTATTTAATTCACCACCAGTGGCATAATATCTTAAGGTTAAGATATTAATAACTTGTCTTGGAGCATCGGCAATTAAGATTTGAAAAGCATTATCTAATTCATAATAACATAGGAAACAACAAAAATCAAAGAAACCACCTTCATCAATACCATTAAATAAACAAAAATAACTAAAAGATCTAATTGAATAAAATCTTTTAGCAATTGAATTTAAATAAACTAAAGCAATATTTTTAGTTCTATAAATATGTAATGACCAAAGGAAATGATATATTAATAATACAACTTGGAAAATGATACAACCAGTGAAGATCCATTTTGCAACAGAATAAGCATAAGGTTTATAATCTTCAGTACCCCATTTATGAAATACTAAAATATTAAGACATGTATAAACATCAGTTGCTAATAAAGCTAATGATAAAAATACTAATACCCACATATAAATATACCAAAATATAGTTGAACCTTTATGATTCTTGAAACCATCAACATCAATAACATCAAAAGTGGAAACATCTAAACTATACTTTTCAATCTCCCTTTCGGCATTGAATCGATCATTTCGACGTGACATGATGATTTGTTTATAAGTCTTGGTGGTAGAAGCTAGTAGTGCTAGTAAAGTTCATACGGTTACTTGATACCGTATATATAATTATTCGTATATACAGTATATGATAGTTCTATAGTATACTGTATGTCTTTAGATAGAAAGTGAAAGGGAAAGGAGTAAATGGAAATGTTTCAAGATTTTAAATTTTTTACAACACAAAATATTTTTTTTTTTTAGTTGCTGATTTCAAATCGTGTAAATAATTGCTATATGCAGGGCACGCGATTACTTACGTGTACGAACTAATTATGACGTAAAAAGGAGGCATAAGTGTACAGGAGGCAATGAACTAGAACCTCATCAAACTACATGGAACTAATGATGAGATAAGAAAGGAATTGAGGCACAGGAGGGGGGGGGGGAAGGGATTCTTAGCTACTGTAGATAGAGATGGGGGGGGGGGATACGAAAGAGAATAATTTGAAATCTATTTTTATTCCCCTTTCGTATCTATCAATCATTTCATTCTTTATTGTTGTAAGATTCTTGGCATTTTTCCAACTAAATTTTTTTTTTTTTTTTTCAAATTTAAATGAAAATTATTTTTTAATTAAATCGTTCGCTTCGTGAAAAAATATTTTTCTGTCAATTTAGAAAAAGTGTGGCTTTCTGTCAATCTGATAATAATGATGATCATGATAATAATAAACTGGATTTTATTTCATGTGTAAATTTTTCACTTTAATAATTAAAACCATTTGTACATCACCAGATCCATTAAATGCATTTTTTAACAAGATTTATATTATTATCTACACATACTACATACCTTGGCAATTCACAAAAAAACACCTCTCTTATCTGGCCTGTTCTTTTTTTCTTCTCAATTCTGTCTATTTTAAGAAATTCTTAGCCAGGTTACATCCATACTGCCGCCCTAAAAAAACTAAGAATACTTTTTTGAATCCCAGAATTTTATTCATTACATTTCAAAAAGTCTGATGATTTAGGAGAGGGTTCTTCTTTTAATAGAACGAAATATCAATATGAAACTATACATATTTATGTACATACCTGTAAGATTCTTCTTTCCTTCTCTCCACATTATTCTTAACTTACATTTCAACGACCATTTACTAATACTTTGCAACCAAGAATTATGATAACCAAATAAAAATAATCACACCAAGTAAATGTATACACTTACCACTTGAAACCAGAAATATTTTCAAGATAATTGACCCCCCTTAGGTGAATAATTACCAAATCAGCCCGGTTCCTGAAATCATCCCAAGATTTCTCAATAATCAGGCTTAGCGCTCCCCAGATGTGATACCAAATCACCTATATTTCTAGGCACCTGTCAATGGATCCAGGCAATGCGAAACCCATCTTCAATTTAGCATTTTTCTGAAAATGCAAGAAAATTCAAGGCATTACAACCTGGCTACGCGAGTGGCTATTAAATTCCTACATTGATCCTCTATTAACGTACCTAAATTTAGACAATGAATGACGCCTGATTGACAATTGCAAAGCAAGGTACCTTGTATACACGATAGTTGGCTGCGTTGAGACAAGACTCAGTTGAACTTGTAAATCCGTTTCTTCAAAATAGGAAATAAAGCCAGGCTCTTAAAAATATTGGCAATCTTAATGTCATTTCTTACAAAAATTACAACAGTAGTTAGAAGGATTGGCAAATAATGATAATTTGCAATCTAAATAGTTTATGAAATTTTTTGTAGAAAAAATATTACTAAAAAACTCTGGTGGAATACTTTTTGCAGCCAGTTGAGAACTGCCCAACATTTGATTCCAAAGCATTCATTAGTCAGTAATACTCAATATACTGAAGAAATTATGGCGAAAAGCTCTTCTTAAACTATTTGTGAGACGCTACCACACTACCATGTACTACACAATTTTTCAGGAGTATATTCGAAGATTTACTAAGTTCTTTGTAGCAGGAGTAGTTTTCAAGCATATGTGTCTCATTTCAATAGATTGCTCGATTTCTAATTGCTTTATAAGACCACCTCAAAGAATCTTAGAATATTTTTGAGTATTTTAGAGATCTTACAGAGGGAGTACATGTACGAGATTTGATTCTCCAATTATTCAAAAGAAACTTGATAATCTCAGGATGACATAAAATTTGCTGCAAAATATTTAATTTAATTTAATTTCTGTTCATTATTTAACTATAATTATGGCGTAATTAGGGCATATAAGGGGCTATCGTCCGAAACAATCTCTTTGGGAAGGGTCCGAAATGCTGGCGATGACCACTACGGGATTTCCTTTTAACTTAAGTCCAAATACCGATCTTAATTAAGCTCTTAAATAAATGTTCTCAATCATATCTTTCTAATATTCATGCTCTTTCCATCAATCAAGAACGATCCAATAAGATTCGAAAACCTATCATCGCCAGAAACAACACCATATAATACCACTCCAAGGAAAACTTGATTTTTCGGATTGACAGCATATATCGACTGAAAATAATTTAATAGATAATCAAGACTAATCAATTCATGACTTAGCTCCAAATATACAAGATCAGCACAATCATCCAAGATCACTTTAGTGTCCGTCTCTTGTTGACATGCGATTGAGCATTTCTGGACCGCTTGAGGAATTATTAATTGCCGAGACTCGAGTTCTAAAGATTTCGTGTCGATGATTAATGTTTCGAAATTGTGTAGGTGATTCAACTCACCAATGGTAGTGTCGGCTTTACATCTCACAAATTTTGATGTCTGGGGTAGGCTGGATAAATCGAGTTCGTTGAACGATTGAATATCTAGGATTTCAACACTTTTTAAGCTTTTCAAAAGAACGGGACCTTGGGAATCTAGCGATACATTCCCAATGACTAACTTTTTCAACCCTTTGGGAATATGATACTCATCAGACACGGAAAAGATAGGGCCACCTCCAGAACCAAGTGGACAAATATCAAGGACTTCAAGATCATCAGGTAATTTCCTAAAGAAATTCAGATCCAGCACATTGCTAAGTTTGGTTCTCCTAAGACTCAATTCCTTCAACGTAGATGGAAACTCAAGCGATTCTCCAAAGGATTCAATAGGATTGCCATTCAAATTCAAAATCTCACAACTATCCGGAACCTTGATACACTCCCCTGCAATCATACCCTGAAACTTATTATATTCCAAATTTAGTTCAAGTAATCCAGGACACGGAATTTCTGAAAGTCGAGTAAACAAATTATGTGATAAATTCAACACCTGTAGTCCGGGTGGTAGCTCCAGAATCCACTCATCATCTAGTTCACATAATCGATTCTTATTCAAATTAAGTATTCGTAAATTACTTAATGCTTTTAGGTTTCGTATCTTAAGGTTGTTAATCTCACACTTTTCAAGACACAATGAGAATAAACTACTGGGGAAATGAAACTTCTTAATCGATTGTAGGTTTAAATTATATATCTTTAGATCTCGTATTTGGTCATGTTTTTGAAAACCTAAATGTTTATGCTTGGAAATCGTACCTCCCAATCCTGCTTTTCGATAATATTCAGCGCCAATGGATATCAACTCACATGAGGTTGGAAAACTAGTCGAAGAAATGACTCGAAGAAAGGTAAGATCAATATCAGTATCCCATGAACACTTATTATCTTGAAAATCCCAAATCTTCAATTCTTTCAATTTCGGTGGTGGTCTAAGAATTGTCCAAGTATCATATTCGATACATCTGAACCTACATCTCAATTTGAAAGATTCAAGGTCGGGATAATCTTCAATATGTTCGAATCGTTGTATGTCTCTGCAAGATAGGTCTAGGTTTTTGATGGATTTAGGTAGTTTTAAGTAGCGTAAATTAGTTATGCCTTGTATAGTTGCTTTGAATGAAGTAAGGCATCTGGCCAGGCGAATGTCAAGTTGAAATATCTGCGGCTCATGATGGGTGTAGGTTATGACTAGATGTTTTAATCGGGTCGGTAGTCGTAATTTGATTTCAGGATCAGGAGGAATGATCAAGGAATTCAATAATGATAATGAAGTTAGGTTTGATGGTAATAAGGGAACATCTTCGGCAGAAATTGAGGTCGAGTCAAGTGTCAATTTTGTACAAGAACTGCAACTAGATAAACAGTCTACCGGTGGAGCAATCTTACAGTCACGAAATATGACTCTATTTATCTTGTCTTTCCAGTGTATCACCAGAGGAATATCACCTGTATTCACTGGATCACAAACAAGGACTAGCTTTACATTGTCTAACGTGCTCAAGAATTGCAAAATTCTAAGATTCTCATTATATGAGCTAACAGAATGATTAACAACAATCCTTAAATTCCTTACCTGTGCAAGCCAGCCAGGATATAAATCCAATACCAACGGCACATCTCTAATTGTATCAAAACATAAATTCACAGGTCTGAAATCTGGATAATCCTTACAAAACCCGATAAACTCTCTTACCCTACCAAAAGTAAAGTATCCGTCCCAGTCTTGAGGTGATTCAGTTTGATCAAATAAATAAGTTTGATTCCCGATGTTTCTATCTTTATAACTCTTTCGATATAGATTATTCTCTCCTATAACAACCTCCGTCCCAGAAGAGCATCTGGTATAATGCTGAAAGGAGTTGTCTAAGATACGTATATTTGCATAGTATGAATTGAATGCAAATGGTCTGATTTCTTTGATTTGAAGATATTCTTTAAGATATTGTTGAGGAATGAAATCGAAAATCGATTGTATAATTTCTGGAGATGAATTCAATTTAGAAATATTCATCATTTGAATTCTTTATTGAATGTTATAATCATAGTAACTTGTTATACCGATTACACATACATCTGCCTTGGAGAAGCAAGAGGAAAAGATAAACTTACGGAGTCCATAGAATACTTGGTTTTTTTTTTCTGAACTCTGGGGTAGTTGTTCGATGACTTCACTCCATGAAGTTTATACAAGTAACTCTGCTCATCTGATATATTATCTATTGTCTTCTCATACCCCCGAGGGCTCTAATTATTATTCTCTAGAGAATTTTGTACTACTTGTAGAATCAAACTACCTGAAGTTAATCTATTCTGGTAAAGATCACCTCCCAAAACTTCGCTTATGTAACTCTTTTGACATATGCAAAAATTGGATAGCAAAAGACACCTTTTCAGAGGGAGACTGAAGATACTGAAAGAAAATAAGTCAATATAACGTGTGAAGAATGGTTTTCATTCTGTCTTGGGTGCCAATTGAATCTACTTTGGAGATGGAAGATGTGATTTGGGGTTAAAGCCAAATAACATCCAAACATACAAACAAAATCGCAGCAACAGGAAAAATTCACACAGAGAAAATTTTTACAGCACTCTCCCTCATTGCAAGTTTAGATCAATAACATAGAGATCTATAACAAAAGGATATACATTCTTGAACGTAGATCCATTAGATATAATGTCTTCAAATAATGCGCCAGGAACATTCCAGCCTGACCAAATCATTAATCAATTAAATCAAGCAAAATCACTTGCATTTGATCAACCAGAAACTTATGCACAAGTCTATAGACAAATATTACCGTTTGTAAATAGACAAGAACAATCAATACAATCATGGTGTGTTCAATTCATCCATGAATCATTCATAAAGAATTCACGTTTGAAGCACGCTGATAGGGTTGATTTAGCCATTGATTCCTTAGATGCTTTAATTAATCTTACTAATATTGTTAAAGATATTCATGAATTTATAAATGTTATCGAAATTAGTTGTATTACATATCAATTGGTTTTCCAATATGTTGCTGAAAATGATGGATGTAATCAAATTTGGAGTAAATTAACTGAATTAAAGAATTCTTTGGTTAATAAATTCCAAACAAATTTCCCATTAGATCCAAGTGATAATACTGAACATGATTTAAGTAGAAATGTGGCTACTAAATTGGAATTATTAAAGTTTATTATGATTGTTATTGATTACCAAAGTAAGACCCAAGTTGTAGGAGAACCTTTAGCGTCTGGCAGTGGGTTTTCATTGAATAGAGTAAGTCCTGACCATAGTTTAATTAAATATAGTAATATGGAATATGAATCAGTAAGTTTATTGAATTTAATATTGAAAACTTTCAATCATGATATTATAATAACTCCCTTGGTATCTGCAACTTTAAATCACTGTATTATAATTATGAAAAAGAAACCACAGTATGCTAGTAAGATTCTCGGTATTATTGATAAATATGATACGAATTCGAAATTACAATCAAATTATCAATCAATTGAACAATTTAAATTGGCAAAGAAATATATTGATCGTGTTATCAAGATATTTTTACAGCATTGTTTTAAAAACGGTCTTATACCATCCAACTTTCAACACCTTAACAAAAGGATTCAAGTATTAGTTGATAGAGGTAATGATATAAGAAAGAAGAATATCTTTACAATTGTAGAACCGAACATTAAAAAGAGAAAATTTGAAGGATTTTATAATCCATCCAAAAGAATTAAAACTATGGATTACAAAAATCTTTATATTTTAAACGATTTGAATAATGAATTAAATAATTTTGATTTAACTACCGTACCTCAGCATATATTAACAAGTATGGTTATAAATGCATTACAAAAAGTTCCTGTACCTAGATTATCAAAAGCTTTAGAAATTATAAGTGATAGATATACAAATGCACTTGAATCCACACCCGCACCAGGCCCAATATCAACTCCAACGCCACCCGTAAGTGTAAAGAGACCAACCCCTCAACCGAAAACACTTCCCAAAGTACCAGTTAGCACTTTCAATGCCCCAGTTGCAACCCAAGTAAAATCGGAATTTAATCAACAAGAGCCTGCTCCATCTGACGAACCTTCAGAAGAAGATAGATCCGAAGAAGAGGAGGAAGAGGAAGAAGAAGGATATAATCCCGAAGCTGTATATACATTGCCACCACCTAAAGAATTATCATTTCAAGATAAGAAAAACCATATTTCCATAATAATTAAGAATTTCTTCAATTTAGCCAAATCACAAGCCCCAATCGCCACCGAAGATGACAACGAAGAGGAAAATGATGCGGATACTGATATAAATAAAGAATTAACCAAAATTGCAATTAAATCATGGAAGAAGGATAGTTGGATATTATTATTGACTAGATTAGCCACTAGGGGTATGAGAACCAAATCATCTGAAACAACCAAAGCCGAGGATGATGATGATTATGATATTGAACAATCCCCTGATGACAAAACGAATCAAGAAATGAGTGATATGATCCGACAAGCGATCTTCGACTATTTCTTGGAAGATATCCATAGTCGAATCGATTTGATTATTGAATGGATGAACGAGGAATGGTATAGTGAGAAAGTCTTTCAAGAAGCAAGGAATATCAAAGAGAACAAGAAGCCTGATATTGAGGTAGATACTCCTATATATAATAAATGGGCGGATAAAGTTCTTGAATCGATGATTAATTTTATAGAACCTAATGACAAGAAGATCTTTATTCGTTTGTTGAGTGACTTACCTTATTTAAATAAAGATTTGATTGGCAAGATTAAATCATTGTGTTTTGATCCGGCAAGATCTGAAATTGGGTTTTTGGCGTTACAGTTTTTGATTATGTATAGACCACCTGTTAAGGATATTTGTGTTGGGGTTTTACAAGAGTTGAGTGAATGTGATCAAGAGGATGTTAAAGAAGAAGCTGCTAAGAAGTTGTCTAAATTCAAGTAGCCTATATAGTGTAGTACGAGTAATAATAAATGAAGGGCAAGCTATTTTAGCTAGATTGAAATTTAATTTAAAGGAAACATAAGCTTGTAACAGATAAAATCGACTGGATTGTCAAATGATAAATACAGTATAAACGACAATACTATGAATGATCGTGCTTATGGCTCGGATATTAATTGTAAAAGCCTGTAGGAAATTGGTATCAATTTATACGGCAGAATCACGTGATAAAATTTCCATTTGTATGGGACGTTTATTTTTACTCTTCAAATTTATAAACCCCCAACAATTTCTTCTTCCGTTTATCATTTCTCTTCTATAAAAATTCAATCAAATCAAATCAATGAATTCAAATCCATTCAACACAGGAGAGGAAGAAGATCCGTGGTCCAATTGGAATGCCTCCACCGATCGTCAACAAGCCAATTCCACCTCACCAATTTTACCATCATCCCTTACTCCAGGAGTAGGTGCACCACCTGGAGCAGCCAGTTATCTCACTTCATCACAACTCTTATCTCGAGCTTCCCACACAGATACTACCACAAACTCAAGCATTATCACCAACGTCCCAGAATCATATAAGGACATCCATACTCATCTAATTGATAAATTAAAAACTATCAATGATTTAGAAATTCATATTTTTAATAAATTAATCACCATGAATTATTTAACCAATTATCAAAAATCAAGAATCCTCGATTTGGCATATGATAATAATTTAATGCCAATTCTGATTGCGACAAATTTTTATATGGTCTTAGGATTAATTGCATTAGAAATCGATGTGCCTGGAAGTGCTGATTATGTTAGTTTACAATTTAGATTAAATTCATTGCCTGATTTGCCTAAGAAGTTTGTTTCGTCAATTATTGATGAAGACGAACAAGGAGACGAAGATACAACTGGATATCATCCGCTATTGGCCAATCGAACTGAAGAGGATGATTATTGGAAACGAAAGGATGATGGGGAAGAACGTCACGATCCGATTTTGAAAGATCATTCGACTAGTCGATTGATCGAACCCCTGGACAGTGGATCAGATGTGAAAGGTGGCGCAGGGACGACAGCAACAGGAGGAGTAGGGGCTGGGGGGTTGGTGTTGGCAGAGAATGTAGTGAGTGAGGATACTGTTGATACATTATTTATTGAAAAATATGTTGATGAAATTAGAGATAGATTCAAACCTTTAATTGAAGATAATGCTGATGCGGTCAAGATTAAAGAAGTACCCGAAAAGGAGGGTATTTTATTTAAACATATTAATTATATTATTAGTCATAATTTACAATTAGGAAGAGGAACTTCAAGTCATGGACAAAAGAAAGTTGTTCGAAGATATTCTGATTTTGTTTGGTATGTATAAACAACATATTGAAATCACGGTGAGAAAGTTTACTAACAGATCTATATTTGCAGGCTCTTGGAATTCTTGTTAGAGAAATATCCATTTAGAGTAATACCTGGGTTACCACCCAAGAAATTTACAGGTATGTCTTTTCTTATTCTTATTTTACAAACCGTTTGCAAGAACATAATACTAATATGCATATAGTAGGAGCTTCCCCAGATTCTCAATTCTTACAGAGACGTCGTCGTGGTTTACATAGATTTCTTAATCAATTAATTAAACATCCAATACTTCGAGAAGAACCAGTTGTCCAAACCTTTTTGACTGTTCCCACTGATATCACTACCTGGAAAAAACAAGCAAAGATTGATTATTCATTAGAGTTCAAAGGTGAGAAGATTCAAACCAGTTTCATAAATACCATTTGGCCCAAGATTGGAGAAGAGTTTTTAAAGAATTGGTCAGAGGCAGAGGGTAATATTATGAAATTAATTGAAATATGGACAAGGATAGTGTTGTTAGTGGAAAGACACGAGAAGAGACAACAACAGATTAGTTTTGATAATGGGAAATTTGTAGAAATGATTGGGAAATTTAGACAATTGAATACCAAGATTTATCCCGGTGATAATGAAGTTTTATTGAAAAATAATGATATTGGAAATGTTAATGATTCCTTAGGACGCGTGAGTGAATATTTTAATAAGAGTAGTCAAATATTGATTGATGAGAGTTATTCTATCAATACAACAATATTGGAGAAGTTTAAGAATTATTTGGATTATTTATATTCATTACAAGAATTATTTGAAAGAACTAAAAAGTTATCAATTAATAATATCGAAAGTTTAGAAAAGAGAATCAAAGAAAATGAAGATAAATTTAAGAAATTGAGTACAGAAGATGCTGATGCAAAGGGAGCCGATATTGCAAGATTAAGACAAGTGATTATTAATGATAAACAAGAGATTTTCCAACAATTAAATAAAGATTGGTTAATTAAAAATTGTTGTTTTGAAGAGTATTTAATGTTTCAAGAAACTCAATATTTAATTAGTGAAGTATGGATTAATTGGTCAAAGGGAAGATTTAGATTTGAAGAGAAGATTCTTGGATTATATGATAATTTAAATCAAGAAATTATAAACGATATGCCATTAACTAGATAGTTACTATAAAACCGTTTTTTTGTTAGTCAGTCCCCTAGTTATTTATATACTTTTCCCATTTATCCATCACCGGATGATGTTGATTACTAATTTCTAAATTATCACCATCTTCATTAAAATACTTTTTATCTAATACTTTTATAATATTTAATTCAGACTTAGCCTTATCAAATTCTTCTTTAGTATCAATAGATAATACAGTTGATAGTATCTTACCAACCCTAATACCTAATTGAGCCCCTTTAGGAAATGCTGTATCAAATCCTACTTGAAGACTATTCTCTTTAGCACTTGTAATTCCATCAAGAAATCCCCTGGAATAATGAGATCGTTGAATATCATTAGTTGCATTACTTAATTCATTCTCATTCGCATTGTTATAGTCATCATCATCTGCCCATACATCATCACTCTCTGAATGGCTGTTAGTAGGACTAATTGGTGCATCTATATGGTCTGGCTTACAAGTACAATTCCCTTGACATGTCATCTTGACTAATGCCCCTCCAAGTGAATGTAAAATAAGGCTATAAAGTCTATTTGTAATTAAGGGATGACGTAGGAAATGTTAGATGCAGTAGTCAATGTCGTACATTAATTATAATGTCGTGAAATTGTAATGTCGTAGATCTCTTGATGGTTAAGAAAAAATTCAATTCCACCTTTTTTGACTCACAACACACACACTTTTTGAATTAATTATAACCTTATAGAGAGAGAGAGAGACAGATAGATAGTAACATCCAGACATAAAGAGTATAAGAATTTACTATTAGTGATATAAACACGTGACACTCATTACTACCACTCCAATCATCCCCCCAATAATATACCATATTCACGTACGCACAAGCACACAAGCAAACGTCACCAAATTTACAAATTTACCCGCCGTTTAGCCCAGAAAAGACAACCACACAATAAAACGCAATCCCCCTATAAGCATAACCCGCAAGTGCTGGTAACTTGTACTATACATTACACATATACATATACACAGAATGTCACAACAAGATATAATCACGCAAGTAACACCTGATTCATATGGAACTATACCACAAGTATCCTATGATGATAATGAAGATATTGATATTGATTATAATTCCAAAATACATTTAAATATCCGTGGTAAAGAATTTATAATCACTAGAGATGAATTAATGAGTTTACCTGAAAGCATATTATTATGTCTTTTCCCCAATGGGGTATTCTTGGATGTAAATGGTCAAATAATAACCAATTTAACTGAAGATGATATTGTCTATGTCAATTTTGATCCAGTTTGTTTCCAATATATAATTGAAGTCTTTCAAGAAGCAGCTAAGGATTTGGAAGAAATGGAACAACACCACCAACAACAGCAACAACTGTCTCAGGCGTCTCCTACTAATAGCTTCTTAAATATTCATAAAACTAATCATTCAGCAAATCAACAAGAAAATGTCTTACAATCAAAACCAGCTATAATTGTATTACGTGAAGATTTAGATTTTTATGTAATCCCTCCATTTTCCGGAATAAACAGTGAACAAATGAAACAATTAAAACTAGGAGTCTCAATAGAATTGCTCAAAAATAAACTAATATTCTCAGGCTTAGGATATAAGTTTGATCAAAATCAATCACCACATCAACAACAACATCCTACGAGCTCCGGATTAGGACCTGCTGAACAGCATCTTTTCGACATGCTATGTTCGTCAGGATTTGATCCTACAGAAAAATGGGGCTCAAGATCCCTTGAACCTAACAAATGCGTCATATCATCTCTTTCATTAATAAGATTGAAATCACCGCAGCCCCCATCAGAACCTGATTCACCTTCACTCACCCCAACAAATTCAAATACCGGTACTGCTGGAGGTTCACCCAATGCCAAACGCTCCCGGTCAAGAATAGCTCAATTGGCAACTAGCGCAAGTCGGGCCGCGTCTAGATCATTATCTTCTACTCCAACACTTCGAGCTAAACACCGTCATGTGGATACTTCGAACCAAACGAAATTATTGTTGTTTTGGAGAAAACCTGCGCGGAAATGTTGGTGGTCTGATTCCGAGGTTGAGATTGAGTTGGATGCTCCTGGATTGTTTAATGGGAATGAAGAAGTACAGAATGGTGGGAATAAAAGAATCGCTGTTAAAGTTCATATTCGCAGAGTATGGACGTTGGAGTTGTCGGTGATTGGAGTACTGTAGCTTTCGTTGTATTTTTAACTGTATTAATTGTTAAATTTGTATAAATTTATATACTTATGTAATCTTAAATAGCTTTTGATTATTATATATAAATCTTGTCATTATCTAACATGACGATCGTCTAACGTAGATTAATAAGAGGGAGCAACACGGTTGTAATCATATGAAAAGCATACAATTTTTGCAGTTTGTTTCCTCCTCACAACGGGATTTATAACACACGTAAGTATACTGTCAGTTAATAATGGAGGAGGACCACAAAAGACTTCGTAGTTAGGTCACTCTAAAGAGATGGGCGAGTTCTTAATAAGTAATACCTTTGAAGATCAGAGGCAGCTGCATACAACCTTATAAAGGTACAAACTTCGGAAAATTCTAAAATTAGATTCCGCATACAATGTCCCTCTTGAAGCCAACTACAGAAGCAATACCTTCTAGTGGAGCTCGAGAATGAAGTTAAACTTAGAGGCCGTGAATTAGTAAATTATATAAACTCGAATCAAACGTAATATCTCTATAATTTTATATAAACTAAATAAACTAAAACAAGGAAAATGTGACTCTTAAATACACAAATTAATAGTCACGAAGAACATAGAAAATAGGGCCATAATATAATAAATCTTCTAATATGGATCTAACCGTCATTTATTTCTTTTAATATTGGTATGTTTCATATCTTAATTCCAATAAACCAAACTCACGAGAAACAAGTTCCACGTCGCATTGCCATAGAACTTACACGTTCTTAGACATTTCGTTAGAATGTACTCAGCTAACTTTTTAAGTAAATGCATAGTCACCACTAATCCATCTATTGATCATATCCAATGCATTCTCAGGTTGGTCATGAGGAACCATATGACCAGCATTGAATACTCTTAAGAAAGTAAAGTTGTCACTGCTAGTAACATCTCCTACATGTCTGCCATCAACTTCCCATTTCTTAATTGGGGATTTGACGAACTTGCTATGTCCTTCCCATATCAATCGATTGGTCCAAGCTTCATTACCTAACCAATTACAAACAAAATCCTTGTCTCCAGCATAAATTAATACTGGCAAACCTTCTGCAAGCAATGCTTGAACATCCCTTTGAAAAGGTCTCATTACATCACTAGCAAAATTTTCATGAATACTGCTGTTGCACGTATTAAACTTTTCAACTTCAACTCCAAGAGCTTTCATTACTTCGGGTTTATTCAAATACTCATCATCATATTCCATTTCGATATACCCCTTATCGCCCTCCATGTCAATACGAACATCATACGGATTTCTTCCAGTCAATGCATAAGGGTTGAATTGTGTATCGGTACAGAAATTATCTGCTTCGATACAACTCCATTCCCATTCATTTTCATAACAATACCTGGTTAGCGAAAGACATATTGGCAAGGATTGTTCCATAGCACGACATTCATCTGAGGATAGTACTGCATCAGCACCACCATCGCCACAAGCCATTGGTTTATAGTATTCATATTGGACCAACGGATCTGTAAGCGGATTCCCAATCAAAATCGACGTTAAATTAAATGAACGATCATCATGTGATAATATTTCTGTAGCAAACGCCGGAATATAATGCCCAGCATAGGATTCACCGGCAATATGGAAATCTAGATTAGAATATTCCGGGAATTGTTTAAAGAATAGTTCCAAAAATGCATAGACGTCTTTCCCAGCAGTAACCGTTTCGTTTACCGAATTTGAGGAATGAGAAAATCCTACATTCACTGGTTGATCCAAGAAAATAACCGAAGCATTATTATTCCAACTGTATGGATTGTGTTTTGGATTTAAATTCTTATCAATTGAAGCAGGACCTAATTCAAAAAGTAAACCCATCATGGAAGAACATCCTGGTCCACCATTTAGCCAAAGAATAACAGGGTCATTCTTTGGATCATTTCTGCTCTCAAAGAACCAATAGAAGAAATGCTTATCTTCATCTTCAACATCCAAGTAACCACTGTATTGCTTGACTGTATCAATGCCTAAATCTTCGGGATCGGTGTTTCTAACTCTCAATTTATGATTTGGATGTCTCTTATCAAAGACATGATAATCGAATGGTCTAGAATTTAGAGTCGACCCGAGTCCCTCAAGTCCCCCCGAATTCATATCTCTAGCGTGTTCCTTAACAAGTTTGGGATCCTTTGTCGATAAAGCATATATCCCATATTGGATGGCAATTGCCCATAAAGCAAAGACTAAATTGATTATCTTCATTTTGTTTTGCTTCCACAAAAATATGCTTCCTGATGTTTCGAAGCAATCAAACTACATATTTATACTTAAGCGATGTCTTAAAGCCTCTATCAGGAGTGACGCTTATTCAAAATGTCAACAATTATTTATTCTAAGCGAGCTCGCATAATGGGGTGATCAAAAATGGCTTCGCTTAGAATAAGAATATTTTTGGATATTGACAATTTGGCATGACCAATGTAACCATTATTTTTAATCAATCTTTCATATTGTAGGTTAGGCTCGGGATACACATTAGATTGAAGTTGATTTTCCATTTTAGTAGTAGTAGATATTATATATTTTTTGCTTAGTTAATTGTTTATTCTATATACTTTAATTTCAAACTCTTTGAGACTCTGTCTCGTATTTGTATCATTTCTGTGAACTATGCTCATTAAGTCTAGCTATGCTGACAATCTCTTTCATCAGGTATCTGGTCTATAAGTTACTTTTAGGAATTACACATAAAATACGCGTTACCTCGCCTCATGACATACTTCGTATTTCTTCGTATTTCTGTCTGCTATTTTTAGCTGTTGCTATTTTTAGTTGCTTCTATTTTTAGTTCTTGTTGTCTTCTACATACAAACCAACCTGGATTACATCATTCTCATATACCAGCTAAGGTTACCAGCTCATACATCATAAGGAGTTTCTACTTCTGATTTAGGAGTTAATTTCTATAGGTCTCCCTTTCTGATAGCATTGTGATTGTAGAGAACCGTCAACAAGGTTCTGCTTTCCATTTTAAGATATTTGAAAGCTTTCTTGAATCCAATTTGGGTCTAATGTATCCCGCATGGGTAAATATGTAAATTAATTTTGTACAGGATGGTACAGTTAAATACTTTATTTAAAGTTTTCTTCAGGTTTTCAGTAAATTCTTGGCGTCTTCAGTTGATTGAATAACATATATAAGTAGAGTAAAAAAGGTAGGAATTGTAGGACAACTTAAAGATCTATTCCAAGAAAATAAGACATATTTCAGAATAATAAAAGCATGATCATACATAGAATAAGGGGCCCCCTTTTTGTATTGGTTATTTATGTGTATTCGACTATTTTATATCAAGCTTAATTCGCAAAATATTGAGTTAATATAGTTATTAGTTAGTTATACTGAAAGAGGATACAAATGCCCTAGGATGTATTACCATAGGCAAATTCTAGCCTATAGTATGGAAGAGAATACAAAACTGCAATAACTTCATTCTTTGCTTTCTTTTTTTACTTTATTAAGTTAATGTTGCAATAACGCAAATTGCAAAATTTTCAGAGGAAGTTAAAAAAAATCTTAATAATCCGCTTACCATCGGAGTGTAGATATTGACTAGAGTCATTTAGATATACAAAAGACCGCTCTCCCTCCTAGAATTATTTACAAACGCTGAACATAAACTTCATATACGCCGAATGGGCCACATTTATAATTAGCGGATGTTGACTCCCTTATAAAATCAGGGCTACCAGATGTGTAAGTAGTTAAACGTCACCACTAACACGTCACGTAGTTTTATTCTAGATTATACGTAATAGCATTCACATATACTTCATCTCGATTCTTTCATTAGTATATTTGAAATTTAGTTTCTAATCTCTTGTTTCTTCTTGCTACTTCTTTCATTTCATCAAAAAGTTATAAAACGCGTAATTAAAAAATTGTCTTCAAAACAATATTTTCCATCAACGCGCCTATGGCCAATGCTGTTAAATGAAAAAAAAAAATGGTTGATTCATCTTTGTCTTTATCTTCATCCATCCATCAACTAAATACTCAACAACATATCCTACAATGAATATCTTAATGGAAAACAAACAATTGGACCAATATCACCAAGAAAAACTTCATCATACTCCTTGGGTTGAAAAATACCGTCCCAAAAACTTATCAGAAATTGCATCTCAGGATCATACTGTAAAAGTCTTATCCCAAACCCTTTCAACAAACACAAGTTCAAATCTCCCCCATATGTTATTCTATGGTCCACCAGGCACAGGGAAAACATCTACCATCTTAGCATTAGCCAAACAATTATTTGGACCTCGATTATATAAATCTCGTGTTCTAGAATTAAATGCATCTGATGAAAGAGGTATAAATATTGTTCGTGAAAAAATTAAGAATTTTGCCAGATTAAATATCTCAAATCCAACTCAAGAAGATTTGGCTAATTATCCTTGTCCTCCATATAAGATTATCATTTTGGACGAAGCAGATTCAATGACAAATGATGCACAATCGGCTTTGAGAAGAACAATGGAAATATATAGTGGTATAACTCGTTTTTGTCTTGTTTGTAATTATATCACCAGAATAATTGATCCAATTACATCGAGATGTTCGAAGTTTAGGTTCAAATCTTTGAATAATGTTAATGCCTTGGAAAGATTAAGATATATTTCTCAAGCTGAAGAATTGAAATTACAAGGGGATGAAGTATTAGAAGAGATTTTAAATATTAGTGGTGGGGATTTGAGAAAAGCGATTACATATTTACAATCGGCCGCCAAATTATCAAAATCATTAGAAAATGAGGTCGATGATACTTCTGAAGCAGTGATTACGGTTGCATCAATTAGGGAGACGGCGGGGATCTTGCCAGACGACATCTTATGTCAACTTATTACCGTTATAAAATCAGGTCAATCTAAACCAATCATTGAATACGTGAATGATATTATATTACAAGGATGGAGTGCCCAACAATTAATTGATCAATTGCATGATAAATTGATCCTTGATGATAGTTTATCTTCATTGACCAAAAATGAAATTGCAAAAATCTTATTCAAGATTGATAGTCGGTTGAATAATGGTACTAATGAACATATCCAATTATTAAATCTTGTCTTACAAATATCTAGAACTATATAATAATATATACACCTTCTCTACTAAAACTCAATTAATTAAATGGAAGTATAAAAAATCATGCAATTTAAAACTAAATACTATATATATATAAACAAAATAAAACTTATCACTAGAAACCAAATATACATACACACATCAAACTCATCATCATCTACGTTGTTGTTGTTGACCGATCTGCTGACCACTCTGCTGACCACCTTGTTGACCTTGTTGAGGTTGCCCTTGCTGCTGTTGCTGTTGTTGTTGTTGTTGTTGCAAATGTGGAGGCAACCCCATATATCCAGGCGGAGGAGGTGGCATAAATCTAGGATTGAATCCTGGCGGAGGTGGACCACCACCCATTTGTGGATGTGGGAAATTATGCCCATGTGGAGGAGGTGGCATAAACCCACCAGCGCCGTTTGGAGGTGGAGGGAATACACCCGGGGGAGGAGGAGGATGATGTCTGCCACCAGCTCCAGCTTGTCCTGGTGGAGGGGGGACTCCATAGGGGAAAGGTGGCATACCTGGTGGGAATTTTCCTTGAGGTGGGGGTGGTTGTGCTCCTTGTCTCATCCAAGGTGGGATTTGACCTTGGAGATGCCCACCTCCCTGGAGCTGCATTTGATTCCGTGGTAATTGTTGTTGTTGTGGCACTTTACCAGGTTGTTGTTGCTGCTGCGCCTGTTGTTGTTGTTGCTGCGCCTGTTGCTGTTGTTGTTGAGGTGGCTGCTGTTGCTGCGCCTGTTGTTGTTGTTGTGGATGCGGTGGCGAAGGTTTCTGAAATTGCTGTTGTTGTGGCTGCGGCTGAGGCTGTTGCTGTTGCTGTTGTTGCGGCTGTTGTTGTTGATGTTGTGGCTGTGGTTGTCGTTGTGCATTGAATAAAGCAGCTAACCCATTCTTTGGTGGAGTTGTATTTGAAGCAGATTCTGGAGATCCTTGACCTGGCTTCTTATTCAATAAAGACATAAAGAAATTATCATTAGAAGCCATACCACCACCTTGCACTGGAGGTCTACCTGGAATTTGTCCTTGTGATGGGAAATGAAGAGGACCTGGAGGAGGTGGTCCTTGTTGTTGTTGTTGTTGTTGTTGTTGTTGCAGTTGCTGCTGAGGTGGTCCCTGTTGTTGTGGGGGTCTTTGTTGAGGTTGCTGTGGTTGTTGTTGTTCTTGTTGAGGATGAGCACCAAAGAATTTTGAAAATCCTGGTGGCGGGCCAGTTTTAGCATTGGCTGGAATAGTAGAACCAGGAGCACTTGCACTAGTAGCTGGCTGGTCTTCATTCTTATTTCCGGGAGTTTGATGGAAGAATGACGAAAATCTAGAACTTCTTGCAGCTGCTTCATTACTAGCATGTTCACTACCACTTGGAGTAGTTCCATCTTCACTAGAAATACTACCCTTGTTAGATTCTTCAATTTTTGGTTTTACAAATGAGAAGAAATTATCAACTTCATTACCTGCATGTACTGCTTGTTCAGATTCATTTTCATGAGTAGTTTCTTCATCAATAAATTCACCATTTCTTTTACGCTCTTGCATTCTCATTTTCGATTTCCATTTTTCAAAATCTTCAACTGTTTGTCCCATTCCCATCATCATTCCTTCACCACCACCGCCACCAGCTGTAGCTCCTGTACCTGGAATATCATCCCATTCAGGCTCTGCTTCATCTTCATCATTGATCTCGGGTTCATTTTTAAACGGTTTACGTTCCCAAGGTTCATTCAAATGAGATGATTGTTGCAGCTGTTGCAGACTCTGCTGCAGCTGTTGTTGTTGTTGTTGTCTTCGGTTATAACTATTTCTCTTTTGATGATGTCTGCCACCTGTTTGGTTATTTGGATTATAATCTTGCTGACCTGGTTGTTTTGGGATTCTAAATCTCCAGAATGATTTATCTGGTAATTTATCTGAATCCTTAAAACTAATATTATCGGGTGAATCTCTTAATGTTAATAAATATTCAATTGTATAAATCATAGGCAATCCTTGCTTCTTAATTGGAATTGTATTGATAAATGATGATTCTTCCTCTGGTTGGAGTAGTGAGCTTGATTGTTGTTGTTGTTGGGATGACTGTGATTGTGTTTGATCTAAATCTGGAGTTGATTCTTTGGCAGCATTGGCAATTGCTGAATCTAATAATTTGGATAATGCACTACCTGGTTCTAAGTTATGAATGGATGATGTTGGCATGGTTGTTTGTAGTGTTGAAGATGAATTATCTGATGATATTTGAATGATTGATGGATCTTCAAATAAGGGATTCTCTGACATCTTTGGTTGGTTCGTTACTTTCTGTTTTGTTCTCTAATGTTATTTTAACCTGTTAAGGTGTTGACTTAATAATAATTGATCAATTGATTGGTGGATTGGAATATCCTCCTTGTTCTCCTTTTGAATTTGTTTAAATAGCTAGTAAAGCACTAGTTCCTTGTGATTAATAGTTCAATGGTTGGTTTACCAGTAATTGGTTAAAAGTAAATTGAAAACTAAAAAAATCTTAAATAAAAAAAATGTCAGCAGCAAAAAAAAATTGTTTTACGAAATATTTGAACATTTGTACACGACCTAATAACCAATGCCCTGAATCAGACCCTTGCGATGGCTATTTTACATCTACATTACTACTACGATAATTCTTTCTACTAATAAATAGAGCAATCGGGATCTAGTTCAAAAACAAGTAATAATAATTCTCTCTCTAAATAAACAAGTATAAAAAATGTTTGTTTCTCTCATCANTATAAAAAATGTTTGTTTCTCTCATCATTATCATTTCAATCATTATCTAATTATTCAAATATGGAACATTTAATCTCATAATTTCCCTACACATAATAAACCAATCAATATCTCTTAAATAATGAGTTCCATCAATAAATTTCCCTTCACCAATTGTCAATTGTTTCATCTTAACTTGTTCTTCCCATTTAAATAATTCATACATAAATCGTAAATTTGGTTGAATAATAATATTCAATCTTCTAACTCTAACATAAAGATATGCAATTGATAAATTAACCATTAATCGTTTCATAACTTCCGCAATTACAACAGTTGCACTTCGACTTACACCAACTCTACAATGAACCAATATCTTAGTTTGACCATTTGTGGATTGGTATTCTTGATTAATGAAATCAAGTACATGGGGTAATGCAAGGGTTAATTCATCAATACCATCATCTTCTAAATTATTCACCTTCATAACTGTTGTCACTGAAGTATGATGACGACGGGGTTTGGTCCGGCCATGATGAGTATGATGATGGTGATGTTGACTAGGAGGTGGTGGATCAGGTCGTGGAGCAATTTCAAATATTTCCAAATTTCCATCATCTAATTCAGTGACTTTGATATCATTATGTTGACGGAATTTATATCCATTAAGCCATGGAACAGTTTCACCTACAGAAATGATTTTTTTGATTCCTAATTTATTCAATAATGTCACACACAGGGCATGTTTTAATGATCCGAGATATAAATAAGGTAAAATCTTTGATGGAATTGATCCTTCTACTTCATCTACCCAATCTGACATATCAGCTCCACCACCGGATCCTCCATCTAAATCATTCAAATCTGAATCATAATTCGAACTACTTCCATCCTCATCACTACTGGTAGCACTACTATCTTCTTGATCCTCTACTATATTATCATCATCATCGTCACTATTTTCAATATATCCTAATTTCAATTTATCTTTCCCAGTCTTAGAACAAATACTCAGTGGACTACCTCCAGTCCCCTTCTTGCCTAATAATAAATCATTCAAATCTGCACTTGAAATAGTCTCAACCAGTCCCCAATTCATATTCTTCTTCACCACAGGACTAAATTTCCTCAAAATAGGTTCTAATTTCTTCAATATAGCAACATCACTAGAAAAGATATAAAACGGTCTTCCATAATCCAAATGTAATTTCAACATGGCATCGGCTAAACTTAAATTCAAACAATACATCAAATAACACAACACAAACAATGAAGATTCAGTATATCCATCACTACAATATATCAAGCAACTTAAAGCCGAATCGGAAGTGGATGATGAATATAAATAGATTAATTTACATGTGTTCACCAAAGATTCGAGTGTTTCTGATTTACAATCACCAATACCTAATGATCCTGAAGGTGGAACTGATAATACATGTCGTTCCGATTCCAGAGTCCTGTCATGAGATGTAATCGAATATGTAAACAAGAGTTGTGATAATGTTGCCATTGATGGGAATTTCGCATCGGCATGACAATGAATGAATAGGTTCCAATTGGATACTAATGGGTAAGTAGTAGAACTAGAATCAAGATCTGGATGAGTTATGACATGTGAATGGTCGGGGTTGTTGTATAAATTCTTCATTTCGGACGGTTGTGGACGAGATGTGACTTTGTTGTGATGCTGGGAATGAGATGACGTGGTGGTGGATAACCAATCCCATTGATTTCCTGCCCATACATTCTGATGTAATTTGGTTGCAGAGGACATTTTTGAGGTTTCGATCTTTTCCAAGGCTGGGAAATCGACATTTGCAATTAATGATTTGAGATTATGCTGTTTAGCTAATGGGCTTTTAACTCCAGGGATTTGAATCCCGTCATCTGAAAATATGAAATCATCACTTGTTCCGAGTAATTCAGTTAGATCTTCATTCAATATAAATACATTATATTCCTCTCCCGTACTTCCTAACCCATCAGCTTGATCCACTTTGGTTTCGTTTCTTTGTGCTAACCAAAGTATTCTCGCCATTGATTCTACATTAGTGTTACCATAGATAATAAAATCAGAACATGTCGATAATTTAGCAACTTGAATATGAAAATTTCTTAATGAAATTCCTCGATCAGGATCTAAATTTTTGAAAATTGGTAATACTTTTAATTTAACACAATCATTCACTAATAAATCAATTAATTCTTCATTATCACAAAATTCAATTGGAATTGTTTTTTGAATTATATTTTTAATTTCTAATTTTGATACATCTATTTTATGTAAAATTTCCGATATACCCACCGTATTCTTTAAATTAATTAAATTGGGATTATCATTAGTAATACACATCAAGAATCGGATATGTTTTGGTCTTGATAAATAATTCAATTCATTAAATACGTCTTCGCCTTCTCCGCCACTCTCACCTAATCGATCATATAATTGCTGTTGTTGGAATAAAAAGAATGATTTCTGAGCAAAATTCTCGGGATTTAATCCATGTAACCAAGGAAACATCTTACTTGTTTTCGGTAATGGTGAATTAAAATACCACATAAATATAAATTTCAATTGTTCTAAAGTTATAGTTTTAACCGGGAATGCAAATGTATCATATGAATAATGAGCTAATGATTTATAAAATATTGAGGATGACACAAGTGGAGACTCAGAATCCATATTAAGTCTAGTAGTTTTGATAAAATCGAGATCTGGTTGATTTGATGTAGATTCACATTCTTGACACTTTTCATTTGTTGAATCATCGGGGTTATTTAATACTTTTACTCTTGCTCGATATCTATCCCGTTCATATATTGTATCATTCGAACCTGAGGAAGTTCGTTTAAATCGTGGACATGATTCTGAACATACAGCCATGGTTGTAGTAGTCGGAGTGATGATAGCAGTAGGAAAAGCAACAGTAGCAGAATCAGTAGCAGCAACAGGAGCTGTCGTAGTAACAGTTTCGGTAACCATACTAACCGTACTATGAATAATAGGAGCGGGAGTAATATCAGTCGTATGAGAAATTGTTGTGGTTGGCTGTTGTTGTTGTATTTTAGAAGTCGTACTTGAAGAAATTGTGGGGGGAACTTTCTGTAATTGTGGATGTGCGGCGCTACTGAATAATTGTGCGGGTGATGATGAGCCAAACAATGGACCGGCCAGTATCGGCGATAAAGAAGCCGTATGAGTCGGTACAACAGTTGATGATGATGATGTCTTCTTATCGATAGATGGTATAGTGTTAACCGCTGAAGTAGTAACAGTAGTGTTAGTAGTACCTGTATTGGAAATAGGAGATATTAATTTGTTGCCAGTAGCAACCACACTGGCAGCATTTGAAGTATCGCTCTTTAGTGATGACAGTGACAGTATCCGAGGTATACTTGCAGTAGCTGTAGCAGTTGTCATTGTATCGATTGCTTGTAGGTAGTAGTAGTGGTATCTGCTATATTAATTAATATACTTTGATTATTGAAATTCTAAAACAGTTGATTCTAAAGTTTATAATTCTAAGGCGTTTTTGTTTTTAATAAGTTGAATATTAAAGTAACCACTAAAGTATCAAGCAGTGTTTATGAACCTTCATATATACACACTGATATTGATACTTATTGTTGATACTAAGTAAGTAAGTAAGCAGTAGTAACTAATAGTTGAGATTATTACTTTGCTTTTAATTGTTGTTTAAAGATAAAGAGACAACAAAGAAAGAAAGAAAGAAAGATAAGTTTTTTAGTTGTTTACGAAATTTACAGTTTTAAACGAATTTAATGATCAAAAATTTAATTTTAGATTTTAATATTAATTAATTAATTAACTTAAGAAATTTCTTTTATTCGAATTTGATATTTCAAATATCGACAATCACTATCAAGTGACTAGCTGAAATTGACGAGTAAATATAAAGAATACATTGTATTCAGTTAGTGGGTCTACGTTGAGACGTTACCTTTGTTATCTCGTGTTTAAAGTATTAAAGTATATGCAGTACTAACTAAAATAATTTAAGTTATTGATGTTACAAGAATGAATCAAAAAGTCCCTTTTTCTGATTTGCCCCTCTCTTCAGTAATCGAAGGTCGATTAGGTTTCTTCTTTAATAGTGGAAGAAACTATTACGTTTAGTTAAACCTCGATTAGATTCTATGCAATTGTTGTTTAGCAAGACAATATGGTTTGGACATGGTTCTAGATACCCCATTCCTTTGACAAATCAGCCTATCTTAAACCTGGAGAGAGAGATCAATGTGGCAAATTCGGAAAACGAAGAAACGTGGTACTACTTTTACGTGCCATAAAAATATGTGTTTAGAAACTGGAAAGGTCGTCACAAGACCAGGGGTAGACGAGTGGCTTGAGGTTAGTTTGGGGTTGTTAGCATTAGTATGCGCTTATTTACAAAGGTCGTGTGCAACAAGGTTATGAGCCAACGACTGCCTCGCTAACTACTGTCATCCCTTTACACCTATATACTTTATTCTAATGACTGTGTCCGAAAGACCGTGGTGGTCAGTATTTAAGCATTTCTCGTAGCTTCAGAAATTACACTACGAGTTGCAATTATTGGAGATTCAAGTCACATACAACCACCAATATTAGTGGGAACGAGATAATTCAGGTGATCGAAAACTTTGTAAGGCCAAAGAGTATGCAGTATAAGGACATTGAATGATAAGCCATTTCGGGATGCATAACTCTATGAGTTTGTATACTAAACCACATTTCAAATGTAATGAGGTTGCACAACAAAGTTGGAACCGCCTGGTGTACCAGTATTACCACCCAAGTGAATCGATGCTACTGAAGGGATGCTTCTAATACCACCACCGCGGAAGCCCGCTATCTCGCCGGACACGGGCTGATACGGGCCATCGTTCTAATTAGATAAAATGCGTGAGCGATACCCGACTTATGTTTATGAAAAAGAAATAATTTCTGTTTTCAACATGGTAAAAGACTCATCAGTACATTGAAATGAATCGTGGGTATTTAATCATTTATGGGGTATAATTATTTCTTGGTATAACTCGGTTCCATTCCGTTTTTCTTGGAAGACGTAGGCATTACATTTTCATGGCGGGTTTTCGAAACTACCACATAATGTTCACCATTCTTATCCTATGGTACATTTGCTTCATTACAGTCTCGAATACCTGATTCATTATTGTCTGTAGGTGGTTAGGTAAAGTTAATTAGTTTAAAGTTGCCAACGAAATTGTTGCGAAAGAGTTGCAAAAAAAAATCTGTCAATCAGAAATTATGAAGCTTATTTAATAAATGATGTAGTTACAAAACTCCTTTCAATATGTCATAACATCTTTTGATTACATGCAGTTGTATGTCTATGCTTCCATATTACATAGAAATATATCAAGAAGTTTTCGTTTGCATAGAAAATTCTGTCATTATTTTCTTGGCCTTTTTCTTTGACTTTTGACACAGTTACAGCCAGCCAACCTCCCAATATTCTTCTAGTCTATCTATCAAGAGAACAGTAATTGTCTAAGCTACTTATTTAACCGTATTAAAATACAACGGCTAGAAACCTGATTTATTAATTCCCTTAATTGGCAGGAATGGAGATAGCATTTTGAGTGTGCACAACAGAACCAGACTCTGTGGTAAAAGAGGGATGAGTCTACCATATGATGACAATCCAATAATGCCAAGATCATTCCGGAAAGTAAATGGTGTTCCGAAAAAACAGAAATTTACCAACTAGGCAACATTCTATGCATCTGGTGTGTGGCGGGCCTGCCTTGACTGTCCTTCTAGAAAAATGGCTTGTTTAAAAACCTGCCATTTGCACCCAAACGATTCAATTCCATTTACAAAAAAATATAGAATCCTTACTTTCTCAAGATATTCTACAAAACAACAACCTAAGTATGAATAAGTTATTTTTCTTAATTTCATTGACAGTCTTGCAATTTCAAATTGCTCAAAGTGCTGCTATTCCAAATGACGGTGTTGTTGCCGCACCTGACCAAACTATCTCTCTTGTCGGTGGATACATTCCTGCTTTAAAGCGTGTTCCAACCAATCTCGTTGCTGCTGTTTCCATTGAAACTAATGCTGTTGTCGGTGGATATATTCCAGCGTTAAAGCGTGTTCCGACTAATTCCTATACAACTTCAGCTGTTACTGCAGCTGCTCAAGCTAATGCTGTTGTTGGTGGATATATTCCTGCTTTAAAGCGTATTCCTAGTGCCGCTGGTGCTGTTGCTATTCAAACTAATGCTGTTGTTGGGGGATATATTCCTGCTTTAAGACGTGTTCAAAGCAACAGTGATGGAGTTGTTGCTGCTACTGTTGTACCTGCAGCAACTGAGGAAGGAGTACAAGCTGTAAGTGAACCAGTAACTACTGAACCAGCAACTACTGAAGAAATCCCACAGAAAGATTCAGAAGGAAAGGAAGAAGCGTCAGAAGATTCACCTGCTCTGGAACCAGAAGTTCAAGTAGAAACAGAAGTGACAGAAGAAGTAGAAGAAGCAGATTCTATTGCTGTTAGTAGTGCTAACAAAGGGTCATCCATGAAAGATGGTACTGGATGGGCACTTGTTGTATTTTTTACATACCTTATTCTTTAGTTGATTTTTTATACCACATAAACTTATGATAATTATGATTTAGCTTACTTTATTACTTTCCTCCCTCTTCTCGTAAATAATAACTAGACAGACTGACTGATCAGGATCTGCGTATCATTGTCAAAGTGCACGTGATAGTCCTGCGTATAAAGTTGGTGGTTGGTAGGAGCTCTAAAGGGTTCAATAGTTATATTTCAGAGGCAAAGGCTACCAGGAAATTTGTATGTAGTTTTGAGAGATTAACGAAGGAATTATGGAAAAGAATCATGATAAAAGACCAAGTTTTATTTTTGCGTGCTATACCCTCAATAGTGCATTAAATGTACACTAGATGTGACCATTACCTCCTTTAATACCTGATTTATTATTGTAGGTTGGTGATTGATAAACAGGCTTGATAGTTTATGGTTGCCAACAAAATTGTTGCAAAAAAGGTTGCAAAAAAAAACTGTCGATCTCAAATTATAAAGCTTAAAATGTATACAAAAATCCATTAAATATGTCATAACGTCATTTGATTGCATTTAGATGCACGTTTATGCTTCCATATGCTTTAGAAATGTAAATGTACAAACCAAGAACTTTTGGTGTTCATAGAAAAATCTGTGATTATCTTCTTGGCTTTTTTTCTTTGCAAACCATTTTAAGTAACATTTACATCCAGCCAACCTCCGAAGTTACTAGACTATCTATCAGCCAATTGCTTTAGCTAAACGTATTTAACCTTATTAAAATTCCATGACAATAACTCTGATTTATGAAGTCCCTCAATTGGTCCAGATGGTTTTAGAATTTGAGTGTTCCCAACAGTCTCTGTGGAAGAATAGAGATGATCCTATCATACAAGAGTAATTTAATCTTGCCAAGAATATCTCTCAACCGATGTTTCATCAAGAAGAGAAATATGCTAATTAGACATCATTCTTTGCATCCAGTGGCCTGTTGTCCTTGGCTGTTCCCCCCTTGAAAAATGGCTTGTTTAAATAATCAGTCAGTTGCATCCAAAATGATTCTCTCCCTTTTCCAATTCTTACTTTCTGAATATATCATAGAAGAACAGCAATCTAAGTATGAATAAGTTATTGCTATTAATTTCATTGATATTCTGGCAATTTCAAAATGTC